TACACTCCTTCCATTCTCCTGAGGGTCCATCTAGCCAGAAGGATTTCCACCATCCACAGATACCCCTGAAGGGAGATATACGCAGAACTTTGATATTTTCTTGTAAGTTCTCTGCCTCCTGGATTTAGCTATCCAGCTCTGCATACTTCACTATATGTGATTTAGTATTTTCAGATTTGTACAATACGCTATCCTGTTGTACAGGTTGTATTCTCTATACATTATACTGTGTTTAACCACCCTTCTCTTTATACTTCCCCACGAGGGGTGCATTTCTGTTTTACCATTGTATTTGTGTATGTGAGGTACACTTTTGTGTAGGGTGGCTGCACTGTTCTTTCGTGTTATAATATAGTACTTCCTTTATTGATTCTTTTGCCAAAATAACACTTGTCAAGTATCGATGTACAAAGACTGAATCTGCAGGCAGGTCTGCCATCAGAAATTTTGGGGCCTCTTACATAGCTCAAGGCCTGGCCCCCCCGAGTCCACCCATAGGGCCCAATTCAAAGTCTACCCACAGGGCCCACCCCTAAGTCCACTGTAGTGGATGCAGAGTGTGTGTATGTGTATTGTGGATGCAGTGTGTGTAATAAATGCAGTGTCTGTGTTTGTGGTGTTGGATAATGGCTGTAGGGAGCGAGCAGTTTTTTTTAAACAAATGATTATGTTTATTTTCCCCTCCCTGAATCTTACCTGTGGCCAGGAATGGGGACACTAGATACCCTGGTCCAGTGGCACAGTATGCATGAAAAATGAAGAAGCGGCCCGGGTCTCATCATCCAGCTCCAACACCAAGTCCTGTCTTTCTTTCATGAGCAGCAGCCCACAGCCCTCTTTATTGTACAAACCAGCAGTGACCCGCATGTGCATATATACCTCCCCAGGTGGCGGTCCTGGCTGCAGGCCCTATATTTGACCTTATAGCAGTAAAACATATAAGGATGATATTAACGGTGAAAGTGCAGTGTTTCTGTGAAAGATAAAAAAAATATGAACACTATGTTTGGCCATGTTTTGTGACTAAGTGGCTACAAAAAAGACTGGACATACAAAGTTGTGAGACATCGTTGAACAGAAATATGGGTGTTTTTTTGCAGAATGATAATATAAACATTAAATGTACAGTGTTTGGGCAGGTTTTCAAAGTAAAAAAGAAAAAAAATGAAAATATTCCATTTAAAATACATATTGCCTCTACTTTTGCAAATGGCACCTCACCATTCTTTCCTGGGCTGCCATACAGTCTCAAGGGCGACATATGTCTAGAAAATCAACTTGTTAAATGTCCATGTATGAAGACTCAAGCACAGCCCGTACCTACCAAAAATCACAACATAATTCTCTCAACTTCATTCTCCACTTCACTCTCACCTTCCAGTTCTGCTACCTAACCACTCTGTCACCTGGTTGCTATCCCCGTGCTACTTTTCTAATGTGTTTTTATAACTCACCTCCTCTAGGTTGTAAGCTCATTTGAGCAGAGTCCTCATCAACCTATTGTTCTTGTCAGAATGTGTAATAGTTTGTCTGGTTTATTTTTATTTTTTTTATGTTATTGTAAAGTGCTGCAGAATAAGTTGGCATTATACAAATGCCAATAATAATAATAGATTATCCAACCTCCAATTTTGATCACTGGTCATAAGTATCATTTTTGTTTAAAAATGTTGCAAAATGCTTTTAATCCTTACAAAGTGCAGGAAATCTATATCTGTACTGTTTGAAAGACGCAGCATCTTGACAGTATTAGGTCCACCATACGGTAGTTAAACAGAACTGTTTGACCTTACACTAAAGCCATGTCCACAGTGATAAAATCATCATAGCCTTGAACATGGAGATGACTAGAGGTCAAACATAAATCCTGTTAAAAAAACAAAACCAAGGACTCTTGGTAATAGGAACAACTCCAGCATTTTCTGAACAATTAAAACACAAAATGAGGACAGCACATTATAGAATTTAATATGTTGTAAACGTTTAACTAATAGTTGACACAGCAAACCACAGAGATCATGGATAGCAATAGCACCTCACTTACAGACATGGCAGAAGTGAGCACCAATCCAAAGAATTATCAGATCCTGAATTATGGATTAATATTCAATTTATCAACATGCCACAGCAGGCAAGACAGACAACACACAAACAACACCTGCACCAGTGGCGGATCCAGAGCCTGATCTCAGGAGGGGAACTTGTAGATTATTTAAAAAAATAATCCATGCACAATAACCACTACAGCTCTGTGTAGTGGTTATGGTGCCAGGAGTGCCAGGATCCCTTCCCAGAGTAAGTAGTCAAACTGTTTAAGAACAGTTTGACAACTTACCTGGGGTCTGCTGGGATATAGGGCTGTAGTAGGGCATACCAGCAGTGGTGTGTGTGAGTGGTGCAATGTGTGAGGGGTGCAGTGTGTGTGTTTGGTTGAGGTGTAGTGTGTGAATGTGTAGGGTGTGTGGGGCAATTTGTGTGGGGGGCAATGTGTGTATGGGGGCTGTGTATGTGTGTGTGGGGCAATGTGTGTGTGGGGGCAGTGTATGTGTGTGGGGCAATGTGTGTATAGGGGCAGTGTGTTAATGTGTATGGTGTGTGTGTGTATGGGGGTGATGTATGTGTATGGGGGCTGTGTATGTGTATGGGGGCAATGTGTATGTGGGGCAGTGTGTGCATGGGTGGCTGTGTATGTGTGTGTGGGGCAATGTATGTATGGGGGGCTGTGTGTGTGGGGTGGGCAGAGTGTGTGGGGGGCAGTGTGTGTATGTGTGGGGTGTGTGTGTGTGTGTGTGTGTGTGTATGTGTGTATAGGGGCAGTGTGTGTGTGGGGGGGCAGTGTATGAGAGGGTAGTGTGTGTGTGTATATGGGGGGCAGTGTGTGTGTATGGGGGGCAGTGTATGTGTATGGAGTGGCAGTGTATGTGTGTGGGGCAGTGTATGTGGGGGCAATGTGTGTATGGGGCAGTGTATGTGTGTGTGGGGGGCAGTGTATGTGTGTGTGGGGCAGTGTGTGTATGGGGGTGCAATGTGTGTAGGGGAGGCAGTGTGTGAATGTGTGGTGAGGAGGGTTGGGGGTCTTTTTTCTAAAAAAATAAATTATTTAATAAAAATAAATACATTTATGTCCCCCCTCCCTTCTTACCTTTACTGGGAGGAGGGGGACGATTCTCCATCCCTGGTGGTCCGGTGGGGAATCTCTGGTGGTCCCAGTGGTGATAGTGAACTCTAGCCCGTAGCTCCAGGCTGAGCTCCCGGGTCCTCTCTTCACTGGCGGATCAGGCTCTCTCTCTACCTCCCTCCCCTGCCGGCTGCCAGCACGGTGTCTGCGGACCGGGGAGGGAGATCTCTGCTCTCCCTTCCGGTCCATGAAGGCACATGGCAGGGATGGCGCTTGGTCAGTGCCAGCCCTGCATTAGCCGGCAGGGGAGACGCTTGGGGGGGAGGGGCAATTCCCGATCCGCCAGTGACCTGCACCTCCATTTAGGATTGTGTTCAGCAGGACAAAAATAATTACATTAAAATAATTAGCTTAAAGCTTACTTTGTACACTGTGCAAATGCTCTTACTGCTTCTATCTCTCTAACAGCCCAACACCCTCTTGTCATCAGGTCGCGTAGCAGGAGCAAGTGTATGCCTGCCAGTAAGAATGGAAGGAGAGGAGTGGACAAAGATACACTGCTGCAGCAAATGTAAATATTAAATAAATAAAAATGTACCTTATAAAATAGAAAATATTTTGACCCTTGTGGAAATTGGCATTTCTCTTAAACACTTTAAATGAATATACAGTGATAACAAAACAAATTAAAATGGAGCCACTGGTCAGTGTGTTTGTGCAGGTCCCTCATTAATCTAGTTTACCTGTTAATATTTGTAATAGTTTGTCACTTATTTGCTATTATATCTCTTTTGTGAAATAGTAAAGCAATGCGGATGTTATATAAATGATAATAATAGTAATTTTATCACATGACAGGAGGCTTCGTATTTTGCATAATCTTTCTTTACTATCTCCATAGCAGCAAAGAAATGAGTGACAAAACTTTTAACCAATCACAACGTAGAATAGGGTATAAGAGGTGAGACCTATGACATCATTTCCTCTTTCTTTGCTGCTCCATCACAAGTTAAGTACAAAATTTTGTATTATCTATTCTACATACACTTTTCATTTACATGCCTTTTGTTTTCACTGTACCTTTATATATTTACCCTATTAATGCTCTTAACCCCTGTATACCAGGGGACCCTGTCTGGCTCCCTAACTGTCTTTCACGGCTTTCCCGCCGTCTGTACTTTCCCTCCATTTTCTCTGTTTCTCTTTAACAGTTTTCTGTTCTTTTTACCGAACGCGTTATTCGGTAGTTTTGCGCATTCGCCTGTTTTACTCGAATGCCCGCGCGACCGCACATTGACTATTCGTTTCTAACTACCGAACGCTTCGTTCGGCAGTTTGACGCGATCGCCTTTTTAAACGTTCGCATCTATTTCTATTCGCACGTTCGGCAGTTCGCATAGATCTTCTATTCACGTTCGGCAGTTTTATGCGAATGGCAAGCTTACAGTTTGCCGCCCAAACTGGGGGAGGTACTATTCTCCACACACTGAGCCTGTCAGTCCGGCGGCCATCTTAAAGAGATAGACACTGCCTGATTTTTCTGCTCCTGCTATTCCAACAAGCAATTGAAAGCCTTACCCTTTTTCACTCAGTGGGACCAGGTTAGTGCCTTACACTTGGGGTTGGTTTAGCCAGTTGGTCTGCACCTTATTCTGGCCGGGGTGAGCCCCCATTTTATGCTGCTAAACGGTCCTGTTTATGCAGGTTCCGATCACCTGGGTGAGCCCCAGTGAATCAGCCCTCTCCTCTACGACCTACCGGTCTCTAACCACAGGTTATTTAGTCCTGATACCATACCACCCCGGTCCCAGGCCTCTCCATTAATCGTGCCTAGTGCCCTCACGCAATTTACCGGGTGAGCCCCGAATCCTCACTCCTCATAATGGAGGAATCACAAACCCCAGACCTCCAGGCCATGATAACAGCAGCCGTGGCTGCAGCCATGGAACAAGCCGCTTCCAAGTCGCTCCAAACAAACCCTGAGGTTCCCAGGCCCACCTCTAAACGGGTTCATTATAAGGCGGACTCCGAAGACTCTGACTCTTCCAGGGAACACTCCCAACGGCGAAAACGCCATTGGAAGGGCAATGTAACCCCACGCAAGGCTAAAGGGAAAGCCCCTGCTGATCGCAGGAAAGCCACGGTTCGTGCTACCCACGATGCCACACAACTTTCCTCAGGTGAGGAAGATGTAGAACCCACTCAGGCACTGGCTGTGCTGGATGAATGGCAGGCGGCAGCCTCTGACCAGGGGGACTCCGACAGGGATTCCACGGCCAACTCTGACCCTTACTTCATAAGGGAACAGGGTCTGGGTGAGCCCCAGGACTCCATGGCAACATCCATTGATAACCCACAGGAGGGCTCGGAGATTTTCCTCGACAATTCGGGCCTCCAAATGTTCGACCCAAGAAACATCCGGCACCCCCGTTCGGAAGAATGGTCACCACCTGAGCATTTGGCAAGGTTTATGCACTTCTGGCTCAGAAAACCGCTAGACAAGGAAGTAAGAAACCGGATGAGATCCGAATGCCCTCGCCCTAGTCTACCGGACAAAGTGACGCACACCCCCGAGTTTGACCCGCTCATGACTACGTTCATGTCCCGAGGGGGTCGGGATCCGCGCAAGGGCATAGAGCGCGGCTTTAAAGGAGCGCAAGATAAGCTGCTAGATGCCATTGGGCCACTAGCCAGAATCATGGATATGGCGGATGAAGCCTATGAGAGGGCTGACACTTTTACCCCAGATACGGTGCGTGAATGGGCACGAGATACCCGTGAATGGGCACAAAGGTGTTTCTGTTTCTTAGGGAACACCAACGTAGCCCTCTCTTCGGAGAGGCGCCGAGCAGCACTTTACCGTATCGACGAAAAACTGGTCGAACTGGGGGATAAGGAATTAGGACCCTTAGCACAGGGTAAATTATTTGGAGAGGCCTTCCTTAAGGAATTAAATAAAAGGGTCAACATATTCACGTCCCTTAACAAGGCACAATCTTCAATGCGGAAAGTCTTCCAGCGGTTCCCACACCCGTGGGTTTTTTGGAAGGGCTGGACGGCAGAGGGGCCGTGCCGCCAGCCGTTTTTGGCCATCCGGCCCCCGTACAACAAGGACTCAGATGTTCTACCCAGACTCATCTAGTCGAAATAGATTCGGCCACTTCAGGGGATCTGATCGTGGCCGAGGCACCCGAGGACGCTCACGAGCAAGATTCTCCAACGGTAAGTCGGAATCTTACTCTTCCTCTAACCCCCTGTCATATCGCAGGTCGTGTTTCTCTTTTTTTCCAGAACTGGAAAGAACTATCTTCAGATGCGTGGATAATCCAAACGGTGCAGGGCTATCGAATAGAGTTCGACTCGACCCCGCTCCAGCTGACCCCTCCACGTCCAATCCAGACTACACGAGCAGATGCCTGCCTCATAGACGCGGAACTCCGAGAACTCCGCTCCAAGGGTGCCATTCAACCGGCTCCGGATGCCACCGGTTTCTACAGCAATATCTTCCTGGTCAGGAAGAAAACAGGCGAATTTCGCCCCGTTATCAATCTCAGGGAGCTCAATTCGCACGTAGTATATCGACACTTCAAAATGGAAGGTATACATCTCCTCCGGGACTTGCTTCGACGCGACGACTGGTTCACTCGTCTGGACCTCAAAGATGCGTACCTTACCATTCCGGTACACAGAAGCAGCCGTCCCTACCTCCGCTTCTTCTGGCACGGGATCCCTTGGCAGTTCACCTGTCTCCCGTTTGGCCTCAGCTCGGCCCCGTGGTGTTTTACCAAGATTATGAAGCCGGTAGTGGCAAAAATCAGATCCCAAGGTATAAGATGCATCATCTACCTCGACGATATCCTGATCTTCGACGAGGATGCAGACACTCTGCGGAGACATACGGAATACGCACTACACCTTTTGGACTCTCTGGGTTTCGTCGTCAACCGTCCCAAGTCCGCATTGACCCCGGCTCAATCAGTTCAATTCCTCGGATTCGTAATAGACTCCACATCATGCACTCTTCACCTCCCGGCTACCAAAATTACGGCAATCCGCAGGGAGATCCGGAAAGTCCTTCGTCGGACTACCATACCCCTACGATTACTGGCACGGATCGTAGGCCTTCTCTCTGCGTCCATCCAGGCCATTTTTCCCGGGCCCCTGCACTACAGGGCCATGCAACGCCTCAAGGCAAGTTTCCTTCGCAGACAACCGACATACGACCAACCGGTTCCAATGTCGGTCGAAGTTCGGGAAGAACTACACTGGTGGCTGAATTGCATGCAGGCTTGGAACGGCAGGGCCATATTCGGGAACCAGCCAGACTTCGTGCTGGAATCGGATGCCAGCCGTTCAGGCTGGGGGGCAACAGACGGAACCACGTCCACAGGAGGAGTCTGGACTTCCGAAGAGCTCTCGATGCACATAAATTGCCTGGAACTCTTGGCCGGGTCCTTCGCCATTCGCAGCCTGGCAAAGGACCGATCCAACTGCTGCATCCTACTCCGCATGGACAACGTCTCAGCGGTCAGATACATCAACCGCCTTGGAGGCACTCGTTCTCGAACACTGGCGGATCTCACGAAAGAGATCTTCGACTACTGCCTACCACGCAACATCACCTTGCTGGCAGAGCACTTACCAGGAGACTCCAATACGACGGCGGATTGGTACTCACGCCACTGGCGGGACGCCAGCGATTGGCAGCTAGACCCTCACATTTTCGCACTACTGGATGCACAGAGGGGACCTCTCTACCTAGACCTTTTCGCGTCCCGCAACAATCGACAGACAGAAGTTTTCTTCAGCTGGCTCCCAGACCCGGAGAGCCTCGCAACGGACGCTTTTCTCCAACAATGGCCAAGGGACGGCGCCTACGCATTCCCTCCTTTCGCAATGATAACGAGGGTCCTTCACCGGATCCGTCTACAGGGAGTGAGAATAATTCTCATCACGCCGCTCTGGCAGAGCCAGCCATGGTTTCCGGACCTTCTGGAACTCTCAATCAACGACCCCCTCCTCCTACCAGATGCCCCAACCATCCTCAGGAATCCATTGGGCCTTCCTCACCCACTAGTCCTGCAGGAACGCTTGCCCCTTGTGGCCTGGACTCTTTCCGGGGTTCCTGGAGAACCGAAGAATTATCGCAGGAAACTAAGGACCTGCTATGGGATTCATGGGCACCAGGAACTAGGAGGTGCTACTTATCAGCATGGCACTCCTGGACAAGTTGGTGTGTGGGACGGGACCTCAATCCCTTTACTGCACCTACTCACTCCATCATGAATTTCTTAACTTCACTTTTCACCGCAGGAAAGTCATACCGTTCCATCAATGTGGTACGGTCAGCCATCTCAGCGGCTCATACTCCGATACAGGGGATTCCTGTTGGTAAGGACCCGCTCATCTGCAGACTTCTCCGCGGTATGCGCCTACGGCGCCCCCCGGAACCTAAATATTCTAGTCTCTGGGACGTTGGCGTGGTCCTTCAATTTTTACGTAATTGGCCTCCCAACGAGAAACTATCACTCCGCCAGCTTACCGCAAAATTCACCCTCCTGCTCTGTCTGGTTTCCTTTCGACGGGTAGCGGATGTACGCGCCTTTGATGCCAACGCGTTTACTTTCTGTCCGGCGGGTGTCACCTTTCAGATCTCACGTCGCACTAAGTCCAACTCTCTCTCGGTCTTCTACCCTTTCTTCCCTTCTGACCCTCAACTCTGCGTGGTCTCAACCCTCCGTCACTACGTGGAAGCCACCGCGACGTTGCGGCAACCTTCCACTCATCAACTTCTCATCTCTTACGTCCGCCCTTATGGTCCGGTCTCGGTTACTACACTGGCCAGATGGGTTAGGTGGCTACTATCCCTTGCCGGTATTGACCAAACTTTTGGAGCACACTCCGTTCGTGGGGCAGCGGCCTCTTCCGCTTATGCGGCAGGCGCGTCCCTCTCGGACATTTTACGAGCAGCGGACTGGACCAGAGAATCTACCTTTAGGACATTCTACTTTCGTCCTCTTGATAATCCGGCATTTGCTTTTCTTTCTCAGCGTTGAAATTGCAAAATACGAAGCCTCCTGTCATGTGATAAAATTGAAGATTATGCTAGCTTTAGTGTACAGATAATCTTAATTTTAATAATGACAGGAGGCGAGTATTTTCCCTCCCTGTTCTCTTAAGTTCTTCCCTCCCCTTTTATTTTCACTTCTAGCTACTACACTTTGCTCTCTCATATGTTGGTATAATACCTGACACGATAGCTCTTGTTTAACTGTCTTATTTACATCTTAGAGATATATATATATATTGTTTGGGTGGGATACTTATTTAACACCGCTAGGGAGGACGTTTAGTTTATTTTATTCTCATGTTACTAGACGATATTAAACTTGAATTACGGGACAGACATCCTTTGTTTTATACAATCACTTCTGGACTCTAACGCACCTTATACTCTCGTTTCAGCTTAACCAGGAGCTACACGGAATCATTAAAGTCTCCATGCAAGATGTCGTCATCATCGCATCAGGAGATTCATCATCAGGTCTTCGTAGACCATCGTTTGACAAGGACACGTCTTCATCTGCATTCTACCTGTTCCGGTTCAGTTTATTCTGATTAAGTTTCCAGTTTCTTGTTCTATGGACTTCTCAGCTGTTCGGTTATTTTTTTCTCCTTTTATGGTCTTGTGATGTCGCAAGTTTAAAAGAGGAAATGATGTCATAGGTCTCACCTCTTATACCCTATTCTACGTTGTGATTGGTTAAAAGTTTTGTCACTCATTTCTTTGCTGCTATGGAGATAGTAAAGAAAGATTATGCAAAATACTCGCCTCCTGTCATTATTAAAATTAAGATTATCTGTACACTAAAGCTAGCATAATCTTCAATTAGAACCATGCAGTCACTTTCAGCAATTCGTTAATTTGTTGCACGAGCAATTGTTATTCGTTCTCTTGCTGAGAGCATCTCTCTACATTAAATTTATAATGTTTGTGAATGTGTATCTGTCTGTCTGTCACTCCCAATGATTTAGTTTTCTATTTAAAGGTGAATAATAACTGCATATTCATATTATATATTCACTCTGTGGTTCACACTCACATCATTAATGTTTCACTATAAGCTCTTTCTTAAATGACTTGTAGCCCCTCTGTAATCACAGTAATTTATTTTTGTTATGAAAGCTTTCTTGACACTGATGCTTGCAGAGGTTTAAAGGCCAGTCTTCTGCCCACAGACTATGGGCCCAGTCCAAAGAGCAGGGCCGGACTGGGAATACAAAGCGGCTCTGGAAAAATCTATGCCAGCCCCATAAGTCATTGTGCTATGTGGTGTGTGTGTTTATATATATATATATATATATATGTATATAGATAGTTAATACAATGCTAAGCAAAAATCTGCACACCAGTCAAGCCATAAGACTTGCTTTTCCCACAGAAATCCCAAATCAGCAGTGATGTTATAACCGCAAAGGATTCTGGGTGGGCATATGCAAATTAGTTTAACAAAGAATCACATTTTTGCCTCATTCCATTTTAAACATGGATTCCTTTTAATTTGTGTTTGCAGTATACAACTGCTTGGAACACAATTTAGGATAAGATGCAAAACCAGTGAACCACTCATGGACAGCTGTTTCGTTGTTAATGCAACTCTTCAGCATGAGGTTGGTTACTGGTTTGCTTATGGAGGCTTGGTAGTGCTTGTGAAGCAAGATCCAAATAGATTATGGTGGGGAAAAATTGTGATTGAAAACCCCTTCCACCTGAAGTATGTGGATAGTTAATACAATGCTAAACAAAAATCTGCACACCAGTCAAGCCATAAGACTTGCTTTTCCCACAGAAATCCCAAATCAGCAGTGATGTTACAACCGCAAAGGATTCTGGGTGGGCATATGCAAATTAGTTTAACAAAGAATCACATTTTTGCCTCATTCCATTTTAAACATGGATTCCTTTTAATTTGTGTTTGCAGTATACAACTGCTTGGAACACAATTTAGGATAAGATGCAAAACCAGTGAACCACTCATGGACAGCTGTTTCGTTGTTAATGCAACTCTTCAGCATGAGGTTGGTTACTGGTTTGCTTATGGAGGCTTGGTAGTGCTTGGGAAGCAAGATCCAAATAGATTATGGTGGGGAAAAATTGTGATTGAAAACCCCTTCCACCTGAAGTATGTGGATAGTTAATACAATGCTAAACAAAAATCTGCACACCAGTCAAGCCATAAGACTTGCTTTTCCCACAGAAATCCCAAATCAGCAGTGATGTTATAACCGCAAAGGATTCTGGGTGGGCATATGCAAATTAGTTTAACAAAGAATCACATTTTTGCCTCATTCCATTTTAAACATGGATTCCTTTTAATTTGTGTTTGCAGTATACAACTGCTTGGAACACAATTTAGGATAAGATGCAAAACCAGTGAACCACTCATGGACAGCTGTTTCGTTGTTAATGCAACTCTTCAGCATGAGGTTGGTTACTGGTTTGCTTATGGAGGCTTGGTAGTGCTTGTGAAGCAAGATCCAAATAGATTATGGTGGGGAAAAATTGTGATTGAAAACCCCTTCCACCTGAAGTATGTGGATAGTTAATAATGTATATAGATATATATTTGGTATATTTATTTTTCTAATTCAAAATATTAGTCCTTTCAGGGTAATTAAAGGACCACTATAGACACCCAGACCACTTCAGCTCAATGAAGTGGTCTGGGTTCCAGGTCCATCTAGTGTTAACCCTGCAGCTGTAAACATAGCAGTTTCAAGAAACTGCTATGTTTACCATAGGGTTGATCCAGCCTCTAATGGCTGTCTCACTGACAGCCGCTACAGGCGCTTCTGTGCTTCTCACTGGGAAAATCACAGTGAGAAGATTCTGACGTCCATAGGAAATCATTGAGAATTCAAAGCTGACGTCGGGAGAGAAAGGAGAGTTCCCCAGCGCCGTATGAGCCCGGTGCTGGAGAAAGGTAAGTGTTTAATCCTTTCAGCCCCCTTCAGCTCGGTGGGAGGGGGGCCATGAGGGTGGAGGGGACCTAAAGACTCTATAGTGCCAGGAAAAAGAGTTTGTTTTCCTGGCACTATGGTGGTCCTTTAAATTAGACAGTAAAACATACTCACATGTAGACACAGACAATCTTACTGACACAAGCTCATTGATACACTGGCTCACAGACAATCTCATTGATATACATAAGCTCATTGACATAAAAACACAAGCTCACTGATGCACACAAATAGGCTCACTGACAGACAATCTCAATGACACACACAGACAAGCTTACTGGTACATACACACAAATTTGGTAGAGACAAACTATGATATACACACAAGCTTACTACAGACAAGCTCACTGTTACATACAAACGCTCAGTACAGACAAGCTCACTGACAAGCGCACACTCTTCCTACAGACAAGCCCACTGACACACACATGCCCATTGACACACACATGCTCCCTACAGAAGAGCTCACTAACACACAGATTCACTACAGACACACACATGCTAACTAGAGACAAGGTCATTGACACACACATGCTCACTACAGACAAGCTCACTGACACACACATGGTCACTACAGACAAGCTCACAGTTACACACATGCTTACTAAAGACAAGCTCACTGCACACACATGCTCTCCACAGACAAACTCAGACACACTCATGCTCCCTACAGACAAGCTCACTAACACACACACACACGCACATGATCTTTACAGACAAGCTCACTGACACACATACAAGCTCACTCACTAGCAGACAAACAAAGTTCACTCACTAGCAGGCACACACAAATTCACTCACTAGCAGGCACACACACACACACACACACAGAGACAAACACACAAACTCACTCACTAGTAGATGGACTCACACAGAAGCTCCCTCACTAGCACACACACACACATACACACACACAGAAGCTCCTTTACTAGCAGACACATACACACAGAAGCTCACTCACTAGCATGCACACATACACAAATTCACTCACTAGCAGGCACACACACACACACACACACACACAGAGACAAACACACAAACTCACTCACTAGTAGATGGACACACACAGAAGCTCCCTCACTAGCACACACACACACATACACACACACAGAAGCTCCTTTACCAGCAGACACATACACACAGAAGCTCACTCACTAGCAGGCACATACACAAACTCACTCACTAGCAGATGCACACACAGAGAAGATCACTCACTAGCACACACACACACAGACACTCCCTCACTAACACACACACACACACACACACACACAAGCTCACTCACTAGCAGACACACACACACAAGTTAACTCACTAGCAGGCACACACATGCATATGCTCACTCAATAGCAGGCACACATGCTCACTCACTAGTAGGCACATACACACACAAGCGCACTCACTAGCCGATACACACACACACACAAGCTCACTCACTAGCAGGCACATACACACAAGCTCACTGACTAGCATGCACACACACACAAAGGCTCACTCACTAGCAGGTAAACACACACAAACTCCCTCACTATCACGCACACACACAGAAACTCACTAGCAGATGCACACACACACAGAAGATCACTCACTAGCAGATGCACACACACACACACACAGAAGCTCACTCACTCACTAGCAAATGCACACACACACACACACACACACACACAGAAGCTCAGTCACTCACTAGCAGATGCAAACACACACACACACACACAGAAGCTCACTCACTAGCAGGTAGACACACAAACTCCCTCACTGGCAGGCATACACACACAAACTCCCTCACTTGCAGATGCACACTCACACACAGACAGTGGTGTACACACAATCCATGGGGCCCTGGTGCAAAACTGATCCATGCCCCCCCCTCACTGACTCACCCCGATCCATGCCCCCCGACACAAACATACATACAGAAATACACACACACAGACACATACACACATACAGACAGACAAACACACACACATACACCCCCCTGACAGACACATACATACACACATACATACATACATAGAACAGGCACACACATACATACACACAGACAGACACATACACCCTCTACAGACATACACACAGACACATACATACAGAGACAGACACACACACACACACCCCTGACAGACATACACACAGATACATAGACACAACATGTGTGTGTGTGTGTGTGTTGTAGTCGGCGTGAGCAGTTTAAAAATATTATATTTAAGGTTATTTCCTCCACCCTGCATCTTATCCCTGGCCATGGAGGTGGGACATTATGTTCTCTGGTGATCCTTTGGCACTGTGCATGCTGGAGAGCTTACACCACAGGCAGGTGGCTGGTCCTCTCCTTTTCATGCAAGCCCCTGAATTGTGCCACGTCAGACGGTTGCTGGTTGAAGCTGGAGTCACCTGGGCCCCCTTCACTATACAAGCCAGCAGTGGCCCAGGCACCCAAGGTTTTCAGTTGTATCACCTTGATGGAGGCCCTGGTGGTTATGGTGTCAGGAGTCCTTTGTATTGTCCCATGGTAAGAAGTCAAATCATTTTCAAATTAATTGACAGTGACCTGGGCTCTTTGAACACCCAAAGTCTTTATAGTCTTTTGTGATATCACTTAAGCAGAAGTTCCTATTACATTTTAAAAATACCAATTTTGTCCAAATTCAGATATAATTCCATGTCTTAGAGTTTTTGCCTACGCTTTAAGCCAATTAATAAATCCTGATTGGGATTGCAAAATAAAAAGCGAACTTCCACATTTGGCAATATCAGAAGACTGGAAGGATCACGGGTACTTGGGAGACCTAGATTAATGCCAAATAATTAAAATTGGTTAGATCATGCACCATAAGAAAGCACTAGGGGATTTGGACACCTTAAGCACTACAGTGCACTGTAATGGTTATAGTGCTTTGACTACCCTTGAATTACATTTGATTAATGGGTTGCTTAACTTATTATTATTTAAAATTAATTTAGGTGTTTAGGTGTGTAAACAGTGTAGGGAACAAATGAATGATGTAGGCACATAGTAGTGTAATTAGTGTGAATGCTAAAACAGTGTATATTTATCTCTGCTATATGTAGTGTGTGAGAATACTACATCAAGAGTGTATATATTGTGCAGACAGTGTATGAATGCTTTGGCAGTGTAAATGTAAATGGCTATGTATGAATAATGTAGTAGTGTGAGTGTTCAGGCCAATGTGTACATGATGTAGTAGTGTAAATGCTCAGAGCAATGTTTGAATTATGTAGGAGTGTGAATGATCAGGGCAATGTGTGAATGCTGTGGCAATGTGAATGCTCAAGGCAATAGTGAGTGAATTATTTTACATAGCAACTCATTGAAGCTTTCTGAGGCTAGTGTTAGGGGTTTTCAGGAGCTGGATTTAACACACAGATGTCCATCAAAACTTTATATGTGGGAACACCCTTTTTCCAACCTTTTTTGAAATGCACTCCTACCTGCTCTAAAATGTCATAAAGTGGGTTAATAGGTTAATATTACTTTTTTTTGGACTGTGGCCTTGCCTCCTCTGGAACAAACGGAAAGGTCTTCCAATCTTGATTGAAATTAAAACTAAAGAAGACTTGCCCCATAGTTATGTGGAACACAAGGACTGAAGACGCTGGCTACTGTCTGCTTTTATTAAAGGGCTACTCCAACTAAAAACAGTATTTTAGAAAAAGGTAGAGTGACCTTTGTTGCAATGCCCCCCCAAAAATGAAAGAAATGCAATGTACCTGTAGCACCGAGGCCAAGTTATCCCTGTAGCCTTATTCATTCCCTGGTGATTTCACTTTTCCTCACTGCATGGAGGACCAAGGCGAGTTGAAGAAGGGGGCAGTTCTGCCATTGGTTGTTTGGCACCAGCATTCTATGTGCGCTGACAACAAGCTTCATATATGAACAGAATTATGCAGAGAATTCACATTACCCTACCCTTTTTCCATTTAGTGATGGAGATGCACCTCGGTCAACAAGCTGGTATATCTCTGTATGTGGAAAAACTGAAATGGTAATGGTTCTTGGAGTAGCGCTTTAATTGCAGCCTCAAAGTATTCATTGTTTATAAGATTTCCTAAGTAAACAGCAGTGTGGCCATCATTTGTGAGCTAAAACAGCTTTCCCTGGTACTCCAACGCTGAAAATGCATGAGCATCTCAAGGGATTGACTAATTTGTGCTTGTGTTGACTTCAGATTATCAGAGATTATTACAGATTAGTGACAACTCATGCAGTCTCGGTAGCAAGTTTGCAAAGCAAATCAATCCCAGTCATCACGGTGACTAAATTTTAAAAATATACAGCATCTATGCCAGTCTCAAAATGCAGTACTTTCTTTTTAACCATATTTAGGCAGGAAAGGGCTTCACATACCGGATACTGATACAATTATGCTTCCAGTCCAGCTACATTATCCTAAAATGTTAAATTAATTTTGAATTCACAACACTTCCCACTTTAGTAAATAACTCTATAAGTGAGTGAATTTTAACCCCTTAAGGACCAAACTTCTGGAATAAAAGGGAATCATGACATGTCACACATGTGTAAATGAACAGAAATTATCTATGGATAGGGGTACTTGCCCGTTCCATAGATAGAAACACCTTTACTGACACTCCAGCAGTGTCATATGGGGCATAACCCCTATTCCTAAAGTATTGAGAAAAATCCCACAAATCTGAAGAAAATTACTCCAGAAAAGTAGATTATGACTGGAAATTAAATTGAATAGTAGCAAAATATAATGATAAGAACAAAAAATGTGTGTAAATACAGGGAGTGCAGAATTATTAGGCAAGTTGTATTTTTGAGGATTAATTTTATTATTGAACAACAACCATGTTCTCAATGAACCCAAAAACTCATTAATATCAAAGCTGAATATTTTTGGAAGTAGTTTTTAGTTTGTTTTAGTTTTAGCTATGTTAGGGGGATATCTGTGTGTGCAGGTGACTATTACTGTGCATAATTATTAGGCAACTTAACAAAAAACAAATATATACCCATTTCAATTATTTATTATTACCAGTGAAACCAATATAACATCTCAACATTCACAAATATACATTTCTGACATTCAAAAACAAAACAAAAACAAATCAGTGACCAATATAGCCACCTTTCTTTGCAAGGACACTCAAAAAGCCTGCCATCCATGGATTCTGTCAGTGTTTTGATCTGTTCACCATCAACATTGCGTGCAGCAGCAACCACAGCCTCCCAGACACTGTTCAGAGGTGTACTGTTTTCCCTCCTTGTAAATCTCACATTTGATGATGGACCACAGGTTCTCAATGGGGTTCAGATCAGGTGAACAAGGAGGCCATGTCATTAGATTTTCTTCTTTTATACCCTTTCTTGCCAGCCACGCTGTGGAGTACTTGGACGCGTGTGATGGAGCATTGTCCTGCATGAAAATCATGTTTTTCTTGAAGGATGCAGACTTCTTCCTGTACCACTGCTTGAAGAAGGTGTCTTCCAGGAACTGGCAGTAGGACTGGGAGTTGAGCTTGACTCCATCCTCAACCCTAAAAAGGCCCCACAAGCTCATCTTTGATGATACCAGCCCAAACCAGTACTCCACCTCCACCTTGCTGGCGTCTGAGTCGGACTGGAGCTCTCTGCCCTTTACCAATCCAGCCACGGGCCCATCCATCTGGTCCATCAAGACTCACTCTCGTTTCATCAGTCCATAAAACCTTAGAAAAATCAGTCTTGAGATATTTCTTGGCCCAGTCTTGACGTTTCAGCTTGTGTGTCTTGTTCAGTGGTGGTCGTCTTTCAGCCTTTCTTACCTTGGCCATGTCTCTGAGTATTGCACACTTGTGCTTTTGGGCACTCCAGTGATGTTGCAGCTCTGAAATATGGCCAAACTGGTGGCAAGTTGCATCGTGGCAGCTGCACGCTTGACTTTTCTCAGTCCATGGGCAGTTATTTTGCGCCTTGGTTTTTCCACACGCTTCTTGCGACCCTGTTGACTATTTTGAATGAAACGCTTGATTGTTCGATGATCACGCTTCAGAAGCTTTGTAATTTTAAGAGTGCTGCATCCCTCTGCAAGATATCTCACTATTTTTGACTTTTCTGAGCTTGTCAAGTCCTTCTTTTGACCCATTTTGCCAAAGGAAAGGAAGTTGCCTAATAATTATGCACACCTGATATAGGGTGTTGATGTCATTAGACCACACCCCTTCTCATTACAGAGATGCACATCACCTAATATGCTTAATTGGTAGTAGGCTTTCAAGCCTATACAGCTTGGAGTAAGACAACATACATAAAGAGGATGATGTGGTCAAAATACTCATTTGCCTAATAATTCTGCACTCCCTGTATACCAAAAGAGAAACCAAACAGGTATATATATCTATATATAATCGATATATAGATCTCCACAGCTGTCAATGGCTGTGCCTCCCTAATGTCTATGTTGGTTAGTGTCTAATCAGACTTCTGACTTTAATATAATAATCAGTGTCAATGTCTGAATGATATAGAGAAAAATATATACAGGTAACATGGACATCTATTCTAATGTTAACACAGCATTTGTATCAAAATGTCAGATAAATGGCAGGCTTACAACAAAGATTAAATGCAGTGCTGCTGCCTCATTATCAAATAGTGCTATGTTAAACCTGTGACTAAAGGGGGGGAGTGAGAGTAACCTGTTATATACTATGCAACAGGCTAGCCATTCATGTAACTGTGTCTGGGATAATATTCATTACGTGAATCCACAACAGAAACAAAATATCCAGTCCTAGTAAATGAACAATAGAGATAGCAACATTGCCATCCAGACAAATATATTCAATGGACTGATCGTGGCTGCCTCTGGTACTAGATATAGAACCAGGTATTTTAGGTTCTCTCCCCCAATAGTACTAAAAAAGAATATACAGGAGGGAAAGAAAAAACAGAAAGAACTGTTAGTGCATCCTAATGTGCAGGACCATACTTAGAGTGTTGGTCTCTGCACATGTGACAGTGTGCCCTGTGAAGTGAGAAAAAAGTGAAGAGAGAAACCCGACGCGCGTTTCGGTGCCGCTAAAGTGCAACCTTTAGCCCCTGACGAAGGTGCACTTTAGCGGCACCGAAACGCGCGTCGGGTTTCTCTCTTCACTTTTTTCTCACTTCACAGGGCACACTGTCACATGTGCAGAGACCAACACTCTAAGTATGGTCCTGCACATTAGGATGCACTAACAGTTCTTTCTGTTTTTTCTTTCCCTCCTGTATATTCTTTTTAAGTACTATTGGGGGAGAGAACCTAATATACCTGGTTCTATATCTAGTACCAGAGGCAGCCACGATCAGTCCATTGAATATATTTGTCTGGATGGCAATGTTGCTATCTCTATTGTTCATTTACTAGGACTGGATATTTTGTTTCTGTTGTGGATTCACGTAATGAATATTATCCCAGACACAGTTACATGAATGGCTAGCCTGTTGCATAGTATATAACAGGTTACTCTTACTCCTCCCCTTTAGTCACAGGTTTAACATAGCACTATTTGATAATGAGGCAGGAGCACTACATTTAATCTTTGTTGTAAGCCTGCCATTTATCTGACATTTTGACACAAATGCTGTGTTAACATTAGAATAGATGTCCATGTCACCTGTATATATTTTTCTCTATATCATTCAGACATTGACACTGATTATTATATTAAAGTCAGAAGTCTGATTAGACACTAACCAACATAGACATTAGGGAGGCACAGCCATTGACAGCTGTGGAGATCTATATATCGATTTTATATATAGATATATATACCTGTTTGGTTTCTCTTTTGGTATATTTACACACATTTTTTGTTCTTATCATTATATTTTGCTACTATTCAATTTAATTTCCAGTCATAATCTACTTTTCTGGAGTAATTTTCTTCAGATTTGTGGGATTTTTCTCAATGTCACACATGTGTCCTGAAGTGGTTAAACTGTTCAAAGAACCATGATAAATAACAATAAAAGGGAAATGATGTTCAAGACTAATGCCTTATGAAAGAACAAGCAAACCAAAAAAAAAAAAAAAACATGTTTAGGTTACAATCCAAGTGTGTTTGTTTGTTTTTCATTGTGCTATCCTTTGGCTTGGTTCCAAACCTCTTATTAATTCAACTGATTTTGCCATACTCTTTTGATCATATTACAAGTGGAAATAGTATTGTGTAATGGAGAAGGCAATCGTGTGACGTGCTAAAGTGATTGCTTTTTTTTTTTTTAAATGATACACTCCATAATTGTTAGCAAATAATTTCCATATACTGATGGAGCATGCAGTATCAATATAGCATAGATAGTAAAAATACTTTACTAAATGCAATCTAGTTGGTATCTTTCCAAGTACAGTTAAGTTACTCATACTGTCAAGGTGAGACTAATAAATTCATCTATGCAGTAACAGAGTTGGGTGTGTTAATGGAATCTTCTCCTTAAAGGACCACTCTAGGCACCCAGACCACTTCAGCTTAATGAGGTGGTCTGGGTGCCAGGTCCAGCTAGGGTTAACCCATTTTTTCATAAACATAGCAGTTTCAGAGAAACTGCTACGTTTATAAATGGGTTAAGCCTTCCCCTATTTCCTCTAGCGGCTGTCTCATTGAGAGCCACTAGAGGCGCTTGCGTGCTTCTCACTGTGATTTTCACAGTGAGAGCATGCCAGCGTCCATAGGAAAGCATTATGAATGCTTTCCTATGTGACCGGCTGAATGCGCGCGCAGCACTTGCCGCGCGTGCGCATTCAGCCGACGGGGAGGAGAAGAGGAGGATCGGAGGAGGAGAGCTCTCCGCTCAGCGCTGGAAAAAGGTAAGTTTTTACCCCTTTCCCCCTTCCAGAGCCGGGAGGGAGGGGGACCCTGAGGGTGGGGGCACCCTCAGGGCACTATAGTGGTCCTTTAACAGTCGTCTCGCCTACAGGGTCAGCAATTGTATTCTGACAGCCACTTGGATTTCTCTGATAGCTGCCATTCTCAGCAGAATTCATGGAAAACGATAGAGGAGCATAGGCAGATGGACCATATTGATAACTGGTTTTGAAATATTTTACAGACAAAGATAAGGTGATGGTGAAATCAGTTTACAGTTCATTCTTCAATGGAATTATTTTTCTAAATGCAACATTTCTTATAACAAGTTTGGATTTTAAGATGTTGGCATTTATTAGGAAACAATTCCAACAAATCTTTATCAGCCATAAACAACTGGTCGGATGGCACATATATAACTACACCAAGATTTAGCCAGGTTACATGTTACACAAAAAGAGTGAAGAATGCAAGGAGCGAAAAATAATGAGTCTTTCACATAACCAAGACAGGAACAAAATCTGGAATACTGAGAAGATGGGAAATATTTACAGTTAAAATATATATATATATAAATATATTCTAAAACATAATCTGCCCATCTGCCCATGCTACACATGAAATAATACATGGATCAATTCTGTTCAGTTCAGGGGCTCTCACATTAGGACGTACTAGGACATATGGAAATAGCTGCCACTAAGACTGTAATTCCCACTAATCTCAGGCAGCACTGGAACAAAGTGCTGCCCTAACAGTAAAGTCCTCCCCTTAACCATTACAGTACATTAGCAATAAACATGAATTCCTACACTATCCTACCTCTAACTATTAACACTTACAGAGTTATTCACTAAAAGTCCAAAGAGTGCCATACCGAAAGGGGGCAAAATCATCTGACTCTGTATGGGGCCATTCAGACTGCAAAAACTGAACAATATTCACAATTTTTAACAAATGGGCCAGAATTGCTTCTATTCTTCAGCTTGTATGAACCCTGACAGATAGCTGATCCCTGGGCCTGGATGCTTAAAGGGATCCTATAGTGCCAGGAAAACAGGTTTTCCTGGCACTATAGGCTCTTGGAGTGGCTCCCTTCCTCGGCGCTGAAGGAGTTAAAACCCCCTTCAACCACTTACCTTAATCCAGCGCCGGTGACCTCTCCTCCCCCGCCGACGTCAGCTCCCGAGTGTAGCCGAACGCGCATGCACGGCCAGAGGCGCACGGCCATTCAAACCCGCCCATAGGAAAGCATTACCCAATGCTTTCCTAAGGGGATTTTTTTTTTAACGCTGGAGGTCCATGAGGATGTCCAGCGTCAAATAAGTGTGATTTACTCAGTGTGAATCGCGGAAGCGGCCTCTAGTGGCTGTCAGGGAGACAGCCACTAGAGGCTGGATTAACCCTCAATTTTTTCAGCTGCAGGGTTAAAACTAAGGTGACCTGGCACCTAGACCACTTCATTGAGCTGAAGTGGTCTGGGTGCCTTTAGTGGTCCTTTAAATCCAGGATTGGATTTTAAATGTAAAAACTATTTGTCCACTGGCAACACTAGTAAGAAAAGAAAACAATAACTTTCATGTGTGGTGGATAGCAAGAGCTTGCTCACCAGGTTCCACATTAAAATGTGAATAAATAAAATAATAATAATAATATAGGGAACCCACCCTATAGAGAACCCACCCTGCCTTACCTTGGTGAGTAAATATCAGCTAAACAGTGAGCAAATGGGATGTTATTGCTAGTCAATCTCTAAAATGACCCAAATCGGTAGTAAATTACCAGGGGTCACCTGGTACTGCTTCTCCCCTTATCTCCATAGTCTGTGGGTGTGGGGCTGGCTTAAATTGATACATGAAAAGACATGCCTGTGTGTGCCCATAACCATGTATAGCTAATGATCCAATTGTATAAATATGAAGGGGACATGAATGTGACCCTTGACCATGTACCGTGCCCCCTTGTACCCCTGCGACTGGGTACCAGCCGCCATGTTTTGCAACCCCGGCCCTCGCAGCAAACCGCCGGGGCCGCACGTTTAAGAGGCCCATCGGGTGGCCCATGCTGTTAGGGCCACCCGATGGGTATGGATTTTCAGGGGTCCCGGTCAGCGCTGCGATGAGATCACTGCTGGGAGGAAGTGACTGCCCTGGTCACTCCTCCCAGCATACACAGAGCCCGCGCGGGAGGCAGGAGAGGGAGTCAGAGTGGGAACTCTGACTTCCATCAACCTGAGCCACCACTGGATCCCAGGAAAGTCACCCTCCTGCACCTAAAAGGTAGGAAACAGGAGGGTGACTTAAACATTTTGTATATGTGTGTGTGTGTTTGTTTGTTTGTATGTATGTGTGTTTGTCTGTCTGTATGTATGTTTCTGTATGTATGTATGTCTGTATGTATTTGTCTGTGTGTATGTATGTGTCTTTGTGTGTGTGTGTTTGTCTGTCTGTGTGTATGTATGTGTCTGTCTGTGTGTATGTGTGTGTGTGTATCTGTATGTATGCATGTCTTGTGTGTGTGTCTGTCTGTGTGTCTACGTGTATGTGTCTGTATGTATGTGTCTGTGTGTATGTATGTGTCTCTGTGTATGTATGTGTCTCTGTATATATGTGTGTTTGTATGTATGTGTGTATCTGTCTGTCAGGAGGAGAGTCAAAGGGGGGGGGGAGGCATGGATCAGTTTTGCACCGGGGCCCCATGGATTGTGTGTACGCCACTGGGTGAGGACAATAGTACACACAGGGTTGGGCAAGCCAGGCAGGGGCTATTGTATAATCCAGGGTAGATATGCCATTGTTCAGGCCCAAAACTCTTAATTTCAGCAGTTAGTTATATTATTTATTTTAGATATTTTTGTTAGCACTTTGTTTGCTTAATAAATGTTTAGTCAAACCTTTTTTGTCAAAATATTGTATTTTTTAAATTGTATTATTTTTGCACCAACATATTGCAGAATAAAACATTGTTAATAATATCTTCTCAAATGTTCTTCAATTTATTATATCTCTATTTGAAACACACAAACAAAATCAATATCATGTAAAGGTCAAGCAAGATAAGATGTTTATTTTCTTCATAGAAGGTATTGCAAATATGGAATCCTTTTTACAATGTCAGTGATTGAGAATACACCTCTAAGGAAACTGATTGGTTCGTTCTTAAGAGTATTAGAACGTTTCTTTTTATATTGTATCACTATTACAATTATAAACCCATCTAGCCTAATTTTTAATGAAGTATCTTTTTTTGAACATAGACAATAGTTTACAAAGCACTTTAAACTAATACATGATAAGCTGTAAGTGATTAATACAATAATATTAATATACAGTGTATTTCCTGGTACTTAGGCTTCCTAAACAAGATGCCACAAGTCGAGTACCAGATGAGTTGCTGCAGATTTACCTCTTCCTCCCTGAGTGCACGGCCCAGGGAGGGTGCAGGCTAGCAGGTTGGGCACTGCTACCACCCCTTTAAGGGGCTGGCTTAGGATTTGTAGGAAGTCAGACTAGTCCAGGAGGAGGTGGAGTGCGCCACTTAACGCTACACCATAACTAGTGGAGTTCCGGAGCGAAGCTAGAGCAATGTTTAGTGCACACCTGGGCAGGTGAGTGAGGGCTCCAAGGAGAGGGGTGTGAGAGAGAGAGTGCTGGGGGTCAGCCCGTAACCCTGATTCAGACACCCTGATTTCCAGGAAACCTTAGACACCGTCTGCTGTGAACTAGAGACGCTGGCAAGTTTGCTGTTTGGCTGAACATGTGCCAAATCCATTTTGTTCTTTGTCTGTTGTTATCCTGAGCTGCGTGTGTGGTGCCCAGAACTCCTAGCAGTAGGATTACAATGTAACTTTCTATTTCTGCTCGTATCCTGGCGTGCTGTCTGTTTGCACACTCTACCTGCCATGCATCTGCTGTGGATTTAAAAGCTCAAGCTGGAGTTAGTGTGGGTGTATGGTACAGGAGGTGAAATAATAGGCAAGTGACTGACAGTGGAAAATGTATACTGATGTAAAGTGTCACGGTTTGTGGTTCAGTGGTGTCAAAATGTCAACACATACTGCGACAAGCCTGTTACAGAGCTGTGTATGAGACTGCTACACTATATATATATATATATATATATATATATATAGTTTGGTGTTTGTCATTATCCCGAGCCAGTCATTCACACACTGCTTTTCAACCATTGCCTGACAATGAAAGGACGAGCTAATCCTCCATGAGATTAATGCAAAGGTTATTGGATCGGATGTATCTATATTGTGTCTTGTGACACACTGCTGCTTTTGCAGTTCACCTTTTCTGACTGGGCTTATTTGCTAAACTAGACTTTGTAGAAGTGGTGTAACTATTGCATTTATTCTTTATTAGAACGCTGCCACTAGTATTTTCTCTATACTGTAGCATGATTTCTGTTGCATGGTAAGAGGGCCAAAAAAAAGCATCATTATGTATGTGTTCTTTTCAAACATTTTTATCATACTACCACAAGTGTAAACACAAAACTGACCAAATGAATTCTGCCTATTTGCTATATATATGTATATATATATTTCTCATAGTAACTATGGATTAATGCTTAATGATCCTTCAGTAACTAAAGCAACACTAACACTCCAAGCACCATAACCACTAGATCACTCTGTAGTGACTATGGTGCCAGGAGTGCCCTTGCATCCTACAAGGTTAAGTAGTTTAACGGTTTGCACATGGTTTGACCATTTACCTCTGGAAGCTCTCTGAAATGGCCTGGCAGTGCAGGACTTCAAGGGTTACTTTAACCACCATGACCTCTTCAGTGACTTGAAATTTTCATGGTGTTCGGAATCTGTATGCAAGGTCGCCATCAGGGGGTTAAAGCGGTGTGTGTGCGTGTATACAGATATGTGCACTTGCAGGCCTCTGCTGACTTCCATAGTGAAGAGGGTGCCCAGCAGACTCCTAGTTCTACCTCCAGCAGCATCCTCTCACGAACGCTGGCTGTCTAAACGTTGTCACGGGTTGCCAATAGCAATGCTCCGCACAGCTCGTGAGAGGGGAGAGGAGTGGCTGCCAGAGGTGGAAGCTTGAATCTGGGCTCTGTCTTCACTATAAAAGCACGCGGGATCCTGTATTGTGCCACTGGACCACTAGGCAGTGCTTCTTACCTGTGGTGCAGGCCTTGAGCTGTGTAAGGGTTCTCAAAACTTCTGATTGCAGCATTTCTGCTTGACTGCTGCACATACTGAGTAATCTTTAAATATTTATTTTTCCCTTCTTTGCAGGTTTGAATGAGGGAGCCCACAGGAGAGCTATAGGAAGCTCCATGCAGAAGCTTCTAGCCCTCCTTGAGGCTGTTACTATAGCTTTGTAAGCTGTCACACAGTCAGCAGATGGTGTGACAATTTAAAGGAACACTCTGGTCACCAAAACTTCAACTAAACAAAGTTATGTGTTTCTGGATGCCCACTGGTGCTTTCTTACCTTAAGGGGTTAAACCGTTTTCAAACATTTAACCCCTAGGCTGCCTGCAGCACCGGGTCTTCAGTTTCCCAAGCAGCATCTGGCTTCTGAAATTGAGTTTAGTGCTGATGGGCAGGGGCACTTCTGATTGGCTAGAGCATTCAGCTGATGCTCTAAGCCAATTTTAAATTATTTATTCTTAATGGGAAGCTAATGGTTTTGCTTAGTGTGAGCTGACTGCTGTAGCCAAACAGTGGCGGCACTCGGCATTCAAAAAACAGGTTAGAAAGAATCTGGGGGCCTCCTGGCACCATAACCTCTTCATTTAGATGAGGTTGTTATGGTGACTGGAGTGTTACCCTAATCAGAAAGGGTACCAGGGCACTCTTTGCACAATACACTAATATGAATAAACAATATTGCTCATCGTAGTGGTTATGGTGCTGTGAATGTTTAGCTGTTTTGTATTTTCTTTTAGTGGTCTGTCAAAAAAAAAGGCTTTCCCCACATCTAAAAGTCTAGCACTCTGTAGTCACTTGGATAACGTGGAAGATTCACTTCCACATTACCCATCCAAAGCCATACAACCTTATTTAACGTAAAGACAACTTAAATTTACAGAAAAGGCTGCAGATTTTATCCCATTATCTTGCTAAATACTTTGTATGAAAGGGCTTCAATGCTAGTTCTGGCCGCTCTCAGCGCCACTGCCCGACGACACTCCACACTTCTGGAATCTGAAAATTTCCGAAGCTGGATGCAGTCAGGTGAAGAGTGGATATCACCCCTGCAGGCATATTTGGGCTTAAACTGTTCGAGAACAGTTTAACTCCTTGAGGTGAGAGTGCTTCCAGGGCACCATAACAACTTCATTTATGTTAAGTTGTTTTGGTGCCTGGAGTATGCCTTTAAATACCTGCAGCTTACTCTGAAATATTGTCTCACACTATATTCTAACCATTTCATGGGGACAATATATACAAAAAAAGCGAAAAGTTGACGATCAAGTTTTTCCGCTGAGTGCTGTACTCCTAGGACTTTGCCCTGTAATTTCAATCCCTCCCCCCTCCCACCCTCATATCCATTATTCTTGTGATCTTGAACTTAAACTCAGAAAGTGATAAACCTCTGACATTGGTATACATTGCATTACTAAACCAATAATTGATAATGGAATTGAAAAGAAATCTAGGACAAATATTTTTGTTTTTGTTTGTTTGCTGTTAAAGTCTAAGCTATAGTTCATATTTTATGTTTCATAAAACATTCCTTTTTAATTTACTCCAATCTCTAGGTCTCTCTCATTTTATTTTGGCCCATTCTTTTCTAAAAAATAAAATGTTTGTGTAATGGAATCAAACCGCAGTACTATTTACAGTAAAGGGTTTTTATACTTGAAACAATGTTGATAAACATGTGTAAATAATGTACTGTGGCCTTATCATGAAGTTTCCTAAAATGTCCAGAATTGTCCTGTCCCTTTGCCTGGCTATTTAAAATGTTGGTATGTATTCATTAGGCTCGTGCACTGCAAGGATAACCAGTTCGGCCAAACCATTTTCCCCAAAAAATAGAAAATGTTTCTGGCCTAATTTTAGCCATGTGACTACTCTGCATAATTCTGTATCAAAAACCCGATTTTGGAAACGAATCAGACAAACCAAAAGATTTGAGTAGGTAAAATGTTTTTTTTCTTTATCTAAAAGAACATCTTAGTACCTCTGTAAATAGTAAATTAGGATTAGTCCACACAGTGGAAAAAGGGCTTTCATCAGCAGATTAGGTTTTGTGACATCTATGTGGTATTTTTATTTTTAACCCATTAAAAGAAGTCGCTAACGAACCATTGTGATCATATTGTCATCAGTGTTTGTCACCTCAAAGGTTTTGATATTCAGGGAAAAGGAGGACACAAGCACTTTATATTGTTTAGCGCTTTATATTGTTAAAGGTACAGTAAAGTGAAATGCAATGCTTCCTTTTGCTAAGGCCATGTCATAACATATGGTTTATATTTAAAATGTCTGCTATGTTCCTAGTCTGTGGGGTTTTTTGTGCATGGTCAAATTTGCAGAATGAGATATGGGACACCATTTATTTCCGTTCAAGTCAATATAATATTGCTTTACTTAGATATGCATTGCTATGGCAGCCCAGATAGTTTGTATTTTCATAAAGCAATCTTACATTAACTGACACAAACTGTGAATAAAAAGCTACTGTAAAAGTTATGAGCTAAATTTGAATGGCTAGAAATTCAAAGTGAATTAAAAATAATTTTCAGATAATATACCAATTCAGCTATGTTTTAGTTCCGCTGTTTTGACTTTAGAAGCTATTCACTAAATCGATTTGTAGATCTAGAATTTGCATTGCAAAATGTATCTGCTCTGGGGGTTAATGATACCATACTACACACAAAACATGATTCAGATTTAATTTGGTAAGTGTCATAGTTCTTGTGAATAATCTTACTTGACTTTCTGTCAATAGATGCATATAGATTAACCCCTCCCCACTTTTCTTTGTCTTTAAAACTTTACATAGTAGAATAATTTGTTTTATATCATAATGTAATCCTGATGTAAATGCTGAGAATTGTCATTCTTGTTAATAAACCATGCAGCCAAAATGTAATAGATTTCAAAGATTGATCATTTCCAAGGATTTGTATTATATTAACCTACCAACAGTGACACTGCTAGATAGCAAATGGACCAGGGTAATTTCTTATAATCCGTGTGTGTGTACTTATGCTCCTCCTAAAACCACCCCTAAACAACACTTCAGATCCAACACTGAACCCTAACTTCTATAAATTTATATTTTGATCAAATCTGTGATTAAATTCAGTATTCCCTGAACCTATATTTATGTTCACCCACTGAATTAAAGGCTTACCCACAGCAATACCCTCACACTGCAATATAATTTCAGAATTAGTGCTACAGCCACAAACAATATAATTTAGTATAGTTCTTTCTCTTTTAGTATTATGTGGGACTTGGCGCTAACAGTGAAGGTGCCACAATTAGACCTGCTGATCCCTCCATTCCCCCAGCAATGCGCTTTTATTTTATTTTATTTTTATTCGCCTTCCATTTACCAATTTGTATGTGATGAAAAATAAAATTGAAATGTAGAAATCCACAATGTAATATTTATCTTGATGTTGGAACGGAGAGCCTCCATCCTGGCGTCCTGTCAATTTTCATTGTTAGTGAGCATAAAGGAGTGAAACCGTTTTTATTTTTTTGTGTGTGTACGCACGCGCATACATATCCCTAATGCTCTCACAGCCATAATGCAATGAATACACTCTTCTCACAATTATCATAGCATTGTCGTGGGGCTAAAAAAAACATTGCAATGGTCTGAATGGCTGTGACTCACCGGAGGAACATTATGTCTGCACCAAGTGGAGGTGCAGACTAAAAATCTCCTGGGCTCCCCTCTTTAAAGGGACTCTCCAGTACCAGGAAAACAAACCATTTTTCCTGGCGCTGCAGGTTCCCCCTCCCTCCCACCTCTCATCCCAAGTTGCTGAAGGGGTTAAAATCCCTTCAGTGACTTACCTGTATCCAGCGCCGATGTCCCTCGGCGCTGGTAAGGCTCCACCCATGATCACCCCGCCAACATCAGCCGGCGGTTAGACCTATTGCGCATTCGCGGCAGGGCAGATCTAATGTGCATGCGCGGCCTCCCCATAGGAAAGCATTGAATAATGCTTTCAATGCTTTCCTATGGGGATTTCGGCAACGCTGGAGGTCCTCACATAGTGTAAGGACCTCCAGTGTCGTATAACACACTTCTCGTCTTCTATGAACACGTAAGTGACCTCTAGTAGACGGCCACTAGAGGAGGACTTAAAGGACCAATCTAGGCACACAGACCCCTTCAGCTTAATGAAGTGGTCTGGGTGCCAGGTCCAGCTAGGGTTAACCCATATTTATTATAAACATAGCAGTTTCGGAGAAACAGCTATGTTTATGAATGGGTTAAGCCTTCCCCCAAAGCCTCTAGTGGCTGTCTCATTGACAGCCGCTAGAGGCGCTTGCGTGCTTCTCACAGTGAGAGCACGCAAGCGTCCATAGGAAAGCATTGATAATGCTTTCCTATGCGACCGGCTGAATGCATGCGCATTCAGCCGATGAGGAGGAGGAGAGCTCCCCGCCCAGCGCTGGAAAAAGGCATGTTTAACCCCTTTCCCCTTTCCAGAGCCGGGCGGGAGGGGGACCCTGAGGGTGGGGGTACCCTCAGGACACTATAGTGCCAGGAAAACAAGTGTGGTTTTCCTGGGACTATAGTGGTCCTTTTAACCCTGCAAGGTAAATATTGCAGTTTATGAAAACTGCAATAATTAAACTTGCAGGGATAAGTGTAGTGAGAGTTGGCACCCAGACCACTCCAATGGGCAGAAGTGGTGTGGGTGCCTGGAGTGTCCATTTAACAAGACTGCTCTGGTCCAGTAAGGGAGACGAACAGGCCTTCCTTCAGGTTGTGTGTATGTGTATACTTGCTGTATTCTGAAATATTTCAATGTTACTGTCTTTCCTCAGAATTTAGTGTTGCTCAGCAATTAAGGCTGTGAAGTTCACTCATTTTACTTGTCTGTTGCATATGGTTATGATCTATAAATGTAAAATCTTTAGAATGCCGGTGTACATTCCTTTTACATATCTGATTTGTAATATGTGACACTGCAACATTCACAAGCTTAGAATTGCTTGATTTATCTAGTGTCACTTAGTTTTATATTATTATTATTATTATTATTATTACCATTTATATAGCACCAACAGATTCCGTAGCACGTTACAATATTATGAGAGGGGAATTATAGATTGTATCTGTTCAATATATGCGCTTGGAGCAGAAAAGGTCAATTTTTGTATCGGTTTTTCAGAATTGGCAAGATCATGTTTGCTGTAGAATTCCTAAACAAACTTTAAAGCATATAAATTGGGGGCATGGATTGTCTATTTGCCTCTTTATTTCCAGTGTGTTAAGGCATCCCCAGTTAGCTTTATTTTGCTGAAGTGGAAAATATTTGAATCTGTACTAATGTTTTCTCTTTATAGATATGCTCTGTGTGTGTGTGTGTGTGTGTCCCAGCTCTTTTCTAGTTCATCGTAACTGTCACTGGCCTGCAGGGCTGTAAGCAGTTTGTTAAATAGTGGGCAAATATTTATGGATTATCCTGGTAATCTGGTAGTTACAGCTTCAGAGAGGTGAATCTCTTAATGTTCCTCTAATGTTGCTCGGTACTGTCTACATGAAAATATCGGTCCCTGAATATTTTTTATTTTTTCCCCTCCTAATATTGCTGAGCAGAAAACACCAATGGTTCTGATATCTGTTGGAGAAAGCAGAATAGGGGTAGGAAAATATTTTAGAAGACCCCCTTAGACACCTGAGAGGGCAACGGTTGTGAATTGGGTACATTTATAGGCCTAGAAAACATGGCATTTCTTGGACCCTGATAGTGGTGCTCATATATATTGTGGAGAATGTTCTATTGAATTCAAATTGTAAGGGAAACTGGACATGTTCGGGGCACTAGTATTTTGGGGTCAACCCTTGTGAACTGTTTCTGTCTAACTATTGAGAATAAAAAAAAGTTCTACTGCCAAAGATTTTCAATGTTAAAGCATCATGGGAATTGTAGTGCTACACAGCACAGGGGAGGGGGATTATAGATCTTTTTACACTATATAATTTTTTTTTATTTTTGAGCCTTCAGCCCTGTTATTTCCTCTGGGAAATGTGTACTAGAACTTGTGTAAATAATACCATGTTAGCACAGTTACTTTGTCCACTGTGTAAATATTTAAACATAAATCTCTCCTGTAAACTACTTGACATGTTATTTAGTAAACACAAACTCTTAATGCAGAGTATAGAGATTTTTATTTTATTCTTCCTTCTCCCTCCCCCTTCCCTTTTCACTGTGGGGAAATTATCAGGGCTTGATAAAGTCAGTCTGTATAATGTTGCCAAAGCAGAACTTCCCTTTTGCTTGTGATCTCCTAACATGAAGGTGTGCAAGCAGATAACCCAAAGCGTATCATTTGGTACGTCACCCCAGTGTTCCTGGTCAACACCTATAAATTCTTTATTTTATACCCCCATATAAAGAATTGCTTCTTGTAATATTTTTATTGCAAATTTGAAGATCAAGAAAGGAAGAGTGCAAGTAATGGAGAGCTTCAAGCCATTGCTATTTGAAGGAGTGTTTCGTGATTTGTGTCCAAGTTGTGAAATATAGATCGGGTGATTTTTTTTTTTTTTTAATTTATTCTGAATGAAAGAGAAAACTGCAGCTGATAACAAGCGATCTATATTGCAATAATTATTTACTATAGTAGACCTAACCTTTTCATCGGTTTCACTGAAGACTCTCCTTGCATGTCCATTATGCAGTGGTCGTTGGAATTTATCAATTTGTTGGAAGAGGGGAGGGGAAAAAAGGATCCTCAGATTAGCATTTTTTAAATTTATTTCTAAGTTTGTCAATTGCATTGCAACATTGTGAAACTTTTTTTTTTTTTTCTCCCTTGTATACACGTGCTAACAACTAACGCTTTAAAAAAAAAAAAAATACAGTATATACTCGAGTATAAGTCTAGTTTTTCAGCACATTTTTTGTGCTTAAAAACCCCCACTCGACTTATACTCGAGTCACTGTCTGTATTATGGCAACTTAGAGAGCCGCGGCCGTCAGAGCCATGGCAACGATCCGCGCGGCAACCAGACCGCGAGACTTACAGTGGAGCTGACCGGAACGGAGGAGAAGGGAGCTGACAGGAGCTGCAGGAAAGGTAAGTAAATGCTTCCTGCCGGCCCCCCCACTTCACAGCCCATGCCACTGGACCACCAGGGATTAAGATAGCCCCCCTCCCTGACCAGTTAACAAGCAGGGAGGGGGGGACAAAAAAAAATTAAAATAATAAAAAAATTAAAATAATAAAAATGCCCTCCCCCCACCCAGTTCACACACACTACACAAACACACACTCTGCATTATATACACACTCTGCATTATATACACAGTGTGTGTATATAATGCAGTGTGTGTTCGTATGAGTGTGTGTGTATATAATGCAGAGTGTGTGTTTGTATGAGTGTGTGTGTGTGTGTGTGTGTGTATATAATGCAGAGTGTGTGTTTGTATGAGTGTGTGTATATATAATTATAAAAATCACAGAATTTCATAGCCCCAAGATTTACCGTCGACTTATCCACGAGGCATAGCATATTTCACAATTGTTGGTCACAAAACTGCACTCGACTTATACATGAGATCGACTTATACACGAGTATATACGGTATATATATTTTTTCAATATTCTCAAAATGTGATAAAAATAGGTAGGTTTTATTTGTATACTATGGCTTTATAAATGGAAACAGATGGATTTTTAGAGCTCAGGGCAAGATAAGCTGTAATTATAACTAGAATTCTTGCAAAACAGGTTCAGGGGGTAGATGCTAACCCTTAATGATTCTGAGAAGTAGCATACAAACCAGTATTCCTGACCCTATAGTGTTAAAACCACAATTTAGGTGGCTTGCCCTCTTAGGGTTAAAACTTATCTAATTTCCAGCTCTCTACAGGAATTGATTATCTCAGCCAATGTAATGCTTTCCCACAGGAAAAGCAATATATTGGTTGAGATTGTCAAGGGGGCAGGGCCAAAAGCCACCCTGGCAAATGGTCATCTCCTCAACATCGGTGCATTGAAACAATGCATCTTTATTCAGCATCTCTATGCAGAGTGTGAAGATGAACATAAGTTCTGCACACTGTGCAGCACTGCCCCAGGAAGCACCTACAGTGGCGTGGCCATCTGAGGAGTGTCCACTGGAGGTGTCCCTAGGCTTTAATGTAAACTGCCTTTTTTTTTTTTTAAAGACTGTGTGTTTACCGCAAAAAGCCTGCAGGAACTTGCTATACTCACAGGACAACTACAATAAGCTTTAGTTGTTCTGGTGACTATAGTGTCCTTTTTAAGTGTGAACGGAGTTTCCCATTTTCTGGAAATTCATCTTTTACTTACAGGAACATTGGGTGTGTAGATGTTGTTGTTCCTGGTCTTGGGAATGGAGTCTCTGAAATAAACATCACTCCTCCTCATCCTTCCAGATTCTATGAGAAGGGGAGGAAACCAAAAGGTCAGGTTTTAATTCATGATTGTTCTTTGTCATTTCTGCTTTATTTATTTTTTCTTGGGTTTTCACTTCCTAAGAATTTCATTTTAGTTGTATTAGTGCTCAGGCATTCCTGCTAAAAGGATTGCGTGTATTTGAAAGGAAAGTGTCCCGTGACTGTCAGAAATGAATATACATTTCAGAGCCAGGTTCCTCAACCGGATTGTTAGAAGATAAAAACAAAAAATACTATTTTATTTTTTTGGGGGGGGGGATTGTTTGCATTTTATTTTTTTCATTTTTGATTGCTTTAGCTGCAGATTGTGAGAAAAGCGGCAATTATGGTGCTGTATAATATTCTATGTTAGTGAATTGGGGGTTAAAGGGACACTATAGTCACCGGAACAACTACAGCTTTATGTAGTTGTTCTGGTGAGTATAATCCTTGCCTTTAGGCATTTTCATGAAAACACTGCATTTTCAGAGAAAAGGGGGTGTCACTAGGGGCCATGTAAACACTGCCAAGTGGCCACTCCTCAGATGGCCACTGGAGGTGCTTCCTGACGCAGTGCTGCACAGTAGGCAGCAGTGCCGTTCAGAGTCTCCACGCTCTGCATGGGGACGCTGAATTTTCCTCATAGAGATGCATTGATTCTTTGCGAGGAGGTGCTGATTGGCCAAAAAGGCATTTTTACCCTACCCCCTTGCAGATTTCAGTGAATCTAATGGAAAGCATTGGATTGGCTGAAAATCGTCAATTCTAATATCACCATGGGGGCGAAGCTAGTGCCGGCAGACCCACGCGGCGCAGAAAATAAGGAGTTTTTTTTTTTTTTTTTTTTATTGCTTTTTAGGGAGGCTAAGGGGGCAAGCAACCTAAATGGTGGGTTAAACACTATAGGGTCAGGAATACACGTTTGTGTTTCTGTCCCTATAGTGTTCCTTTAATATAGTAAATGTAGCCTTCTGGAAATGGGGTAAAGCCCACATCTCCCTGCTTTATTATACAATTTCACTAATCACACTGTTCTAAAGAAGTGCTTTCTTAATTATTATTTATATAGCGCCATCAGATTCCGTAACGCTGTACAATTCTCCCTCCTTATCCTTTTATCCTTCTGTCTAAAAGAAACACTATAGGGTTAGGAACTCAAACATGTATTCCTGACCCTCTAGTGTTAAAATCACTATCTAGCTCTACCTCCCCTCCCTAAATATAGCAACATCTTACTTTTATTCTAGTCTGCTGCTGTTGGCTCTGCCCATGATCTGCCTGCTTGGCTTTTGTTCAATACTTCTGATGTCAGCCAATCACAATGCTTTCCCATGGGATTGGCGTAGACTGTCAAGGAGGCAGATCCGGAACAGTCAACACGGGCCTGGCCTATTGGCATCTCCTCATAGAGATACATTACATCTGAGGAAAGCTCAGTCTCCATGCAGATGGTGGAGACCCTGAATGGCATTGCTTCACACTGTGCAGTACTGCCCCAGGAAGCACCTCTAGCAACCATCTGAGGAGCGGCCAGTGACTAAACTAATGTAAACACTGCATTTTCTCTAAAAGGACAGTGCTTTCCTGGCACCTTTTTAATAGATGCCAGAGTCAGGGCCGGACTGGGAAAAAAAATTAGGCCCGGGCATTTTTCAATTAGAGCGGCCCCCCAAGAAGGGGGCGAGGCCAGAGAGGGTGTGTTTTGTCATCACTAATGACAAGATAGCCCCCTCTCAAAGTGAGCATGTTGGTTCAATGCGCAGAGCCCCGCTGAAGAGCTCTAGCATTAGAAATAGGCCCTGTATTTGTTCTGCGCAGCGCAAGCAAATGTAATAACATGCTTGAGCTGTGTTTGCTTTTAAATTGTCTCTGGTGTCTCCACAAGTGGGATACCAGAGGACAAAAGGGCTAGGAAAGTATGTTGCATGTGTTTGGTGCATGCTTGTGGGATTGCCTGTGTGTAGAGTGTGGTGTGGTATTGTGTAAATTTTGTGGTGTAATATGTGTGGCTAGGGGCTGTAGAGAGTGCGTGTATAGGGGCATAATGTTATAGGGTATGTAGCGAGTGTGTGCATACGGGCAGTAGTGTGTGTGGGGGTTGTAGAGAGGGTGTGTTTAGAGAATGTTGTATGTGTTTGCTTATAAGGAATGTAGTGTGTGTAGGTGGTGTGTGTGTGTGTGTGTGTGTGTGTAGAGGATTAAGAGTGCATATAGGGTAAGGGATCTAATGTGTATCTGGAGCGTAATGTGTGAGGGGTGCTGTAGTGTGTGTGTGTGTGTGTGTGTGTGTGTGTGTGTATATAATATATTTAGACATATTGTATGTGTGAGGTGCACAGTGTGTTTGTGTAAGAGGGGTGATGTGTGTGAGGGTGTTTTTATCTGCCGTCACATTCTAGGTTTCTAATTTTCTTTGTCTGTTAACTCACTGAGGGTGATAATAATAATAATAATAATAATAATTATATATATTGTGTGGGGGGGGGGCTGTTAGGGAATTTATTTTAAATATTTGTTTTTATTATTAATAATTAAAATAAAGAGTTATGTCCGCCCCCTCCCTTCTTGCCTTTATCCTGGGAGGGGGGGGGAGGAGATCCGTGTTGCCGTGGAGGGGGGCTGTACTGCCATCCTTCCCTGGTGGTCCAGTGGTGAGAGTGAACTTTAGCCTGCAGGCTAGAGTTCACTCTCGCGAGATCTGAACGTTGCCGCGGTAACGCTCAGAATCCCACGAGAGGACCCGGCGGAGCTGCTGGTTGATCTCCCCACCGGCTCATGGAGGCACACAGCGGGTCCGGCGCTCTGATAGCGCTGGCCCTGCAGGGGCTGACAGGGGAGATCCTGTGATCTCCCCTGCCGGCCTCGGCCCCACGGCCATCGCGGCCCACCGGGCATTTGCCCAGTATGCCTCCTGGCCTGAGTGCACCCAGAGCATTATTGGGGAATATTTCCTCTTGAAACATTAGTGCTTCAGAGTTGAGTATGGGGTTTTTTTTTTTTTTTTTTTCTGGCCCCTACTCATCACATGAGTAATCCCTACAATAGTGTTTGGGATGAGGAACTAACCATTCTAGAGAGGTCCGTCCATCCCAGATTGCAATAGAAATGTTATAAATTAACCTTGTTACTCCCCTTCTCAAGCTGTCAGACAATAAGTCCTGGTTGTATAACCTAGTGGATCTAAACCCATGGGGTAGCAATTGCCCCGGATATCTTCCTCAAGATAGTTTCTCATTGAGATCTACCCCCAGTAGGGAAAAAGTGCGTATGTATGTATGTATGTATGTATGTATGTATGTATGTATGTATGTATGTATGTATGTATGTATGTATGTATGTATGTATGTATGTATGTATGTATGTATGTATGTATGTATGTATGTTTATTTTGGGGGTGCTGTAGAGTGGTTTTTTTTTTTTTTAAACTACTTGAGAAGCCTACTGATGCCTGTCATGCTTTCTCTCAATTTAACTCTCTACTTGAACACAATCCATCTCGTTTCTGCTCTCAAAATGTTGTTGACAGAGCACTTGGCAAATAGATTTTTGTGAAAATGTAACTTCGTGTAGCAATCTTTGCCAAAATGAGTGCGGAACTGACAACTTGCACCCAGTCCAAGTCTTGGGAGCCAAGCTTATCTAATAAATGAATGGTTAGCGCAGTGGATTTATGTGATATGTGGTTCAGCGGGCAGCAGTTCTAGATAAACCTCCTGCCTATGCTTTTAGTGTATAAGATATTTGTGAAGGAGTGCGTGTGCAGAGTATGTGGAGGACTTGAACCACAAATGAATTCTTGGCCTCCTATTCTGTTGTCTGTTAGTGAAGATGTAGCTTACAGCTGCAGAGCGGTTTGTTTTTATTATGCGAATCATTGCAGTTATACTGTCTACATAGGCCCTTCCTGGACCACAACTGTTACAAAAGGCGTAGGATAGCACGGTGTTTGTGGTGTTTGATCTTATTTAATAAATACAACTGATTAACCTCCATGCTACTAAAGTTCTACCTCTCTGACACATTTGGTACATTGATTGTTGAGCACACTTTAGATCAGGCTTCCCCAAACTCTGACCCTCCAGATGTTGCTCAACTAAAACTCCCATGATTCTATGAATTATATAAGCTGAGAATCATGGGAGTTGTAGTTCAGTAACCTCTTGGGGGAGTTTGGGGGAAGCCTGCTTTAGATGATATGTTCTGTATCCTTCTCACGCACTGGCTTCTGCACACTAACACTTTCTGCATTTCCGTCCTTTGGCCACCTACTACACACACCCTCTCTGCAAAAACTTTGCTTCCTTTTGACTTTCAGTATAATGTGAATATCAATGTATCTCTCCCCTGCAGGCTTTCTCTGTTAACTTTGTGTTAGCCTATAGTCACATTTTTCTTCTGTAAGAAGATAAGTCACTACATGTGAGCCCAATGGTTCTCCCCACAGGCAATCTGGTACAACATAGTTAGAAGGATCTTGTTTAGGAAATACATGATTTTATTTTTGACTAAAATTTTATTGAAGAGTCAAACTGTTGTGCCAAGTGAAATAAGTTCAAGGAAAACTATTGTTGGCAATACAAATGTGTATTCCTATAGTGCCATATTAACTATTTATGTTCCCGGACCACCTCTCTGTAAAAGGGGAAAAAAAATCTGTTTTCCGTACCTTTTCTCCCTCGCGGTGCTGGTGTCTGCACGAACATCCTGCCTCCACGGCAGAAATAGTCAAGATTATCGATATCAATCAATCCAGTATTTCCCATGGGAAAGCATTGGGAGGCTAGTGTGCATGCTTGTGCCAATCAGATGGTTGCCATGAGTTTCACTTGGCTGTTAACTACAGGTATAATTTGTCCCAGACCACTTCACTGAGATGAAGCTGTCTGGGCACCTGTAGTGTCCTTTTAAAAAAAAAAAAAAAAAAAAAAGTTGTAAAAGGGAAAGAATTACATATTTAACCATTTAGTTACAGCATTGAGGAGGCTACTGGTAAACTTCAAAGAAATATGGAAATTTTTATGTAGTATGTGGCAAACCTAGCCACTTGGACATTATACAGAGACTATGGCTTTAAGGGTTGCCTGTATGGTTGTGGTGATATGTATGTTCCTGGGTGTAATGTATGCTGACTGTATAGTATTGTATTGCCTGCATTGGCTATCAGCCGAAAGCAGATAGCTGGATTTCCTTTCGTTTCACGAACGGCGCCTTTGAGGGTTCGTTCGTGAACCGAATAAACCAACCTGTAACAGCCCACACATTAAGAGACGTGTGGCGCTTGTTAACCGATTGCAACAATGTTGCAATCGGTAATTAGAGGCTCTCCTAGGTGGCCGTCGTTCGACTTCCGACCACGCGGCGGTCGGCCATCTTGGATCCTTTGTTCCTCCAGCGGTGTTTGGTCGTCAAGCGCGTGGTACTAAAAACGGCTACTCGACGGCGCGAACACCGCTTGACTTCCAGGCCGTTCGGGAGTTCCGGGCCGTTCGGTATTTTATTCCCCATATGCCAATCGGTCTTTTGAATGCATGTTTTGGTGAATATGTTTTTCATACGGCATTCGGTTGTTTTAGCTGGGATCTGAGCGGTAATCTCACGAATGATGCGCTCAGACCCCAGCTATCTACAGAACGTCCATTCGTGCAAATTAACCTAATATTTGAAAAGTTGTGTTTTTTTTAATATAAATTGCCGGTTCTGCTGCACGGAGGGATAATCCACTTAACTGTACATTCCAGTGGGAGGATCCCTCTCGTACAGCAGTGCCTGATGGGAGAAATTCTCTGTTTTTTTAAGTTTCCCATGTAGTCCACTCCTGTAATACCCCTGGGGTAGGACTCAGGAAACCCCTTGCATGGGGAATTGTATAAATTGTGGAGCCTGTGAATAAAGCCTGAGTTGACTCTCAGAACTGTGTTTCGTCCGGTTACTGGGAGATTTGGGATATGGCCTTACTTTTCAGCGCTTGACTGTGGATTACCTTCTGAACCAGCGGAAATCGTGGGATTTAATATTGCCGCTCCGCTACATAGTACATAGGACATTAACCAAAATGCACTCACACAAATTACAGCTAATGTTCATCCTCCACCCATCCCCAAGGAATTCCTCTTCAAATGCACTCTGCCGTGGACATTATCTTCTGAGGAGACTTGTTACTGAGAAACATCCTAACTAAAAGGGATACTACAGTGAAAGGATTAGTTACATTATAGCTACGTCAGCCCACTGCACTGCAAGGGTTAATCAACAGCCAATAAACCCTTACTATATTCCTCCGATTAACCCCTTCACAACCGTGGACGGTTCAGGCCCGTCATCGGAAAAATCCCATTGAGGACCGGTGACTGTCCTGAACCGTCATAACGGTATTATGTACTTACCCAAACGCCGTCGTTCCCTCGGCATTGCTCCTTGAGTGGGGAGACTGCCTGACCGCCCAGGCAGTCTCCCCATGGCAAATTAGGACCCCGCGGCCATGTGATCACTCAACAGTGGTCACATGGCCAAAATAGCTTTCCAGTATAGTATCTGCCTGCAGGGGGACTGCCTGTGCTGACCTTTTATATCTGTTATATCTATATATGTCATGCTAAGTGTGTTTTTTTTTTTTTTATATTAATATATGCATATATTAATATAAAAATACACTTAGAATTAAATTACACGTGTGTTTGTATAATATATATTAATATATTTATATCAAAATACACTTTGACTATATATCTATGTAGATATAAATCAAAATAATACAAAATATATCCATATACAATTTCATAAACATACACGACTTCAAATATATATTTAAATTCTACGTGCATATTTATGTAATATTTTCACATAATTAAGTAATTTTATTGATTGCAATTTGAAGGACCTGCCTGACAACCCAGGCCAAAAGTCCAGAGAATTTAATTTGCTAGCACTGTATTTAACCCTGTAACTTTCTATGACACCCTAAATCTGTACATGGAGGGTACTGTTTTACTCGGGAGACTTCGCTAAAAACAAATTAGTGTTTCAAAACCGTAAAACAGATGATATTGTCCGTATAAGTGACGTTTTTTGCATTTTTAACACACAAATGGCACTTTCACTGATGCTATCACTGTGATACATTTTACTGTTTTGAAACACTAATATTTGTGTTCGGCAAAGTCTCCCTAGTATAACAGTACCCCTCCCATGTACAGGTTTTATAGTGTTTTTGAAAGTTACAGGGTCAAATATTTTTACATGGAAAATTGCCAGATTGATTCTGTTGCCTTTGAGAGTGTATGGTAGCCCAGGAATGAGAATTACCCCCATGATGGCATACCATTTGCAAAAGTAGACAACCCAAGGTATTGCAAGTGGGGTATGTTCAGCCTTTCTTTAGTAGCCACTTAGTCATAAACACTGGCCAAAGTTGGAGTTCATAATAGTTTTTTTTTGCATTTTTAACATGCAAACATAAATGCTATCTTTGGCCAGTGTTTGTGACTAAGTGTCTACTAAAAAAGACCGGACATACCCCATATTGAATACCCTGGGTTGCCTAACTGAAATTTTTTTTTTTTTAATGTATATTTAAGGTGTGATTCAGTAATGTGACAGATAACAGTGTTACAATGTCACTATTAATACATTTTAAAAATATATATATTGTTTTTTAAACCGCAATTTCCTACTTGTACTTATAGCCCTATAACTTGCAAAAAAGCACATAAAAACTGGATCTTTTTAAACTCAGGACAACATTTTGAATCTATTTAGCAGTTGTTTTTTGTTTTTGTTTTTTTCACTAGCTTTCGTAGGTAAGTGAAAGATTTTTCAAGCAAAAGTCAAACGTGTGTTTTTTTTTGTTTTTTTTTTTTAAAGTAAACTATGATATGATCCAAATAATGGTAAAGAAAGTACTTTTTGTCCTGGAAAAAAAAATATGTAACTTGTATGGGAACAATAAAATGAGAGGAAAAAAATACAGCTAAATACAAACACCACAAACATTTTAAAACAGCCTTGGTCCTTAACGTACAACATGGCCAAAACAGTCCGGTCGTGAAGGGGTTAAAGAGTGAACTCCCTCGGCACTGGGTCAGCTCTCTGCCTCCTGCAACATCATCCCGATGGTGGGCTAATGTGCGAGCAATGCATTACACATAATGTATTTTTATTTGAAACTGGGAAGTGACAGGAGAGCTTTCATAGGCTACTGGTTTGATGGTTTTCAGGAAAAATGGTCAGTGTGTTTCCTGCTCTGCAGGTTTTTTTTTTTTTTTTTTTTAAAAGACCATATAACCACCTGTTTTGAAATGATTGTGGAATGTATGTACTGCACACTATAAGATTTTTCTGAGGTCACCAAAAAGCAAGTTGTCTGTGGTGAGGTAAGAGTTCTTTCTAAATATGACGTAACTTTCTTTCTTTATTTATTTTTTTAATTCATTTATTTTCTTAACTTTCTGTCTTTTCTGTCAAAGGTATTTTATTTTTAATTGCCACACGCCTTGTTTTGTTTAATGCTGTTTACATATCCATTACTAATGTTTAAGGGTGCTCCACCTGTCCCTATCTGGTCTACAGCTGTCATGCTGATTTAAGTATACTAAATCAGTATAAGAAGCATTTGTGGTGATTAGTATCTCCAAATCATGTGTTCCTGCAATGCTGAAACAGTCATAACAGGTTTGTTCCATCAGTGACAGGATTAGAAGTGTGTTAAATAAATATAAAATGTACTCCTATGTCGGCTGCAAATCTTGCTGGGGAAGACCTGTCAGGATACCTGATCAGAGTTTTCAGATCCCACAGGTCTCCCTGACATCAGGGGACTACCTGGTGATGCCACATATGTCACCGCAATTTTCATGCAAATGTTCCCATACCCATGCTCATTCCCTTAGTAATTCTCATATCTGTGCTCACTTTGAGAACTACACATACCTAATCTGTCTGCTTTGGACCACTCCTTTTTGTCCACAGATCTCTCCAATGCTATCAGATATTTTAAACATGATGCACTATAAACCATGTCTATGACTGTATCCTTTTTTTTTTTTTTTATATGGTGCCAAGGTCAATGCCACTTTCCTACCTGGGGAGGTTTAACCATTTGAACACTCTTAACTCCAAAGGTTCACTCTCCAGTGCCGGATCTTCTTGTCCCCCACAGCAGCATTTTTTTAAATTTTTTTTTCTCCAATGGTTTTTCAGAAAGTGTGGAGTGCTGCCGAGCATGGGCACCACTGATTGAGAGCAGTCAGCTAACACTCTAAGCCAATCAGGCGCTTCGCATATATGAAAAGTACATGCCTGTCTCAGTCGCTCTGCCAATGACTTGGACAATTTGCGTGTCCTGCGGTTGCAGGATTTCTCCTGCAGCTCCATGTCTTTTTAGAAGCCCCTCAAACCAATTTCTTTGCCTTGAAAAACTTAAGTGTTATTTGTATAATGTCTTTGTGGTAGGTTGAGTAAAAACAAGGTTTGTAGCCTTTCAATTTTTTTTTTCCCCCTTAAATCTCTCATCTATCCTAACATAGGCCGCAGTTATAAGCGTTCCAAAAGATTCAATACTGTTTGGGAAAAATCTTCCACATTATTTATCTACAGAAGTCACCATTTTAATGTAACAATGCAAAGTTTGTGTGCCCAGGACATACTTGAAAACGTGTGTGTGTGTGTGTTTTAAAAAAAAAAAAAAATATAATAATAATAAAAATTTTTTGTAGACTTGTGCTTTTCTTTTCCTGTCAGGCAATCAGCGATTCATCAGAATTCCATAACACAACTGGTAATGAACGAGTAATTTAATTTGTTTCATAATTCAAATATGGCAACTGTCCAGCACTTGCTAAGCAGCTGCCATATTAAAATGTTTAAATAATAAAAAGTCAATTAATCGGGGGGTGGACCTGTGATGAATGGGTGGGGACTCTATAAAACACACCCAATGCCCATTGGTACAAGGTAGATGGAGAATATCAGGTTCTACATTAGTGGGGGTGGGAGGGAGTTCCTGAAAACTGAACTCCTTGTCTCTCCTCCTCCAAATACGGATCCTCTTCTTCTTTCGCTTTCCCTTCAAGTCAGTGATATCCATATCAATTTGTCTTTTCATTAGACCAGACATCCCCTGTGGCATTACTGGAAGGCAATAATGTAGATCTTACACATCCCGTATACTAATGACAGCCATATTTAACTCCACAGGCTTTTCATTTCCAACTTACTGCTTTCCCAAACACTCAATGGGTACCTGTCATGCTATTAATAACTTTTGCTCTTTTGTGTTTTAGCTTAGCCAGAACTGTCAAATCAGTTTTTCAGCATAGATTTTTGATGAAGAATTAATAAGGGTGAGCAGAAAGAGGCCTTCCACAGACCGTTCTTTTGCTCCTCCAAGCATAGCAACCACAGTGCATGTACGGTGATTGCCATGGTACCTCTCTAGCTGGTGCTGTTGGCACTGGTTATGGAGTAAAGGAACAAAGTGACTGGTGTTGCTCCATTTAGATGCTGGCATGCAGATAACTGTCAGTGTCACAGAGAGATTTGCCCTTCTTTGAAAAGCATCCCAGGCAGGGCAAAACAAAGGAGATTGCAGGAGGACTGGAAGTAGGTGTTATAGAAATGTAATACCATCTTCTGTGAGGCCATGGTGGTGCAGGAGTGGAGGCTGAGACGACTACAGATTATCTTTAATTGATGACCTTCTTTCCCACTTTGCCCCCTCTCTGATTATCTTCTGTTAACATTTGTTTTCGGTTTTATTCCCACATTCTAAAGCAGTGTGGAATAAGTTGACGATAAATAATGTATGTGAAATTTTTCAGCTTCATGGAGTGTCTCTTTAAGGTTTTTTCTTTTCTCGTGAGTACACCTTATTGTTTTAGCAGCTGTTGGTGATCCCTGCCTTTTGCTATAGCTTCTTTGTTGTCCATGGCTAATAATTTGACTTAAAAATAAACAATATATCCAGACGTATATAATTGTTTATTAAAGTAGACACACAGCTTACGTCGGCATCTTTAGAATAGTTGAATAGACCAATTGTAATATTTGTTCTTCGTGAGTAAACTGCTTGTTTGGAAAGGCTGCTGTGGATTACCTTCTGCTGCACCTCCACATCATCACTTCCTCCACTGTATGCATTTTTTTCCCTTAGTTGCTGAGATGACATTTAACTTGTAAGGTGAGCATTTTTTCATGTCTACAGGGAGTGCAGAATTATTAGGCAAATGAGTATTTTGACCACATCATCCTCTTTATGCATGTTGTCTTACTCCAAGCTGTATAGGCTCGAAAGCCTACTACCAATTAAGCATATTAGGTGATGTGCATCTCTGTAATGAGAAGGGGTGTGGTCTAATGACATCAACACCCTATATCAGGTGTGCATAATTATTAGGCAACTTCCTTTCCTTTGGCAAAATGGGTCAAAAGAAGGACTTGACAGGCTCAGAAAAGTCAAAAATAGTGAGATATCTTGCAGAGGGATGCAGCACTCTTAAAATTGCAAAGCTTCTGAAGCGTGATCATCGAACAATCAAGCGTTTCATTCAAAATAATCAACAGGGTCGCAAGAAGCGTGTGGAAAAACCAAGGCGCAAAATAACTGCCCATGAACTGAGAAAAGTCAAGCGTGCAGCTGCCACGATGCCACTTGCCACCAGTTTGGCCATATTTCAGAGCTGCAACATCACTGGAGTGCCCAAAAGCACAAGGTGTGCAATATTCAGAGACATGGCCAAGGTAAGAATGGCTGAAAGACGACCACCACTGAACAAGACACACAAGCTGAAACGACAAGACTGGGCCAAGAAATATCTCAAGACTGATTTTTCTAAGGTTTTATGGACTGATGAAATGAGAGTGAGTCTTGATGGGCCAGATGGATGGGCCCGTGGCTGGATTGGTAAAGGGCAGAGAGCTCCAGTCCGACTCAGACGCCAGCAAGGTGGAGGTGGAGTACTGGTTTGGGCTGGTATCATCAAAGATGAGCTTGTGGGGCCTTTTCGGGTTGAGGATGGAGTCAAGCTCAACTCCCAGTCCTACTGCCAGTTCCTGGAAGACACCTTCTTCAAGCAGTGGTACAGGAAGAAGTCTGCATCCTTCAAGAAAAACATGATTTTCATGCAGGACAATGCTCCATCACACGCGTCCAAGTACTCCACAGCGTGGCTGGCAAGAAAGGGTATAAAAGAAGAAAATCTAATGACATGGCCTCCTTGTTCACCTGATCTGAACCCCATTGAGAACCTGTGGTCCATCATCAAATGTGAGATTTACAAGGAGGGAAAACAGTACACCTCTCTGAACAGTGTCTGGGAGGCTGTGGTTGCTGCTGCACGCAATGTTGATGGTGAACAGATCAAAACACTGACAGAATCCATGGATGGCAGGCTTTTGAGTGTCCTTGCAAAGAAAGGTGGCTATATTGGTCACTGATTTGTTTTTGTTTTGTTTTTGAATGTCAGAAATGTATATTTGTGAATGTTGAGATGTTATATTGGTTTCACTGGTAATAATAAATAATTGAAATGGGTATATATTTGTTTTTTGTTAAGTTGCCTAATAATTATGCACAGTAATAGTCACCTGCACACACAGATATCCCCCTAACATAGCTAAAACTAAAAACAAACTAAAAACTACTTCCAAAAATATTCAGCTTTGATATTAATGAGTTTTTTGGGTTCATTGAGAACATGGTTGTTGTTCAATAATAAAATTAATCCTCAAAAATACAACTTGCCTAATAATTCTGCACTCCCTGTATAACCGGTGTATGCAGCCTTTGGCACTCCAGATGTTTTGGATATCTCCCTTGATGGTTTGCCAGCATTGTGGTTGTAAGTGCATTATGGGAGATGTTGTCCAAAACATCTGTAGTGCCAAAGGTTGCCTACACCTGGTCTGCAAGATTGCATTCATATTTGTTAAGATTGTAAGCTTGTTTGGGCAGCGCCCTCTTCACTTACTGTTCCAGTATGTCATTCATGTTTTGTTAGAATTGTGTCTATTTTGTTTAACTATTGTACAGTGCTGTGGAATGTGTTGGCATTATATAAATAATTTGTCTTCTGTGTGTCTTTTTTTTTTTTATCTGTTACACATTAAATTTGTCCAATGCTAAGTAAATGCCCACATTGAATATCACTACCTTTTCCAGTCAATGGATATCTTACTGTGTGAAATGTATATGTTCTAATGTAACAAAGGTGGTTAAGGACCAGTGCTCTAAAGCAGGGGTTTCCAGCCCAGTCTTCAAGTACCCTGTAGCACTAGTTGTTTGTGTGGGTTGTTGTGGGTTTTTCTTTTTTTTTTTTGCTCTTTCTAAAAAAACACATTAGACACAACTGGGTAATAACAAAATATAAAAGAGGGCTGTGCCACAATAAATAAATAATGTCCAGTTCCAATAGTGGTAACAGATATTAAAAGAAAGATCCAACCTAAAAGTCCTCTCTGTCGTCCTTGAATACGGGAATAGAGTCTTCAGGTATAATATAGAAAATAAAAAGAGAGAACAGCCGATAGTGCAATATGTATAGCTCAGATGAAATAAAATTCAAGTAATGGTAGAGAACTCATTTGGAAGAGCTTCAGTCCAGCTCTAGGGTAAAGCGCACACAGCGGTATAATCCCCGCTTATGGGATATATGGTGAGTACCTCTTCGTCAGGGATATCCAAAACTCAAAAAGAACAGAAACAACCAAATAGTGCGCTCTGTATAACTTGCTTCATAGGAATTAATTGAAAACGTACTTACAAATACAGAGCAGACCAACTGCTCTTTGATGCCAGCGCTGGTGGAATAATCACCACATAGGATTTCTTGGGCTGCTGGGAGCTTGCAGAAGTGGTGTTTAAAATAAAGATAAGAGATAGATAGATAGATAGATATATAGATAGATATTTTAATAAAAAGCCAGGATAAATTAAATAGGTGTATAAAAAAAAAAAAAATAATTGGTTCTAGTAAATGACCAAAAATAACTTTAATTTTTAATACACATTAGATTTCCATAACGCGTTTCGTCTACAGACTTTATCAAATGGAATACAGTACAATACCTGGCAGATAGTGTTTATATAGACACAGTTAACTTAAAAATTGGCGCCAAAAGATTTCGGCCAATCAGAATGAAGTAAAATTTCATATATTAAATTAGCATTCCTAGCTGATTTGAGGATAATAGATGTTATACTAAGGCATATCTAGTGAATTTTAACTAAAAACGAGGGTGGGAAAGGTTGTAAAAACGGGGAGACATTTGGTCACGTGATCAGCTAGTAATGCTAATTTAATATATGAAATTTTACTTCATTCTGATTGGCCGAAATTTTTTGGCGCCAATTTTTAAATTAACTGTGTCTATATAAACACTATCTGCCAGGTATTGTACTGTATTCCATTTGATAAAGTCTGTAGACAAAACGCGTTATGGAAATCTAATATTGTGTATTAAAAATTAAAGTTATTTTTGGTCATTTACTAGTACCAATTATTTTTTTTTTTATACACCTATTTAATTTATCCTGGCTTTTTATTTTGCTTTTTATTACATTTTATATATATATCTTATCTTGATTTTAAACACCACTTCTGCAAGCTCCCAGTAGCCCAAGAAATCCTAGGTGGGGATTATTCCACCAGCGCTGGCATCAAAGAGCAGTTGGTCTGCTCTGTATTTGTAAGTACGTTTTCAATTAATTCCTATGAAGCAAGTTATACAGAGCGCACTATTTGGTTGTTTCTGTTCTTTTTGAGTTTTGGATATCCCTGACGAAGAGGTACTCACCATATATCCCATAAGCGGGGATTATACCGCTGTGTGCGCTTTACCCTAGAGCTGGACTGAAGCTCTTCCAAATTGTGAGTTCTCTACCATTACTTGAATTTTATTTCATCTGAGCTATACATATTGCACTATCGGCTGTTCTCTCTTTTTATTTTCTATATTATACCTGAAGACTCTATTCCTGTATTCAAGGACGACAGAGAGGACTTTTAGGTTGGATCTTTCTTTTAATATCTGTTACCACTATTGGAACTGGACATTATTTATTTTATTTATTTATTTATTGTGGCACAGCCCTCTTTTATATTGTGTTTATCTTGCTCTATAGGGTTTTGGGGGGGATTCCCTTTTTTTTGGGGTTGCTGCCTACAGGTTGTTTGGTGCTGTCTCTTTTTCTTGTCTATTGTACAACAGGGTAATACCTAAACCCTGGACTGTTAGTGGGTGGGTTGGGAAGCACTGCTCTAAAGTGTTGCATGCTCTCTCGCGTGCAATCAAAACTGCTTCTGAGAGCATACACATTAAAGGACCACTCTAGGCACCCAGACCACTTCAGCTTAATGAAGTGGTCTGGGTGCCAGGTCCAGCTAGGGTTAACCCATTTTTTCATAAACATAGCAGTTTCAGAGAAACTGCTATGTTTATGAATGGGTTAAGCCTTCCCCCTATTCCCTCTAGTGGCTGTCTCATTGACAGCCACTAGAGGCGCTTGCGTGCTCCTCACTGTGATTTTCACAGTGAAAGCACGCAAGCGTCCATAGGAAAGCATTATAAATGCTTTCCTATGCGACGGGCTGAATGCGCGCGCAGCTCTTGCCGCGCGTGCGCATTCAGTCCAGGAGGAGGAGAAGAGGAGGAGAGGAAGCAGAGAGCTCCCCGCCCAGTGCTGGAAAAAGGTAAGTTTTTAACCCTTTCCCCTTTCCAGAGCCGGGCGGGAGGGGGACCCTGAGGGTGGGGGCACCCTCAGGGCACTATAGTGCCAGGAAAACGAATATGTTTTCCTGGCACTATAGTGGAACTTTAAGATCTTAAATATATACATCATATCACTGAAAGGCTTAGCATACACAGTTCTTTCTCTATTCGTGTAACAGGAAAGTAGACTCTTCTATTTGGGAGGGGGTAACTCCAACATTGGGAGTGGGAAAACTAGTCACACATCTGCTGGCCTTGAAATTTTTTTTTTCTTTTAAATTTTTTTTTTTTTTTTTTACACAAAATAAACTGCTAAATAGGTGCTTTTCCTGATTAACCATTCAATTACCAGATAGCAAGCATACCCAGTTATATCAGCTGGGCTATACTGGTTTGTGTGTGTTTTTTGTCTTTTTTTTTTTTCTTCATTAAAGGACCACTTCGGCTCAATGAAGTGGTCTGGATGTTAGGTCCCTCTAGCTTTAACCCTGCAGCTGAAAACATAGCAGTTTCAGAGAGACTGCTGTGTTTACACTGCAGGCTTAATCCAGCCACTAGAGGCCGCTTCCGCGATTCTCAGTGAGAAGACGCTGACGTCCATAGGAAACCATTGAGTAATGCTTTCCTATGGGCGGCTTTTTAATAAGCGCAGCTCTGGCCGCGCATTCGGATCCACTCTGGAGCCAACATCAGAGGGGGAGGAGAGTTCCTTGGTGCTGGAGAAAGGTAAGTGGATGAAGGGGTTTTAGTATAATTCATAGTGTGTTGAGAGAGAGCTCCATGACACCTGGTACCCCAATATTCTATGGAAGGTTGCAGGTTTACAGCATCTCAATCAGTAGATAGTAGTCCATTGAAAATAAAATATTTTACCAGGAAAGATAGTGAGATTTCTCTCTCGTTATTCAGTGAATGACCGTGTACAGTGCTGCACTCTGCACAATATTGTGGTATACCATTATTAACTCTGTATAACCACTCTTGAAAATACAAACCTAAAAATATCAAGTGTTTTTTTTTTTTTTTTTGGTAAATCTAGTTAAATAGCTGACGTGTAAAACCTGAACTTGCGCAGGCTGGAGATTTAAAAAAAAAGTCTACTAAGCTGCTGGGCTACATTGACTACAATTTTGAGAATTTCCTGCTTTTGAGTTGTAATCTGGTATAATCCAAAGAAGATCCCTTTTGTGTGCGTGGTTTTTATTTAATTTTTGGTTTTCAGTCTTAAACAGGATTTATGTCTGCAAAACTATGGTTTTGTACTGGATTTGACAAGTTACCCTAAATTAAATTTTTATTTCAGATCTAGGAAAATAACATATTTATTAAAACAAAAATGAGTAAAACTCCATAAAGCTACAAACAAGAGATGCACTGGACAGAAAAACAAAACAAGGGCATAAAATACGTACTGTCCCCTTTTGCCTCTCCGCAACATGTACAGCTATTCACATAAGCTTTGCATTACAAAGCCGTGCAAAATGAAATTTAACCCTTTAAGCCTACCTTGCCTTCATGTTTAGTCATTAAAATCTTGACTATATACATATCAGTGAAAGAATAAAAGGAAAAAACAGACTAATTTCATCTTGCCATGCTGGGCATACACCGTTCTAAATCTATTCGCCTAACATGAAAGACTCTTCTAGTCGTTACACGCCATAACACTTTCTCTACTAGGCCCTGTATTTCTGTAGAGGGAGTGCAAGTGGTAGCCCATTCCCTTCTCCTACACTCTAAAGTAACTTTTTGTAGGTCAGAATTTTATTTATGTATTTTTTTTTTTAACCATTTTTGCAATGCATACTTATAGACCAGATGTCCTATGTGCGCCATAGAACTGTGGGGGAAAATGATACTACCAAGATGTCCTGTTCTTAAAGGGTTACATACCTATGGCTCTTGTATGTTGTGTTTGAAGTAATTATTTGTTTTTGGTCTTTCAGTTCTCATGCATTGGTATGAGAAATTTATATTTTAGCAGTGAGACTGTAGGACGTGGCACTGTGTAAAAGTGTAGTATTCTAGGTCTGGAATGTTCCTTTAATGTAACATTTATTTATTTTTTTGCTTTGTCTTTCTGAGATCTATAGCATTTACTTCATATTTCCTTTTGTACTCAGAAAATGAAACCACACTTTTCTAATACAGGAAGTGCTATTTCAGACTAATATCACAGAATTTCACAATGCCTGTTGCACTTAAGGTGACCACACAAGTGACACAATGGGTGAATTAGACTTTTTTTTTTTTGTCTTTGCACAGCTATAAAACATTATTAATGCAAACTCATTGTTCACTACCACATATTGGTTTATTATTAATAATAATAATAATAATATTATTTATATATATATATATAATTTTTTTTTTTTTTTTTTTTTAAAGACCCATTAAAGTTATTTTAGTTTGTATGACACGCAGGGAGAGTTGTGGCAGAGGGTTAACCCTTTTGTAATGATCTCCCCTCTCCCCCTTGCAGTGTTGCTAGCACTGTTTAATCCATATTCCCATCATCCATTGCCAGAAATGTCTGAGGTGTAATGTCAATGTCAGGCAAAAGTTGTTAAACTCCCATGCATTTGCTGTATTTTGCCTAAATGTCTCATGCATATGAAAAAAGTAGTCATATTTTTGTATTATAACCTCTCTGGATTGCATTTTAGTGACATTTCAACTTAATTTATACGCTTGTAGTTTTTCATAAAAAGACTGTTTACGAAAAACTAAAGTTACAAACCTTTTCACAAAAAAGCATTGTTTGGATATGGAAAGTACATTTAAATGTACAACAGATACTCTTTAACTTCCACCTCACTGGACTATAAATGACTCACAGTATACATGTATTTTGAGGGACACCACAGACCCCTAAAGCACTTTAAGTAAAATGCTTATGTATCAATGTTTTTATTTTTATTTTTTATTTTTTTCCCCTCCATTTTACAAAAAAGCGCAGAGGTCAATAGAAATTGGCACTTTTCTAAATTTAACATTGTTGCAAGCCTGTAGCTTTCAGTCGGTCAACTGCTTATGCTCCTTGTAATTTAGCGGAGTGGAGCTAAACTCAAGAATCAGGTAATTTCCAAAAACTCCTATGTGCAACTATTGCTCATTAAAATGACACTCCAGATCCCTAAAGAACTTTAGCTTGCTAAGTCACCCCCCTCCCCAAAACAATTAATCCCTACCTACCCCCCTCACCCCAAAAATATTGAGAGGGAACCATTTAATGAAGTACCTGTAAAAAAAAAAAAAAAAAATTACAATAAAACTTTTTGTTTTCTTTCTTCTTAAATCTTATTTTTTCAGCCCCAAAAAAGGCCAAATAAAAAGCCATAATAACAGACGCACTTTAAAAAAAAAAAAAACAAAAAAAATCCATCTTCACCCATGAAGGGCTCTGCAGGGTGGGGGAAGGCTTATAAAGAGCACTCTGATTGGTGGGTTTAAGCCATCCGATCAGAGTGCTCTGACAGGTAAATGAAGAGACTGACAGGTAAGTCTCTACATTTACCGGTCACAGCACTCTGGTTACTTAAACCCTTAATGACACAACTTCTGGAATAAAAGGGAATCATGACGGAATATTTACGTCACGTGTCCTTAAGGGGTTAATCCACCAATCAGAGTTATGAGTCAAATTACACAGCGTGGGAAAATTCCAAAGAACTTCCCCACACCCTGTAAAATGACAGCAGTTCCCCGTCCCCCTTATTCTAATTTAGGGCCCCCACCCTCTGCTCGGGAGGGGGGGGGGGGACTTTTTTTGCTGCTCAAGGTTTACTAGACATGCGGTATAACGAGTAGGGGCATAATTTACTAATACTAAGTAATCTTTACTTGGTATTAGTAAATTTGTCTGAAAGACCAGTTTAGGTCTCTTCAGCCTTTTGGTAGATAACTCCCTAATACCGTGGGAATTAGGGAGTTATCTACCAAGCGGCTGCAAGAGAAGTTGCCGAAGTTACCAATCCCCAAATGTTTTCACATGCCTAGTAAGAATATTTCCTAACCTGTTTTTCTCAAAAAAAGTAAAGGGCAACTACTAACTTTTTTTTGCAAAGTTCAATACCCAAACCTGGATAGAACTGATGCTGTCTCATACAAAACAAATAGAGCGGGTAAGATATATATTAACTGGGAAGTGGTCTTATAACTCTAGTGAATTATTGCATTAATACATCTTATTTTGTGCAAGGGTGGTGTGACCTAGTCAGCCTGAAACTTTGTTCTGGGTTGACTGATGTAAATTATGTTTGCTGGCAATAGATGTGAGTTGATTTTTCACTTCCAGTCAGCATTGTGTGCATGCCTGCAAGAAGAAGCCCAACTTCCCTCTAGCTAGCCAGCCCCTTGGCCACTACCCTATTACAGCCCTCCCTTTTGGCTGTGTGAAGCTGGTCCCCCTACAATCGGCTCACATAAAAAAATCCAACGTGTTTCATTAGTGCTAGGTTTGTGCAGGTTTTGTGCTTTAAAAATTAGTTTGTGCTGCTTTAAGAGTTATTATTATTATTCACCCAGCCCCCCTACCAGTGATAACCAGGCCCGTCATTCCAGGGTGCCCAGTCATGTTTTGCGGCCCGGCCCATGTGGCAAATTGCTGGGGCCGCTGTTCAAGGGGCCCATCGGGTGGGGAAAGTCACCCTCCTGCACCTAAAAGGTAGGAAACAGGAGGCTGACCTAAACATTGTGTATGTATGTGTGATTGTCTATGTGTCGGGGGGGGGGGAGAATGGATCCCATTCACCCCAGGGTCCTATGGATTCTGTGTACGCCACTGCCCCCTACAACAGTAAAGCAACATGAAACCAGGCTGGTTAGTTAATGCCGCGTTTTGTGCAGTTAAAATCCTATCTAATTTTTCACTCCTCAGCAGTTGGAGAGGAGGGTGGGTTTTGTTTGGCGATGAGCTATCACTCAGCTCATCTCGCTGCTTGTGAACAGGAACACTGTACGCACGTGTTGAGAGGCCCAACAATGGTGTTTTTTGTTTTTCCTGTTTTCTTCTATCCCCCCTCTCTGGGAACTTTGTTCTTGACTTGAACATGTAGTTGAAATATATTATGATTGTTAAATATTGGCTAATGCAGTGCTATTGCCTAAGCTGGTGTCTGTTCCTCATTGCAAACCACCCACATTTGTTTTATCTTATTTGGTACTTCCTTGGGACTCTAATTATCAAACTCTCAAACAGTGTGGAATGAAACTATTTATATGGGACACTACCTTATTGTTAATAAAAACATTTGGTCACTAAAACCTTATTTGTATTCTCTCTCTCATACCATTTGTAATAGCATTACAAAATCTATGTGGAAACCACTTCCAGCACAAGGATACTGTTTTACTCTGGAGACTTTGCAAAAATATTAGTGTTTCAAAACCATAAAACCTATCCGATATTGTCAATGAAAGTGATGGTTTTTGCATTTTTAACACACTGCACTTTCACTGATATCATTGTGATCTGTTTTAAAACCCTAATATTTGTATTCAGCGAAGTTTCCTGAGTAAAACAGGAACCCCCATACCCCTATGTGTACAGGTTTTATAGTGTTTTTGAAAGTTCGTTAAATATAAGGCTTGATTTTTTTTTCAATTCTCACATTAAAATTTGCCAGATTGGTTATGATGCCTTTGAGAGCGCATGGTAGCCTAGGATTGAGAATTTCCCCCAAGATGGCATACTATTTGCAAAAGGCAATGTTCAGTTTGAAATTTTTATTTTTATTTTTTTTTAGTAGCCACTTAGTCACAAACACCAAGGTAAGCATTTATTTTGTTTGGGTGTGAAAAAATGCAGAAAACAATTATGAATGCTAACTTTGGCCAGTGTTTATGACTAAGTGGCTACTAAAAAAGACTGAAAATGCTCAATTTTTGAATTCCCTGGGTTGTCCAAATTTAAAAAAAAATAAAAAAAATACACGTGAGACGATTCAGAGATTTATGACGGATAGACGATTCAGAGATTTATGACGGATAAGTGTTACAATGTCACTATTGATACATTTTAAAAATATAGTGCGAAAAGAGGAAGCTAAAAGGGAACTCTTTAAGGGGTTAACCCTTCAAACTAAAGACTTGGTGGAGAACTAGAAAAAGTGAGTGCCCTTAAAATATAACTTTTAATAAATAGTAAGATAAATGGTGGTTCTCTAATAATAGAGAACCACGACTCATCTGATGACATGGGAGAAACGCGCGCGTCAGGGGAGCTCAGCGTTCCCAAACTGTTGGTTGAAGATCAGATTACACCACAGTTTTAGGGACGCCAATTTAACTCTACCACTTCAGTCTTTTGACAACATTAGTAATTTTTACTGTTGGAGAATGATATGCTATGCTCCTAGTTTTTGATCTTCTAGGACATCGCAGGTTATACTGTCTCCAGCTGACGTGGCTAGATGAATTCTCACTGTTGCTGATCGATGCAGCTATTTAGCTACTATAGTCGACATTTGGAACTAAATATCTATTTCTCACTGTGGCAGATCGGGGCTTGATACTTTGTATATAAACGTTCCAGTAGTTTAACTATCGTACGGCTTAGAGTATAGCACATGTGAACTGCAAAACATCGTTTTGCAAATACCACTGGATGAAGGTTTCTGAAATCTTTAGAACAGAACCTCATCATTGTTATCATTTTGTTTAGTTTTTTATTATGTTTTCTGTACTTTATCTTTTTTTTCCGACTGGAACTCTAGTTAGCTCCAGGTCTGTTTGGAAATTGAACAGTTGCTATATATTTTTTGTAGTGGGCAATATACATCTGAATATATATGTATTTGTATTGCCTTAGATAACTCAATATTTGGGGAATACGGACCCAGTAGCATTATTATCTCTTTACTGTTTTTCTTGTCCACTCGAAAATAAATCTATTATTAGAGAACCACCATTTATCTTACTATTTATTAATAAAAATATATATATTTTGAAACCGCAACGTCCTACTTGTACTTACAGCCCTATAACTTGCAAAACAAAGCTAAGAACATGTTAACATTTGGTATTTCTAAACTCAGGACAAAATTCTAAAACTATTTAGAGTGGGTGTTTTTTGGCGGTTGTAGATGTGTAACAGATTTTGGGGGTCAAAGTTAGAAAAAGAAAATCTTTATAAAAACCATTTAATGTCGAGAAAAATGGTATATGTTGGTACAGTAAATGAGTAAGAGAAATTACAGCTAAACACAAACACCACAGAAATGTAAAAACAGCCCTGGTCCTTAACGGTAAGAAAATTGAAAAACTGGTCACTAAGGGGTTAAAGTAAGTCACCAGCAACCTGTATAGTCTATATTTAATGTAATTAGTCACCAACGGATAGTGATATGACTATCAAAAATAATTACATACCTCCCAACTTTGGAATCTTGTGACTAGGGACACCAGCATGAGGGGAGGGCTGTGCCAATGCTGCAATCACGCCAGTCCAATGTCCGGAAAGGCCTGTCAGTCATTCAAGCTGGCTTGCTTATGGCAGACCTGCCAGATTAACAACTCTTTTAACATGCTCTTGCTTAAGTATGGAATCTTATGAGGGATGTAGGGGGGTGGGGAAATCTTTTATGTTGACTAGCTGACAAATTAATTAAAGTAAAGCTGACTTTGAAGCAGCAAGAGCATTTGCATAGTGCACAGTCTCTCAAACACTATATCATGTTTCCTTTCTTCTACATACACCCCTTTTCTCTGTCCCAGGTGCATCTGCCTGCTAGTAAGTAGGTAAGGAGAGGAGTGGACAAGTCAGTGCTAGGGGACAGTCCTTGGAAAGTGTGGAGCGAGCACATCATTAGACAAACTTATGTCAAGTTCAGGGTGTTGGCCGTTATTTTACCAGCACAGACAGGTATTTGAGGCCGCCTTGGGGGTGCCAGTATTGCAGGAATACTGGCAATACATTTTATATAAACTGAGATTAGATACCAATATCAGCATATGTGGGGAGAGGCAGGGATAAGAATTTAGAGCATATCAGTGCCTCTCTCCTTACTGATCCTCGAGGAAGGAGCTACACCACACATTCTAGCCAGCAGCTTCCAGCCTGCAGAGACAGCCTACAGATCAGGTAAGAGAGCTATGGGGTAGGTAAAATAAGTGGTAGGACAGGCTCCAGGCAGACATGGGGACACAAAGACTTGGAGACGCTGCGAGACAGTGGGAGCAAGGGGTCTATACAGCTGAATCGACAAAGTAGTTTTTTGGTTGATTTTACAGAATTTTCTCTTGTCACTCCTTGTGATTTACATACTGTGATGTCATGAATACATAAATTATGCAAATTTGCATGGCTGTGTTTTTTTTTGTTTTTTTTCTAGAAAGGTGGCAACCCTAGTGCTGTTTGCATAGTATGCCCATTTCTTGCGTTCACACCAGGCTGACCCTCACATTTTTGGGGGCATATTGGCCCCTTTTGGAGGTTCTAGTTACGTGATTTGTGTCAGTGGCCCACCCTTTTACCCCGCCCAGTGACATCCTGCTTCACCTGACACTGCTGTTAGGGGGTAGGGATTTAATTGAAAAAATGTGAGCGAGAGTAGCATAGGGTATGTGTTTTTTCTTATAGCTGCATCTTGTAAGTTTCCCTCCCTCACCACCTCCATCTCCACTAGATACATGACTCTTGGGAGGTATGACTGTTTGTGTTTTCTCTCGATAAGATTCTGTAATTCGCCCATCGTAATTGTCAGCCCCAGGTCCAATGGACTCTTAATCTGGCCCGGCTGCAAGGAGAGCACTATTTTAGTTTTCTGCAGGGTCCTAATGCCTTGAGTATATGGTGAGCATGTCTATTGATGTTTGCACTATGGTTGTTGGGAACAGTTGTGCCTAGTGTCACCAAAAGTGGTGCACCAGGGAACAATGTCTGAAGGACAGGCAACAACCAGAAAATCGGGACTGTCCCTCTGAAATCTGATGGTTGGGAAGCTTAATAATATGCAGTGTGTTTATGTAGATTGGCTCTACTGCTGGAGCATGCAGACAACCTGTTCCTTGAGACAATATTTGGGAATCCTCAAACAGCAGAAATAAAAGTCCAATTTCTATAAATATTAACTGAAAGGGGACTGGAAGACCAATTGAAAAGCAAGGAGGGAGAGCGAAATAATGCATTTTAGCAGTTGAATTAAATATTAGGAATAACCCAGTGTTATTAAGTGTATGTAGTGGGATTTTTGTTCTGCTTATTGAAACTTTCCCATTTCACTCTCCTATGGGATTGCACAAAGACCTTGTGCTCTAGGCCATATCCTCTGGATTGTCTGACTGATGAAACTGATCGTGTCTAATGTATACTTTGACGTATGGGGATTCCTTCATAATGCATAATTAATTTTAGGACACCAGGAGCAATGGCTGAGTCAGCATGGTATGCTTGATATGTAGACGTTGTCAGAAAAGCAAAATGAGGACTAGATAATAACATACAAATATTTTTATTGCAAAACAAGGAAGCTCTCCTGACACAGGTATGCCATGTGCTTGTACTCTACTGTATGCTCACGCAGAACAAATCCGCCTCTATATGAGCTGTCCTGAACGTGAGCAAGGACATGCAATTCCCAACACCGTGACCTGTTTACACATGCTGTCTGGCCAACAAACTGGGCAACTGATTTTAGAAAGTAAAACAAAAAAGTGAATGATTAATAGACTTGATAATATGTGTGTGTGACAACAAAGCCTGTCTGTCACTCACCAGATGTGTTTTGTGGTTTGCTTGTTTGTTTTTGACATTGAATTTTTATTGACTTTCACTTTAAAAAAGACATATAAACACCTTATTTTACAATAAATAACATCGTTCTAGGATAATATAAATACTATACATAGAAACATCACGTAACAAATATCCTTGAATAGTGATGTCCCGAACGGTTTGCCGCGGACTCATCATTGAGTAAACTTTGACCCTGTACCTCACAGTCAGCAGACACATTCCAGCCAATCAACAGCAGACCCTCCCACCTCCTGGACAGCATCCATTTTACGTACATTGTGAAGCTGCATTCTTAGTGAGCTGCTCAGGAGGTGGGAAGGTCTGGGAGGGAGGGTCTGCTGCTGAGTGGCTGGAACGTGTCTGCTGACCGTGAGGCACAGGGTCAAAGTTTACTCAATGATGAGTCCACAGCGAACCGTTCGCGAACCGTTCGGGACATCACTATCTTTGAACCTTCTCTCCAATAAACCAATTATATTCTGTATTTGATGTATAACTTTAGTTTCTATAGTATTAAGATAGTGAGAAGGATATTATACTGATATAGTAGATCCTAAAAACTTTGTTTTTATAAGTAAATTGCTTTAATTGTACTCGTAACTATCTGTTATTAATTGTATAACGACTGTTAATTACCCAGTTTGTTTATTATGAACACTACTGGAAATAAGATACATACAAGAAAAAGTATAATAAGAAGGGTATCTTGTGTGCTGGGGTTTTATGATTGAAAGATGGAATCCCTAAGACACTGTTTTTGGTATTGTTGTTAATGTTTGATTAGAGACAATATTTCTAATTCTAAATTAAATATCTAATTACACAGTTTTCATATGTGAGTTTAAAGGGACTCTCCAGTGGCAGGACAAAAAACTTTTTTCCTGGGGATAAAACCCCTCCAGCTACTTACCTGAATCCAGCGCCGATGTGCCCCAGTGCTGGGTCAGGCACTGCCCTTGCTCCACCTCCCCCACCCCCCTGCTGATGTCAGCCGGCAGGGGAGACCTAATGTGACATAATATTCAATGCTTTCTATGGGAAAAATCTGACGCTGTTTGGATTCCGGGAGCAGACTTACTGCTGCAATATAAACATTCCAGTTTTCTGTGACTGCAATGTTTTACATTGAAGCACTAAGTGCAAAAGGGTCTCAGCACCCAGACAACTTCAATTAGCTGAAGTGGTCTGGGTGCCTGGAGTGTCCCTTTAAGGATGATGGGCTCCTCAGGGCATTTAAATGTCTTGGAAATATTTCTTAGATTTTTTTTTTTTGTGTGTAATCCAGCTTCTGTGTTAAAGTTGCGCTTGTAGGTAATTTAAGTTTTCTCCATCCGATGCATTGGACTAACACTTTTTTTTTTTTTTTAAAGTTATGGCCCAAAAGATTGACTGAAATAGAAATATATAACAAATCATAGTTTGTATAATTTGGCCTTTACATGCTTCTTCGTTGTTCACTAGTCGTTCTTGTGAGCACCAGGCTTTGGAGCCTACATAGAATGTGACTTCAGATAAGAACCATTAGTCCCTGGCCTTATCTTAGGTCTATGATAACCTTCTAAAGTAAGGATAGAACGGCACTACACAACTGATCACGAGTATAGGGGGCAGCACTCCTGAAGGTGAGGGTAACCCTCAAACCCTCCTAAAAACTGAGGAGACCGAATAAAAAAACAGGGTGCATCAGAAAGACCAAACGGACTACAAAAAGCTAGCTGTACAATAAAAAAAAAAATCCAATAAAGGGAGTGCTAAATGGAGAGCACTATTGACTTTCTCTCCTCTTATTGCATATGATATACACTGCAACCACCATCAGAGGGATACACTGCAAGTGGGAGTTTTATACGACTACATGCTGTTTTACCTAGAGATGGATATAGCTCTCTGATATGCGAGTTGGCATTTCTATAACTCTGTGTTGTCTGTAGCTCACTTGACCTGCCATAGTGCACCATTGGTCCCTTCTGTCTTTTGCTTTCTTTCATATGCTGTTGCTGATTTGAGCTGTATCAAAGACTTTACATGAACATTTGAAGACCTATTGTGACTTTAGGACGTCTTTTACTTTGGGGTTTTTATTTTTTGCATTTTTGTTCTGTACTTTTTTTTTTTTTGCTAGCTTTTTGTGGTGTATTTAGGATAGCTTTATGCCGATCTCATGCATGCTTAAACTCCCTCACTGTGTTAACCTCTACCACTTCAGGTGGAAGGCTATTCCATGCATCCATTACCCTCCCTGTAAAGTAACAAATGGTACAAAAGACCATCTGAAATACTTTAGTGTTATTTAGGGATCAGTTTAGGATCATGTGGGTTTTTTTTTTTTTTGAGAGCAATTATTCTTGCTTAGAGATGAAAGGCTGTCCAGCTAATCAACATATAGATTACTAGTTAGTAGTAATCTCCAGGATATGGGAAGTGTACTAGTTTATTGGATTATGTTTATTTATATATTTATTTTTTTTCCATGACTCTTGACTCAAGCTTGATGATTATTCATGTATATGTAATATTTATAACTGTACAAATTCTCCAAAGTGTAAGTACAGGTTGCCTCTGTATAACTGAATTCTCTATTCTATTTGCGTATCACAGTCTAACTTCTTTGTTACAAAGCCTGTTGAGATAGATTCTATTGTACCTTATTGAGTGCGTTATAGAAGACTATCAGAACACTATCACAGGCTCTTTGTATTATCTTTTGAATAGGAGTGGATCAATGCTATCAATGTATCTGGTTTATGTGGCTATTTGGATCTGTTTGCACACCACAAAAACTGTTATATATATATATATATATACACACACACACACTCTGTCCTGTTTCCAGCAAAGCGTGGTATGGAGAATATGTAAAGTAAATACACTTTTTTTTTTTTTTTTTTCTTCTTCTAATTCTACCAAAGAGATGATTACTGGGGATTACTGGGGAACTTTGCTCAAACCCCGGTCCACCCTCCTTTGTGATTTAAATCAAGCCAAGTTATATGCCAGGAATCACTGTTATGCTTGTTTCAAAATTTGTACTTGCACTTCTTCCAAATACGTGCTCCCTCTCCTGAGGCACGGTGACGGCAAGGCTGAATTATTTACATTGCATTTCCTGTTGAACCTGGTGAAAAGGAAATTGGTCTCTTTTTTTTTTTTTCTGTATTTTCAAACGAGGTGGTTAAAATCTGAAGAAGATGAAAAAATAAAGAATTGAGGCCAGCCTTTTTTTTTTTTTTTTCTCACCTTTTCATCAAAACCTTGCTCAATAGTTGACTTTACTTTTAACTTTTACCCTCAATATGTCACACAACTTGATAAGTAACATTTTATTTTTGTTTCTGTGAGAATGTTGATTGATCTCCATTGTATCTACGTGTAATAGAATTATGAGAGCAAAAAACCAAGTAGCAAGAGAGTGCTGAGGACCGACAACAGCTCAATTAGCCTGCCCTTCGGTGGGTCCCTGCTCAGTTCTTGGTTTTAGCTCATCTTGTGCCATTACAGAGAGAACCAGACCATGCATGTCAGATTGATTCCACCCAAAAGTCCGTCCTCCGCATTCTCTTGTGACTTGTTTTCTTGCTCTCTTTAAGCTTAAAGGGTAATCCAGACGTGGACCCTTTGCTCACGATGCCTAAAGAGATATCCGCTATTCCTCACTGATGCCGAACAAGGCTGAAATGGTCGTCTGGGGTTGCTGGATCTCTCGTGCAGAGCGAGCCGGCCTGTATTTTGTATCTGTTCTGCCCTTTTGGGTGGGATCAGTCTGATATGCAAATGGTCTGGTTCGCTCTGTAATGGCACATGATGAGCTAAAACCAGCTTGGGATCTGAGCGGGGATCCACCGAAGGGCAGGCTAATTGAGCTGCTGTCCGTCCTCCGCACACTCTTGCGACTTATTTGCTCTCCTAATAGAATTAGGAGACTAATTGGCTAAACCGGTATGCTTGGAATAATTTACACTTACACTAATATACACTTTTTTTTTTTCTTCTTTCTTGTCCTTCATTAAAGGAACACTCAAACTACCATAACTTCTGCTAACTGCATAAGTTTTGATAGTAGCTGTATTCTTGCACTTTTTTTTTTATTTTATTTTTTTTATGTGATTTGTAAAAATGGGCAAGTTGTTCCCCAGATGTCAGTGGAATTTTTTTTTTTTTTTTGGTTTTCATCTGCCTGTAAATTAATAATTGTACTGTTTGCCCATGGTTTCCAAGTCCCTCTTTCCCCTCACTGGCCCTAAGTCAAGAAACTAACACCACTGTCAAACTTGGTGCATCAGCGTATGACCAATAGATCTTCTGGATGTGACTTGCCCCCAAGGGTTTATGGGACATTCTCAGCCAGGCCCATTGTTCCTGATTAAAGCTTCTCTCTAGTGTTTGAAGAGTCTGCTGCTGTTTTACTCCGCAAGTGCAGCAAACTCTGCCACTTAAACAAATTAATAAATAAAAAAAAGCATGCCTTTAACTATTTATCTACACAATACATTAACAAATATCCTGCGTTTAATCTTTACCAGTAACACTTTAATTATACCACACCCTTATTCTGTGGAAACCTGGTTTCTCAAAATTGCTTTGCTTAAGGTGGACTTTTCCCAATAGATGTTGCACAACAGTAAACAATGGATTTGTGTAACTGTGTATATGCTGAATATCAGCAGTGTTAACTTTTAGTTCCTTTAGGAAATTCCAAATGTTTTGTTTCCAATGTACTAAGCCAGATCAGGGTGGGTTAAAGGTAGTGTTGGGTGTAGGATGAAGGTAATTATCATCTTATCTTGTCAAATTTAAATAAAATCTTTCAAATTGATATCCATAAAAGTAATGTACTCCTCTGCAAATAGTGTTTTGTCTTGCTGCTGAATAAACTAACTAGAGCTGACACTCACACTTTACAAACCATGTTTAATCCTTTCATTGTTGGCAATGGATTCTGATGCTTACGGATCATGATTGCTTGTGCTACTTTTACATTTATGACAAATGTATCTTATTTATTCTAGGGAACTGGGAATTGTTTCAAGTTGTATTGCTGACCATTATAGTGTCCCTTTTGGTTCTGTGGCCCATCACCAGTCCCCACGGCTACTAAAGGGTTAAATAACCCTTTAAACTCTTACCTGATTCAAGCGCCATGGTAGCTCGATGCTGCGTCAGGCTTATAATCTGTCAACTGATGCTGGGAACCTAATGCACATGCAGCATGCAATAGGCTTTCCCCATAGAATGCATAGCTTTCCTATGAGGATTTCGAAGACACTGTATATCTTCACTGTGTGAGGACGTCCAGCGTTGTTTTACAGTTAAACACTGTGAAACAGCAGAAAGCACCTCTAGTGACGGTCTGGTAGACCATCACTAGAGGCAGTCTTAAAGGACCACTCTAGGCACCCAGACCACTTCAGCTTAATGAAGTGGTCTGGGTGCCAGGTCCAGCTAGGATTAACCCATTTTTTCATAAACATAGCAGTTTCAGAGAAACTGCTATGTTTATGAATGGGTTAAGTTTCCTCTCTGTCTTCAGTGGCCAAGCCCCATTGACAGTTATTGAGCGCTATGCGTTTCCTCACCGTGATTTTCATATGAGCGACGCAAAGTTGCCCAAGGTGGCTTACTACAATGCTTCTATGTGACCGGGCTGAATGGAACGCGCCACAAGTAGCCTTGCCGCTGCCATTGTGCTTATTCAGCCCAGGAGGAGGAACGGAGGAGGATCGGAGGAGGAGAGCTCCCCGCCCAGCGCTGGAAAAAGGTAAGTTTAACCCCTTTCCCCCTTTCCAGAGCTGGGCAGGAGGGGGTCCCTGAGGGTGGGGGCACCCTCAGGGCACTATAGTGCCAGGAAAACGAGTATGTTTTCCTGGCACTATAGTGGTCCTTTAAAACTGCAATATAAACCTTGCAATTTCTCTGAAACTCCAATGTTTGCCATTGCAGGACTAAGGGGACAGGGATACTGCAGCCAGTCTACTTCAATTAGATGAAGTGGTCTGGGTGCCTATAGTGTTGCTTTTAAGACAATCGTTATGGATAGAGATAAAGCTTGCAGATCAGGATTTAGAATGTGAGCCACTGTTCTTCTCAGAGATTTGTTGATTTTAATCTACTTCCTATTTCTCAGACTCGGGTAGTGACGAATCGTAAAATTACAAAAATGTAGCACATTGTATGCCCGATGTGCTCTTAAAACACAAACTTTTCATTGATTGTGTACAGAGAGTAGGTTTTCATTTGCTCAAGCTTTATTAAAAAAAAATTGAATTCTGAGTGACAAATATCATAGGCTGGTGTTGCATAAAGGGAAGAATTAAAAAATTGTCTCTATTTTGAGTCCAAATCACTTTGTCTCTTTTCTATTGTAATGACAAAAAAATTCATCGTGTTGGAGTTGTGTGAGTTTAGAACAGAGCCTAGTAATGTGTCTTTAAACTAATTGTTTTTAGATCTGATCCTGTGCAAATAAATGCATTCTTGTTCTAAATTACATTTAGTTGCAGGAATTGTTACTGGTAAGTCAGAAAACTTCTCAGAACAGCCCCACCTCTAGAGTGTGTGTGTGTGTGTCTCTCTCTCACACACACACACACACTTGGTAGTTTTTTTATTTTTTTTATTTTAAGATGATACACTTGAAATGTGCACAAATATTAAACACAGGCTAAATAACCTGTTTTACTAGAGTGATTGAAAAAAAGAGTCCACGGTGTCGTGTGTTTTTATTTATTTTTTTACACGTGTGAATGGGGAAGCTTGATTATGTGTATTGCCTGTAAATATTTTGTTTGGTGCACACCAATTTTAAGCCAATCTAGAGGAGTCCTCCGAAACAGGTTTATGAACCAACAATGCAAAATCTGTATCTCTGTAATAATTATAAATGCACACGACATGCCGCAGCAATTTAAAGGGACACTATTGTGACAAGACCTGCTACAGACTAATGTAGTGGTTCTGGTGTCTATAGCCTGTCCCTGCAGGCTTTTTAAACAGTCTTTTTATGCATAATTGCCTCTGTTATTTAAGGGAATTATTTTTTTTTTTTTCTTTCTTTCTTTTTTTACACACCACATGAAGTTACAGATAAGAAAAGTAAATACTTTGTTTGGAGAGTTTCCATTTTGGCTACTTTGATCTTAAAGTGGCTGTTCACTCTAAAGGAATACTATAGTGACAGGAATACAAATGGGAATTCCTGTCACTATAGCTATGAAAACAAAGTTTAGGTTCTTGTGCCTCCCTCTCAGGAAAGTGAAATGTGTCTTGTGTGTGGGTTTTTAAATTTTTATTTTGTATTTTTTAATTTTTTTTAATTTATTTTTTTATAACTTTTCTCGCATCTCATGGAGACGCTGAACATCAGCATCGACCCAGGAAGCGCCTTTAGTGGCCATATTAGGGTCTATTACCTGAAGTGTCGGTAGGCAGCAATGTAAGCACTGCATTTTCTCTGAGAAGGCAGGGATTACATTTTAAAAAGCCTGCAGGGACACGTTGTAGACACCGTTAAACTGTAGTTGTTCTGGTGAAAAGTGTCCCTTTAAATTATCACTTGATTGAATAACCCTGAGACTTTTTCTATAATCCTTGTGCAAAAATATGCCATACTGCCATGTGTTTATACTAATATGTGCATGTCCCATTAACTTTTTGAATGCACACCCATACTAATAAACACTCACACCTGCACATGTACACACAGTGACGAACAAATTCAGAGTGGCCCTTGGTAAACTATGTTGCCCCCATCTCCCATTAAAAAAGAGCAGGGGTTGCCAGCTGTATAAGAACTTTAGAAATGCTTTGTCAGCTGTAGATCTACCAATTTCCTATCCTTGCAGGATTGTAGGTGTGTTTTTGTACAAAGTTTGGAAATGTTTGTGTATATAGCTGATATATACGAAAGCAGGAGTGTCTTTATATAAATGCGGGGGTATGTTTGTCTGTGGGGTTTGTGTGCAAGGCTGTACAACAAAACCGTAAATATTCTACTACCATTGTTTGAAAACTTTGTTTAGCCCAGACCAGGGAATGGTTCTAGTGCTTCCATAACCCATCAGAGGTTAATGGGACATGAAATTTAGCAGGTGACAGCATTTATTTTCATTGTATAAGAAAAGACATTACTGTTGAGGCTGACATTTATTTATTTTGAGTCTTTAGACTAACTTGCCTGACTCTTTAACAGTAAGCAATGAGCTACCTGTCGAACAGTATGTGCACACCCTGCAAGAGTTTGGAAAAGTGGAAGACACACGATAGCATTTGTCTGTGGTGTCTATCACTGAGATTTTGGCAAATTAAAGAAAATTTGTCTGTAGATAACCAGGGTAGTGGATCTCCTTGCACCATAACCAATGCGAAGGGTGTAGGTTGTTTTGAGCATCCTTTTAAGTCCAAAATGGAGGTTTATACAGGGGATATAAAATAAGACTCTAGTGAGTTAATTTGGCTAATTTAGCTGACCCAAAACTAGGATAGTTTGACTCCTGTGATTAATTTACCTATTTGCTAAAATAAGCAATGTGGTGGCTTCTTTTTTGGAGTCACCATGAATTTGTAAAGCCATATCGGGTGTTTTTATGCCTTCCACAGAGGGATTGAGATTACATGCTATACGCCATAATTTGACAAATTTGAAAACCGTCAAACTGTAGTTTTACCTTTTTTGGCCAACAAATGTATGATTTCTAAATTCACCTCCTCACTGATCACTGCTTTCAAATCCTTTTGCATATTTATATAACTTGTGAAGGACCCTGATATAAATCTTCAATGAAAGAGTTCGAAATGGTGGAAGTTTAATAAATATGTATTTTTTATTTTTATTTTTTTTCTTACGTTTCTGCAAAGTGGAAAGGTCCAACTTGTTTCGTTAGGGAGAAGCCAGCAATTTGCCTTTCCTACCCACCATGTAGTTTGAGCATAACTTTGGCCAGCGTAGGTGATCTAAAAACATACAAATACAGAGAAAATTTACATTTATTGAGACCTACTAATCTGCTGTAAAAAGCAAAATGTAAACTATTTTAAATATTGGTTACATTCCCAAGATAAGTAGCTAATTTCCTGTGGATGCTGTTTCAAAATGAGACTGCAGCTTTGTCTTTTTTAAATATTTTGTATACTTTTTTTTTTCCCTTCCTTTTTAGTTTAACTTAAAATCTCTTATTTATTCATGTATTTGAGCCAATAAAGCTACATGTTTTTCTATCATTGATTCCAGAGTACGAAACATTTTCTATATTTGACATGTCTGAGAAACACTAGGGGTTGGCTTACAATTTTGTTTTAAGGAACCAGCCACTACTCATTGCCATGCTTATTACCATGGCCTGGCTTCCCCTCCTTTCTGCCCCAAGGCCAGTGTTTTTTATTTTTTATTTATTTTTTTTAGATTGGTCAATGTTTCCATTAGGAAATCACACTTTGAGTGACAGACATACCAGAAATGTGTCCTGAAGAAAGTTAGCTCAGCCTATATGAGGGCCCAAAGTCAATGCGTGCCAAAATGTCTGAATTCCCAGGACAAAACATACCCTTGTGTCCGGTTTACTCAGTTGTGAACTAAATTGTATGGCTACTCTCCGCCTGTAAAATCCTAAATTTTGCACCATGAATTTATTAGTTATTGGCTGAAAATGCAAATTGCAGGGGGAAAAAAAAATTATGCCTAATCTGAGTTTAAGGGGTGGGTGGAAAAGCACTCAGATGACTTTAAAAAATATATGCCTTGTCCTTTATGAAGTAAGTACTATACAGGGAAATTGCTGTCTCCCAGAAACGGACATACAGGCAGAATGTTTTTCAAGGTTGCCAACAAAGGAACAAGACATTTTAACTCAAATCAATAGTATCAACTTCCATTACTGGATATGTACTGCTGTGCAGTTACACATTTCAAAACAGAGTAACTTGCTACATTTTAGACACTTAAAGGAACACTATAGGGTCAGAAACACAAACCTGTATTAGTGTTTTAATGTTAAAACCTTACTTGAATTCAAGTCTGCAGTTGCTGTCTCTGTCCCTGAGAGGGCAGAGCCAGCACAAGTCAAACACAACCCTGGCCAATCAGAATCTCCTCCTAGAGACCCATTGATTCAATGTGTCTCCATGCAGAGGGTGGAGACTCTGAGTAGCAGAGGAAGCACCTCTGGCAGCCATCTGAGGAGTTGCCAGTGGAGTTATCATTAGATAGTAATATAAACACTGCATTTTCTCTGCAAAGACAGTGTTTACAAAAAAGGCTCAAGGGAATGATTCTACTCACCAGAACAAATGCAATAAGCTATAGTTGTTCTGGTGACTAGTGTTCCTTTAATTTTGAGTCCTTAAATTTTGAGTCCTTAAAGTAAAGGAGAAAACTGTTTATTTAAAGTCACACTATCGTATGTATTTTTATGAGGATATTTAATGTATTTTAAATGTAAAGTTAATGTATTGGAGGAAGAGAAATTATTTTTTATATATATATATATAGAAAAATACAGAAAAATACAGAATCCAGCGCACTCGCTTATTCACTAAACAATGCTTTCAAAATCTTAGCATTGTTTAGTGAATAAGCGAGTGCGCTGGATTCTGTATTTTTCTATATATTTTGGCCCCAGCAGCACCCTGTAATGTATGCATGTTCAGGTGAGTGCAGCCCTCTTGGTTTTGTGTGTGTGTATATATATATATATATATATATATATATATATATATATATATATATATATATATATATATATATATATATATATATATATATATATATATCTCTATCTATAGAAAAGTATGTACCTCATTGAGTGGTTTATATATATATATATCTATCTATAGAAAAGTATGTACCTCATTGAGTGGTTTATATATATATATATATATATATATATATATCTATAGAAAAGTATGTACCTCATTGAGTGGTTTTATATATATATATATATATATATATATATATATATATATATATATATCTATAGAAAAGTATGTACCTCATTGAGTGGTTTATATATATTTTTAGCTTGTATTTTTAATGTAAAACTTATCAGAGACATTGTATAATCAGTATTATTATACAAATTGGCACATAATGATTGGAGTTGGATGACTAGATATGTAATAGTATAAAAGTTAAGTTACTTAAGAATGTTGCATTTCTCCTTCATCGTGCAGCTTTGTACCTAAATGTCTCCCTTTTCTGTGTTTTTTTTCTCAGAACTTGTTTCATGTTCTTGGATGCCACAAAATGAACATTTGTTTTCTTTCCCAGCTTAAAGTGAATTACGGAGGAAAGGTGTGAGGTTGTCCTCTTTCTGCAGCAATGGAGCTTGATAAACAGTCGGTTTGGGGGTCTCTGAAAGAGAAGACACGGCCCTTCATACAGAACTTGACTGTCAAGAAAACCAAGAGAAGCTCGCACAAGTTATTAAATGTTGATAAAAGGCATTCTCTAAGTCACCGGATGAGTGTGTCTGTGCCAAACATGATGGATATGGGATGTACAATACAAGAGGAGAGTGATTACACAGAGTCTACTGTTTGTGCTACCTATGTTTCCCCTAACCATTCATCTCCAGTGATGTCTCGAAGCAGAACAAGACAAATTGTTAAGCATTCAAGAGAAAGCAGGACCTGGGTACAGGAGGATAGCGGTGTTCACATGGAAATTACAGTGACTGAACCCGACGGCCTGGACTTTTCAGATTCTGAAACCAAAGAGGAGGATATATATGGAGATGATTCTCAGATCCTTGAAATGATGAAGCGGGAATGCATGGGAGATGTCTTGTCCGATAAAAATACACTGGTATGTAAATTTTTATTGACTCTGCATAATCACACTGACACATTGTTTCCGTAAGTAGGTTCAGTGTTATGAAATTCCTGCAGGGTTTTTTTTTAACTAAAGTGAGAATTCCAAGTGAATTTTAAATGTTACTGCCCAAATGCAAAAGTTACTATTTAGTAGATATTTTTCCACTGAAAAGGAAATGCATAATTAAGTGCATGCATGTTTTTATCTTTGATGTATACCTATATAAAAAATCTTAAAGCTGCAGATATCTTGTCTGCAGCCTTAGCAAGCCCTCCCCTTCTAACCAGCCCATACCTTCTGCCACACAGACACCCTACCATCCCCACGCAAATGGCCATGCAACATTGTCACGCCATGTATATACACTATCACCGTTCCCAAACACTTTCAGCCCCCACACAGTCTCCCCCTTCAACCAGCCACACTGACATTAAACCCTCCTAATCCTGTCACTCTCAACACTTCCAACCATACCAAAGTCACCTGCTCTTGCTTTACAACAATTACCCTATCACATTAACCCCCAATCCTGTCTGACTCGAGCTTCTCTTGCGCTCAGTCTCCAACCCTGTCCCACTCAACCCCTTCACCATGCCATTCATGCTACCACATAAGTTCCCCCAACTGTGCCACACTCGCCCCCCAACACTGCCACACTCGCCCTTTCACATTAATCTAATCTAAACCTGCCACCTTAACCCCCTTTATTTTGTCACACTTGCGTCCCCTCATTCTGTTACACTTCCAAACATGGCACATTCATCTCAACCCTTTGATGCACCCCCCAACTATGCCACATGCAGCCTGTCATATTTACCTTCTCCAATCCTGTCCCACTTCCCCATGCCCTGCCACTCTCTCCTCCAATCATGTCACAATCGCCCCCTCACCCTGACCGTTACCCCTTTGCTTACCTTGTCACAGTGACAAACTAAAGACATTCAATACACACACACACACACACACACACACACGTCACAGTCAGCTACAACACACATACGATCCCAGACACATACACACTTTTTTATGCACACACAGGTAGACCATGCCAGATGCACTCAAATACACACGCCGACAGTGTATACACGACTGCAAGGCTATGTAATCATACCCCCTCAGTTGTGTGTAAATGAATAGCATAATTGCTAATTTAATTTAGTTTGCAAATTATGCCATAACTAGTCAGAGAACTCACAACACAGCGGCACAGTGAGCTGCAACACTGCAAGCCTCTGAACAATTAATACAGAGACTAGCTCTCTGTATTGAAGTAGAAGCTTGCAGAGCTGGATACAACTACAGCACCTTGTGTACACAATTTTTTTTTTATTTATTTTTTTTTTACTTTAGTGGGCTTCATGTTTGAGTTTCGCCTAAGGTCTCACAAAGTCTAGAGCCGCCATTGCTTCACGTCTGTGCCTTTCCAATCAGACGTTTTAATGCAGCCCAATGAGAGGTCTGTACAAGGCAGGTGCAAAGGGCTGTCATGCAATTGAACCTGTTTTCCTGGCAGCACAAACGAAATTTAACAGAACCAAACATTGATAAACGCCCATTCTGCTTTTACTTGGCGGGGTTAAAAGAATAGACCAGGAAGTGATTAGTTAAGAAAGCCACCGAACAGGATGTGTATTGTTCCAAAATCACAAGCCTAAGGCTTTATGGATTTGGCAGCTGAATTGTATTTGCAAGGTTCTGAATAACCTGTGAAAAACAATTTTCGGTCTCAACCATGGAGTACTTTGATTATTAGGTTATCTAAAATAGGCCTTGATTAAACTTGTTTGCATCAGAAGTGAGGATTGGGCAGTAGGGCAGCAAGTGTCCTTTCTTCTTCCATTTATAGATCTCATTAAAACTTGGAGCTACAGTAATGCCAGTGTGGCATAGGTCATGCCTTTAAAAAAAAAAATAGTGATAACATCCTTATATATATGCTGCAGTAAAAAGGTAAAGCAGCAGCCTTCTCACTGAAACAGCTCTAAAAACACCCAATAAAATCAAACGATAAAAAGGTGCACTATACCTTTAAATATTAAAGTGCTACAAAGTGAAAAAGTGTCCGTGCCCTGTGCATTCAGGAATTACCTTTATATTATATTATTAGAATAATGTGCAAAATTGCCATTTATGTGCTAAATATACTAAAAACTACTTACTAAAGAAATGGGGATTTCACACTATTTCTTCCAGGGATGCATAAGGACATAAAAAAAGACAGAAAAATAAACATAGTATAATACTGTATAACAAGAAATTCTAAGAATGATCATAAAAATAGAATCAAACTCACAAGAGGAGAGCAGTAAGAAGTCTGCTCTCACTTTTCTCGCTTGTGTCCACACATGGGACTAAATGCAAATAGGGATCAGAGTATGGCAGCTTGAATGTAGAAAACTCTTTATTTACAACAAAGTTAAAAAGTTCACAGTACACATGAGCATGTGCTCCCTTATCCACAGGAATTCATACCCCTATGCTGCAGTGGAGCTTCAAAACCGCGGCTAGCACTAGCGGTCTCCTTGAAAATCGGCACCTGCAGGGGGTTCTTCTGGGCTACGTTCCGTCTCGTGTTAGCTTGATGACGTCAATGCGTAGGCGGGTGCTGATTTTCGAGGAGACCGCTAGAGCTAGCTGCGGTTTTAAAGCTCCACTAGGGGTATGTGTGGACACAAGTGAGAAAAGTGAGAGCAGACTTCTTACTGCTCTCCTCTTGTGAGTTTGATTCCATTTTTATGATCATTCTTAGAATTTCTTGTTATACAGTATTATGCTATGTTTATTTTTCTGTCCTTATGCATCCCTGGAAGAAATAGTGTAAAATCCCTATTTCTTTAGTAAGTAGTTTTTAGTATATTTAGCACATAACAAATTGCAATTTTGCACATTATTCTAATATAAAGGTAATTCCTGAATGCACAGTGTACGGACACTTTTTTTTTTTCTCTTTGTAGCACTTAATATTTAAAGGTATAGCGCACGTTTTTATCTTTTGATTTTATAGGTCATGCCATTGTTCAGCAACTTTTTTTTTTCTTTTTTTTTTTATATGCCTTTCATTGTAATGGTTTCACAGATACAGTTTAGAGAACATGATGGGTTACAGTTTTCCCCCACACATATCACTGACGATACAGACCTAAGGTGTAGCAAAGTTTTGTTCTGGTCAGAATGGAAGGGGTGACTGGGTGATCAGTGGCCCTCAGAATTTTTCATCAATAAAAGATGGCAGGAAATCATCCCTTGCTATTTTTATTTAGGTCAGATGTACTGTATATTGGCTTTTAATTTTGGCAACTTAGAACTTAGCATTGCGTAGCTATTAGACCTGGCGATATGATGGCAGTTTTTGCATGTCGGCACAGTCACCTTTTTGTCCTACTCTTTAAACTGCCTGAATTGCCCTAACTAATTTATTTACTTGTGTTTTTTTTCTTTGTACCAGAATTTGGCCTAGCCGAACATTTCTTTGGAAAAATCTAATTGGTTTTCAATAGACCTGTGCAGGGCGAAACAAACTGCAAAATGTATTGTACATGTAAATGTAAACTTAAGGGCAGATTTGGGGAAAATATTCAACTCTACTATAATGGAAACTTAGATGTTTTCGCCTAAATTTGGAAATGAATTCAATTCTCAGTTTTGTGCGCAAATCAATCGACAGCGCTAGAAGTATAGGAATGGAGTGACATCACTGCTTTCCAATGGTGGCACGTTGGCTTTGACATCACTGATTAGATTTTCCCTACTTGTGGATACATCCCCAAGAAGGGCAAATCAAAGGGATCATGCTGATTGGAGGACAGCCCAGCGGTGGGTGTTACGTGAAAAACACTCGTGAAGCAGCGCTGGAACAGAAGAAAGGTGACTAAATCTCTATTTTACATTAAATACATAATGTATTTTTGCGATACGATGTATTCAATGTGTGTGGGAGCATTTAAGGACATTTACGTTTTCACTAAAGGTTCACGTTAAAGTATGTTCTGTTAGTGTGCATTTCTCTAGTGTTCATCGTCAAACCATAGACAAATGTGGCTAGTTGAGAGAAGAAAAACTATTAATGTCTACAGTGTTATGGAAAAACTTCCTAAATGTAATCCGTAAAAGCGTTTTATCTGAAGAGTATGCCGCTTCTCATTATTTTATTTTGCCGGGGCACTTCTGCTTAAATGAAAGCAGCTTCATATCAGTGTGCTAAGAGAGCAGGACAGTTGAACTGGATATTAAATCTAAGAACTGTACATTTTTATTTTACTTATGCACAGACTTTTTTTTTTTTTTTGTTGCTCCACATTTGAAACCTAGAATGTGATGGCAGATAAGAACCATTTGACCCATCTACTCTGTCCAATTTTTCTAAATAATCTTGTATCTAGGATAGCCTTATGCCTATCCCACGCATGCTTAAACTCCTTCATTGTGTTAACCTCTACCACTTCAGCTGGAAGGCTATTCCATGCATCCAGTACCCTCTCAGTAAAGTAATACTTCCTGATATTATTTTTAAACCTTTGCCCCTCTAATTTAAGACTATGTCCTCTTGTTGTGGTGGTTTTCTTCTTTTAAATATAGTCTCCTCCTTTACTGTGTTGATTCCCTTTTATGTAATGAAATGTTTCTATCATATATCCCCCCCATCTTGTCTTTCCTCCAAACTATACTTGTTAAGTTCCTTTAACCTTTCCTGGTAAGTTTTATCCTGCAAAACAAAATGCCATTTGGCAAGAGTATGTAAAATTGTTACACAAGTCATAGTGACAGACTGTCTTACATTGTAAGATGCTGGTTGGCAGAGCAATATCCTGCTGTTGAGCTGAATTAAATTGAAAGTTAAGAAACCGGTTTGGGTTCTCGGCACATCTTATCTCTTGTAACTGAATAGAATTTTTAGTTCAGAGACAGGTGTGTGTGTGTGTGTGTGTGACTCAACATGCATCGCAGACTATGCACAAAGTGGACTGGTTCACTGAGTCACTTAAGTGCTGTTTGCATGGTTCTTCTGCACAGTGCTAAAATTTCTAATGATGCACCTGTGCTGGTTGGGGTTATTTCCCTGATGGTCACAGGTAAGGAATACCAGGGATTTAAATCAGAAAAGCAGGGCAGGAACCCAAAATGAGGAATGCCCCCACTATAAATGGGACTTTTTGGGAACATAAGACTGTCACGAGAAATAATTGAAGTTGACCGTGGACTTGGGGTATAACCTCTGCACATCATGGTCTACCCATCTCTCCTCCATCTCATCCTGTGCATTCACTTATGAAGCAAGAGAACATGCAATATTGTTAAACTGTATGATAAACAAGGTTGTAATAATTAGTTTGCTGCCTGTCAACATAATGGTAATATCCCCCTTAATTATTTGGTTAGTCATTTTTAACAGTATGAAAGCAAAAAGTTTAACCTTAACTGCAGGACTTGCCTCATGAGATCCAATTAAGTTAAGTTATGCTTATCTCTGAAAGCTTTCATCCTTCTGAAGACTCACTGTGTGGGGGGTGGGCCCAGGGATATCCTGTCACAGGGCCGGACTGGGAAAAAAATTAGGCCCGGGCATTTTTCAAATAGAGCGGCCCCCCAAGAAGGGGGCGGGGCAATAGGGTGTGTTTTGTCATCACTAATGACAAGCACGCCCCCTCTCAAAGTGAGCATGTTGGTACAATGCGCAGAGCCCCGCTGAAGAGCTCTAGCATTAGAAAAAGGCCCTGTATTTGTTCTGCGCAGCGCAAGCAAATGTAATAACATGCTTGTGCTGTGTTTGCTTTTAAATTGTTTCTGGTGTCTCCACAAGTGGGATACCAGAGGACAAAAGGGCCTGGAAAGTGTATGGTGCATGTGTTTGGCGCATGCTTGTGGGATTGCCTGTGTGTAGTGTGGTGTGGTATTGTGTAAATAGGTCAATTTTGTGGTGTAATATGTGTGGCTAGGGGCTGTAGAGAGTGCGTGTATAGGGGCATAGTGTTATAGGGGATGTAGTGAGTGTGTGCATACGGGCAGTAGTGTGTGTGTATAGGTGATGTAGTGTGTGTCACTTATACACACACACTACTGTGTGTAGAGAGGGTGTATTTAGATAATGTTGTATGTGTTTGCTTACAAAGAATGTAGTGTGTGTGTAGGTGGTGCAGTGTGTGTGTGTAAGAGATCTGGTGTGTAAAGGACCCAGAGTGTGTATAGAAGATTGTGTGTGTGTGTGTGTGTGTGTGTAGAGGATTAAGAGTGCATATAGGGTAAGGGATCTAGCGTGTATCTGGAGCGTAATGTGTGTAGTGGTGCAGTGTGAGAGGTGCTGTAGTGTGTGTCTGTGTGTATATATATATATATATATATATAATATATTTGGACGTATTGTATGTGTGAGGTGCGCAGCGTGTTTGTGTAAGAGGAGTGCTGTATGTGAGGGTGTTTTTATCTGCCGTCACATTCTGGGTTTCTAATTTTGTCTGTTAACTCACTGAGGGTTATTTTATATAATATATATGTGCTGTATATGTGTGGGAGTGAGGGTGCTGTGTGTGGCTGGGGGGTCTGGTAGGGAAATTACTGTAAATATATATATATATATATATATATATATATATTTTTTATATTAATAATTAAAAAAAAAAAAGTTATGCCCCCCCCCCTAACTTTAGCCTGGGGGGGAGCCGTTCTGCCATGAGGGGGGCATGCTGTCATCCTTCCCTGGTGGTCCAGTGGTGAGAGTGAACTCTAACCTGCAGGCTAGAGTTCACTCTCGCGAGATCTGAGCGTTGCCGTGGTAACCGCGGCAACGCTCAGAATCCCGCGAGAGGACCGGCGGAGCTGCTGGTCAGAGCTCCGCCGGTCCTCTCTCCTGCCTCTCCCTCCCCAGCCGGCGGCCGCATGTAACAGTGCCTGTGGGCCGGTGAGTGAGATCTTTGATCTCCCCACCAGCCCATGGAGGCACATAGCAGGGCCGGCGCTCAGATAGCGCTGGCCCTGCAGGGGCCGGCCGGGGAGATCCTGTAATCTCCCTGCCGGCCTCGGCCCCACGGCCTTCGCGGCCCACCGGGCATTTGCCCGGTATGCCCGATGGCCAGTCCGGGCCTGTCCTGTCACCATAAACCCTATAACTCACTGTAATGGCTAAAGTGCGTGGAGTGTTCTTTTTGCCTAGGAACTAGATAATGCAGCTTCATGCATCTGTGAAGTTAAGTGTACAGCTCTCGTTGTGCAATGGTCATTCAAACCATGCAATAAGGGCTTTAGCAGCACTTCCTGCATGTTGCTGTCGGTAAGGGACTGTACAGACTGGCTACCACACTTTTTTTTTTTTTCTTCTTTTTTTTTTTTGTGGGGTGTTGCCCCCCCATGACTCATCTCCATCCCAACTGCATAGTTCCCAATGTTGGGAGGTATGGAGCTGAACCTACTAGGGATGTGCATGGGCAAAGAATTCGGTTCTGTTAGAAAATTCAGGTAAATAAAAAAAATTGTCTGCTTTGGCAATTCGGACCAATGGCGTTAGGTTCGGAACTTGGGTAATTCGGATTCTAACCCCTTATCAGAAATCCGAAGTATTCAGACATTCGTAAGTATCCACATGTCTGAATTGCACATGTCTACCCCCTCCCTCTCCCTCCTCCCATTGCAATAAGCTCAAGCTGCCTGCCAATCTACTTGGAAGTGTGTGTGTGTGTGTGTGTGTGTGTGTGTATATTCCAGTGCACTTGCTTATTCACTAAACAATGATTTCAAATCTTAGAGATTGTAATAGTTTTATATAAAAAATACCTCACCTAGGCAAAATAATGGGGGTTTAGTTACATTTATATGATCATATATTGCATAAGCCTGCCACAACGTCAATGTACCCCATTCTTGGCAGGTCCTACTCTAGCAGCCTAATGCTTGTGTAGCGTTACCTTCTCCAGGGGCCGGCCGCGGTCCTCTCTTCAAGCCGCGCGCGGTCATGCTGCTGCACGAGCCGCGCACGGCTCATCCGACGGCTCCACTAGCAAGGCGGGCAGTGACCGCGAGAAGCGGTCACGTGTCCCGCCTGAATCTAAGAGCGCGCCGCGAGTCTCGGGCGCGCTCTTAAAGAGACAGTGGGAGCCTAAATTGTCAAAAGGCTCCCATTGGCCCCTGTCATACCACACTCCCCATACACTTACCTTTTGGGGGTGTGGATATGACAGGAGCCAATCACATTAGTTTTGAAGCTATTTAAACTTACCTCTCCCTCTACTCCCTGCCCTATCGTGGTTTCTGTATCAGTTCCCTTTAGCGCTTGTTGTGTTCAGTTGTGTTTCTCCGTATTGACCTTGGCTTTGTTTCTGACTACGTTTTCTCTTTATCCTTCTGTTCTGGTTGTCGGCTTGTTGTTTACTGTGTACCAGACCCCGGCTTGTCCTAGTTTACGCTGTCTCTCTGTGCCCTTGATTTCGGATCGTTCCTGACTCTGTCTCCTCTCATATACGTCGAGTCCGGCCATTCTAAGGTCCGGTAGACGTATCTCTCCTCTGTGTTGTCTTCTGTTTAGCTGAATCCTGCGTGTTGGGGTATATTCTCGTTACAGCTTGCTCTTATGAGATTAATCCACTTACTTGGACTCTCGGCAAGGCTAAAAAGGTTCCTGGAATTAGGCACCTGTGACAGGGAGGGGTGCAAAACCAAGGAGTTGGCCTGGACTCCCAAATATATAAATGAAACCAAGAGGCTGCACTCACCTGAACACTATTACAATCTCTAAGATTTGAAATCCTTGTTTAGTGAATAAGCGAGTGCGCTGGATTTTGTATTTTGTGTATTTTGGCCCCAGCAGCACCCTATAATTTATGAATGTTCAGGTGAGTGCAGCCCTCTTGGTTTCATTTATCTCCATCTCCTTTAAATAACGTGGTGGAGGGGGGGGGAACTGTTGTACTCGTAAGACATCACTAAATACAAATCATGTCTTAGAGCAGTAAAATGTATGACCACGATATTTGGTGAAAGTGCATTTTTAGTGTGGGTAAAAAATGCAAAGAACAAATATGAATAGCTTTGGCCAGGACTTGTGGCTATTTATAAAAAAAAAAAAAAAACACAAAAAACAAACAAACAAACAAAAAAAACTCTACATGCCATGTATTGAATACCTTGTCTGATTTTGGAAATAGTATGCCATGACGGGGGGTCGTCATTTTTAAAAAGATTTATTCCTAGTCTGTCATCTCCTAGGCAACACAGGGCCAGCACATCAATCTGGCAAATTTCAAAGTGTAAAAACTGAAATGGGCAAGCTCTTTATTTGACCCTGTAACTTTCCAAAACACCACCGTCGTAATCCTGGAACTTCACAGCATACGTGTGTTTCTATTGCCAAAACGGCTAACCATATTGTCCTATTCAAAGTTAAACTGCCATGTAGAAATTGGAAAATAAAATGTCTGTTTCTCAAACTTTTTAACTTTTTTTTTTTTTTTCATATTAAATTGTGCTCCATATTTTAATAGTGAAATAAAAGTGCGGTTTCTCATGGACACATGATGTATAGGAAGTGTGGGTGTACTTAATATGAAAGACGTAAATTATAGTTGAACAGACTTATAGCTCAAAATGCACAATTGCCTCCGTCCTTAAGGAGTTAAGTAGTTTTCACTTTGTGGGGAGTGTTCTGCTCCGTAGAATACGTTGAACTGTTTGCTTAGTTGTTTTGTACTGGGAGAGGTAAATGGCTTCAAAAACACAACTAGTATGTGACAGATGCCAACACAAGGTTACTTTACCTTGTGAGACCAATCCGAGACACATTATAATTGCACAACATTTTTAGTTTCTGGAAAACATTTTTGGGGATTCTGATCCATGTTCAATAATAACCTAACTTAATGTAATATTTCTTCTAGTTAAACTGTTTGTGGGGAGGGAGGGCGTCAAGTTAAAACTGAAAATTTAAATAACAAAAATCCCAAAAAGGTCAGTAAAATTTACTTTGGCAAACTTAAGTCTTGCAAGGGTTTGACTACCCATTAATATGCTGAGGTCACTATTGTTTTAACATTGCATAATGGGAGTTGAATATATTTGTATCAAGTACCCTGTCTGCTTTTTCTCAGAACTTTTAATGTGTGCTGTTGGTCGATTACTTTGTATAGACTGATCTAATTCATGCCTTTTTATTTTCTGCGTTTAAAAACGTGCGTGAATTCTCCACTTTAACTTTTTGTAGGTTCTGCTGGAAAGCTGTACAACATCTATGTCAATATATTAACAAAGTATCTATAAAATTCAAAATCTGATGGGGAGACCTAATGTGCATGTGCAATGAGTGTTAGGCCCTCCCCATAGGAAAGCATTGAATCAGTGTTTTCCTATAGGGATTTTACTGATGCTGGATGTCCCTTCTGCAGAGCATGAGGATGTCCAAAGTCCAGTAAACTCCTGGAAGCGCTTCTCTGGGAGGCTCTTGGTACGGTAATGTAAACGGTGCAGTTTCTCTGGAACTGCAATGTTTTTCTTTACAGGACTAATTGGAATGGACACTGAACCCAGACCACTGCAATGAGATGTGTTCATAGTGTGACTCTTAAAATATAATTTGCATGTGATATAGTGCTACATATAACCAAGGATTTGACTGAGGGTGTCTTGCGTGATTACAACATTCAAACAAAACAAAGGCTGGCATACAAATTTCCTGTGAAATTCTTAACATGATCCTCCTGCCTCCAGATACTATGCTGAGATCACTTATGAGGCTGGCTTGGTGGTTTTGATGCATTTTTTTTTTTTTTTTTTGATGCCAAACGAAAAAGTAGAGGGAGAAAAACTATCACAGCTGTTAAGGCTTGTAGAATCTGTCATTAAGACTAGCATGAAACAGCACCGGAAATGAGCTTCTAAACAAGCAAGACGTTCTTTAGTCTTGTGGCTTGGAATCCATTAATGATTCTGAAGCCTGTTTACTTGGAACTGATTCAGGAAGCAGAGCAGTCTGTAGGACTGCTGTCATTTCCTCCATCTACTGGAAATTCTGGAATCCGTTTGAATATATCTCTATCTTTTGTGTAGATATGTTGAAGATGAAGATCTTGATTGTGAGTTTTATAATACAAAGCCATGTGTCACTTTCTAGCAAAATAATTTTTCATCAGTTTGCTAGGGACCTGACTAACATCGTGTGTGTGTATATATTAAAGTTTATTTACACTTTTTTTTTTTTTTTTTTTATTGTGATGCCAAGTTATATTAAATGGGGAACATTTTTGGAAATCACACCATTTGAATAAAGCAAAGTGAACAGTTTTCATGATGCACTTTTTTCCCTTTGCATTAAAAGATTTATCAAAGTTAATCACAATCCATTTTAGTGCATAGTCGGAGCAAACAATGCAAATAAGAGAAATGCGAGGGGGAGGGATGGCATAATCGCAGCACATGATACACTAGTGAGTTAGACAATCAAAAGGGAAAAGAAACACAAAAGGAGGCAAACTTAAAAGGGAGTTTAAGAAAAGCGGGTGACTATATGCATTTTTTATTTTTTTTTGCCAATTTATATATAGCGCCAACAGATTCCGTAGCACTTTACAATATTATTAGAGGGGGGATTGAATTTTAAATAGGACAATTACATGAAAAATTAAAAGAACAATAGGTTGAAAAGGACCCTGCTCAAATGAGCTTACAGTCTATAGTAGGTGGGGTGTAAAACACAATAGGACAGGAAATCGCAATCAAAATAGGTGGGAGTGAAGCAGAGCTGGAGGAGAGAGCAAGAGACAGGTATGTAAGGTAGAGGTTACTCTGGGAAGCCATAAGCATTCCTAAAGAGATGGGTTTTAAGGCACTTCTTAAACTATTGAAGACTAGGAGTGTCTGGCGGTAGGCAGGCTATTCCGTAGGAAGGGAGCCACCCGCAAGAAATCCTGCAAGCGTGAGTTGACCTTACAGGTGTGAGCAGCGGACAGGAGAAGGTCACGGACATAATGGAGAGAATGAGAAGGGGCATACCCATGGATCTGTGAAGAGATATGAGGGGCTAAGATTATTCAGTGCTTGATAGGTATGGGATAGCACTTTGAATTGACTCCTATAGGATACAGGAAGCCAATGTAAGGACTGGCAGAGGGGTGAGGTGTAAGGACCGACTAGAGCGGAAAATCAGTCTGGCGGCAGCATTCATTACAGACTGTAGCGGGGCAATACAGTTTTTGTGAAGACCAATTAGGAGAAGGTTACAATAATCCATTGCGGGATATTACTAGCGCATGGCCAAGCTCCTCGATAGCAGCTTGCATCCGCCTTTTTCTACGCAAGGTGCTATGTTTTTAAGATGAAATCTACAGGATTTGGCAGCATACTGTATGTGAGGTTCAAAGGTCAGGCCAGAATAAAGTATGACACAAAGAGCACGCTTGCAAGGATGGACTGATGAGGATACCATTAATTTGAAGGGAGAGTGAATAAGGATCAGTATCAGTAGAGGAGAAAGACAGAGGTAAGTTTTTAGAGATTTTGTTTCAGAAAGCCAGAGTAAATCCAGTCAGAGATAGAAGAAAGGCAAGCAGTGACACGTTGCAGGATGGCAGGGGAGAGATCTGGGTGTCATCAGTGTACAGGTGGTAGTGGAATCCAAATGAGGTAATTTGCTCACTGGGGTCTCCTTGAACAGCCCTGCCCTCCTTCCTAACTGTACCTATTTGAACCATTTCTCCTGCACCACCTCTGAAACACTTCCACCCCCCACGGACTTCAGATTCCATAGAATACAAACCCCTTGCCGAAACAGAATCCCAAACCCGTCCCACAACAGGACAGTGTCCTCCTGGTTTCCATAGCTGCTTAGCCATGGCAACATCATGGTGACCTTCACCGGCGATCCCCCCAGTGGCAAGGGCACCCCTGGCATCCCTCCCGTGGAGGACTTACCAGTCTTGGAGCAGTGGATGTACCCATGCGTGCCTCCACCCTGGAACGCTCACGTTTACCGGATTGACCCACCTGCCCAGGAGCCCACCTGCCCACTTCCCAACTTGGGTCCACCTCCCTGGGTTCTCTCCCTTAACCCATGCTAGGTGATCTGGACACCGACCTGCGAGGCGGCCTATTCGAACACCCTCCTGCGACCAGCTAGGAGAAGCCTGTCGATGCACACCGGGCCTTGGGGACACATCGTTGCCTGCAACTGCAGTGTTGTCCCCCGATCCGGTCCTGGCAGCACTCCCAGTGTAGTCCTGGCCAGCCGCAGCGTCCACAGTCAAGGAAACTGCCTGGTAACAGACTCGCTCACTGTTTTATCTGAACCAGAGGCACCTTCAGCTGACCTGCGTTCGCGGGCCGAACTTTCGGCAGTTTCCGCAACAATTCGGGAGAACATGTGTACCTGTTCGCAGCCTGAAGTGTTCAGCAGGTTCCCATTCATGGCCTGTACGTTCTGCAATTTCCACTCGTTCGGTAAATTCGCTGGTTACCTGTTTGCGGCCCGAATGACCAACCGTGAGTGACTGCACCAATTCACGCCCAAACGTCCTTGCACAGCCATGTTGGCGGGAACCCATCCTGGCCGTGCGGCTGCATATATATATATATATATATATATTCAACTGCTAGGTTTATAGAAAAAAGGGTTAATCCTAGCTGGGTCTGGGTGCCTATAGTGGTCCTTTAAGGCAACACTCTAAACCCCTTAACGTCAGAGCATCCCCTCTTAGACACTTTTTTTTAACTACCGTATATACTCGAGTAGAAGTCGACCCGAATACAAGTCGAGACCCCTAATTTTACCCCCCAAATCTGGGAAAACTTATTGACTTGAGTATAAGACTAGGGTGGGAAATGCAGCAGCTACTGGTAAATTTCTAAATAATATATATAATATATATAATATAAAAAATATAATTTTTTTTTTTTTATCTAATTTTATTTAGAAATTTACCAGTAGCTGCTGCATTTCCCACCCTAGTCTTATACTCAAGTCAATAAGTTTTCCCAGTTTTGGGGGGTAAAATTAGGGGTCTCGACTTATATTCGGGTCGACTTCTACTCGAGTATATACGGTAGTTTAAAAAAAGTGTCTAAGAGGGGATGCTCTGACGTTAAGGGGTTTAGAGTGTTGCCTTAAAGGACCACTATAGGCACCCAGACCCAGCTAGGATTAACCCTTTTTTCTATAAACCTAGCAGTTTCAGAGAAACTGCTATGTTTATAATAGGGTTAATCCTGCCTCTAGTGGCTGTCTCATTGGCGGCCGCTTCTCACTGTGATTTTCACAGTGAGAAGATGCCAGTGTCCATAGGAAAGCATTGTGAATGCTTTCCGATGGACTGGCTGAATGCACGCGCGGCTCATGCCGCGCATGCTCATTCAGCCGAGGAGGAGAGCTCCCCGCCCGGCGCTGAAAAAAGAGGTAAGTTTAACCCCTTCCACCCGCTAGAGCCCCGCGGGAGGGGGGTCCTGAGGGTGGGTATGTTTTCCTGGCACTATAGTGGTCCTGTAAGAGATAGCATGTGTGCATCTGCACTAGAACCAGTATTTGACTAGACCAGTGGTGGCTAACCTTGACACCATAAATTGTTTCTGGACTACATTTCCCATGATGGTCAGCTAGTTTTTAGACTCTAGTCTTTTTAGTCCAGAAACCATTTATGGTGTCAAGGTTAGTGATCACTGGAATATATCCTACATTGTGTGGTATATAGACTTTTCGTTGCACTCAAATGATTACACTTGCTGAATTTTCCAGGTGTGGAAATAATGTATGCTTATTTTAATGGTAATAAGAGATCTATATACAACAGATTCTTAAAGCATGCAACCCAGCAATTTAGATTACTGAGAATGTTTTTTTTTTTTTTTTTTTTTTCAGGACCCTTTGGGACCCATTGATTTGAATTCTTCAATATCTTCACAGCATTCCGAAGAAATTGGGGTGAGTACCAATGAGCTGGTTTCCAATTTGTGGACAGATTCTGATTCTACTCATGGATTTGACTTGGGATTGTAAACTTAGTCTAATTCAAGCCAGAAATATAAAATGAAAAAAAGATGCCCATGCAACAGATAATTTAAACTAGATCCTTCTATGGATGCACCAAACAGAAAAATCTGGGGCGAAATTGCAAAAGTGTGCGCTGTTAAAGATCCTCAGCGCTGACCCGGCCCCCTGAAAATCCATACCCATCGGGTGGCCCTAACAGCATGGGCCACCCGATGGACCCCTTGAACGGCGGAACCGGTAGCTTGCCGCGGCCACAGAACATGCCGGCGGGCACCCGATCACAGAGGTCTGCAGGGCGTCCAGCCCCCTTAGAGTGATGGGCTTGGTCGCACCTGCGACCCCTATATGTACGCCACTGAAAACACACGTTACATCCTCCACAATAACACCCAAAACATCCCCTACACACATACACTCCACTTCCTGTGAGCAAACTCATGGGTGGGCTTTGTAGGCATAAGGCTTATGGACGGGCCTTGTAGGCATACTCACAGTCAGGCCCTGGGGGTCCAGACCGTGATCTGTGTAAGGGGCCCAAAAAAATGGAGCGGTTTCCTGTTCATTGATATTTGTAAGCACTGGCTCTACTGGTCTGGTGTTAAAATAGACTCGCTGGAGGCAGACTGCAGCCTGAGCCCATCATCCTCTTGTCCTCATATGGTGGTAAGTAGGCAATCCAGCATATTATTAGTGGCACTAATCTCTAATTTACCTCACATTAAAGGGCAACTATAGTCACCAGAACACTACAACTTAATGTAGTGGTTCTGGTGTCTATAGCCTGTCCCTCAGGCTTTTGATGTAAGCACACTGCCTTTTCAGAGAAAAGACACTGTGTGCATCACTGGCGTTGGTTCATATGGGTGAGGCATTGTGATATCACATGGTGGGCAGAGCATATTGGGGGGGCGGCAAATTTGTTTGCCTAGGGTGGCAAAAATCCTTGCACCGGCCCTGGGTACAGAGGAAAAAACAAATTTCTCTGCTCTTAAGGAAAAACTGAAAATTGTTTAGCAAATTATCTAAACATGCAAAAGGCCATATTTATCATTGAGGAACTAGAACATTTCTGGGCAAAATACTATATATGAAGGAACCTGGAGAAGAATTTGGTTGGTTGTTCGGTTTTCGTATTTGCTTTACATTAAGCAGCAAGCACTGCTAAAGCCATTGTTTATGCATTTTTATCGCTGTCCCTTATACAAGTAGCTTGTTAGGATAGAATAGAGAACATTTGAAAAAGAACTGTCCCTTCCCAGGATTTTAATCTGTTTACACCTGTAAAATATATATATATATAATTTTATTTATTTTTTTTGAGGTGTGAATAAAAGTAAATGCAATAAAAAAACAAACACCCCTTTTCTGCAAATGGGCCCTGTCAATTTATTGTTAGATCTGTCCTTTTCCACCTAGAGGTCCGCATAGAGAAGGCATACAGTGAAAATAAATGATACCATGTTTCTATTTCTCCTCTTCATTTGCAATGTTTTTCTTGGCTGTACCTTGTCTAAACTGGAATATATATATTAAACTAAAATAAACAAGGTCTTTTATTGAAGAAAAAAGATTTTATTTTTTATTCAGTGGTGTAAATTTCGTTTAAAATGTTCAGAAACTGGTACTTTGAAAACATTTTGCAATTGAACTATTGGGGGTTCTCATTAAAACAGATCTCATAACCTCTCAAGCTTTTCAGTTACCCTCAGGTCACATAACTCCAACTACACCATAGTAAAGGTAATTTAAGTTATACTGTAATCCCCTTTTTATGTCATTTTATTTGTGTTGCAGGGACTTGAAGACAGCATCAACAGTACTTCGAGTTTCATGTCATATCTCCTTACTATACACTTAAGAGAAGGCCGGAACCTTGTCATTAGGGATCGTTCAGGTAATAACTAAAGGTGTCTGCCATCAAAATCATTTCCTCTCTTGGCTGTTTCTAAATTCCTATGGTTTGTGCTTGGTAACATATTTTCAGTATTTTGAATTGGGGATCGACATATTATTGGTCTGGCCGATATTCTGTATTTTCAGCAATATTGGTATTGGCCGATAAAGATACAGATATTGCTGATAATGCAGACCAGGGACCTGGCGGGCCCACAGCACATTCTTACTTCCCTTCTAAGCAGCTCCCTTAAGCTCCCATATCAAACTGTTGCTGGGCCCCCCAGGACCACTTTGCACGCACTGCACAAACACACGGCATCCACTATGCACGCACTCTGCATCCACTACACACATATATTCTTAAAAACATAAATTCTGACTGGCATGTATATTGTGCATTTACCTTAATAAAAAAAGAGACTTGCAAAATAAATAATAAACGTGTACAGTTAACAGTAGTTTTGTGTAGAAATAGTTTGTTTTTCTTCAAAAATGTAAATGTATGGAATATTGGTAAGCTATCGGCCTGAAAGTTCAGATTATCAGTATATGCTATAAAAAAAAAAAAATTATCGGTCGATCCCTTTTCTTGATTACCCCATCCTACACTTCGCTAAGAATCTTTTCACATTCAATTCAAACTAAAGTCCTCTTTCAGTTAATCACTCTAGACAGCCAAGTGACCATCATACTAAGGCCTGTCACTTCTGTTGGAGAATCAAACCATAAAATGCTGCATGTATTTCCTGAATCTCGCTTTATGTACTTGAGGTTCCTGGAAAAATCTGTCACTAGTGCCTGGCTAAAAGGAATGTCCACATCTCTATTGGTTATCCTCATTGGTTATCCTCCACTGTTAAACATCAGGAGCCAAGCCCTCGTTTTTGCCAAATTGAGGTCACATGTTAAAGCAGTTCTGAATAGAACAGGAAAAACAATTGATTGTATTTGCAAAGTTTTTTTTTTTTTTTCTTTTTTTTTGACTAGGTTTCCAGTATGATTATTTTGGGGCTAAGAATTGACCACTGGTTTTGAAACTCTGTGTCGCTCCTTGTATCTTTGTATTGCAAAGAAACTGTTGGATTTTGTCTTAGAATTCTGTCAATCACACTGAGCGCTGCTAATGCAGCCTTGCTATGTATGCATGTAGTGTTAGCAATACAAATCTGTATTCTAATGCTAATATTTGTCATTGCGATGAAGTGGGCATGGAAACAAAGTTTTAAGATGTTTGAAGATGGAATGCATATAAAGTTCTAAAATGGTTTATCTTTAGTGTTCATCAGTACTGTCTAAAACAGATTATTAATGTTTTTGCAGTGCAGTATCCCCTATATAAAAAGCTCTTCTAATATGTAGTGATGACCCTATATAGTCCTCAGAAGGAGCGCACTTGGACTAGTTCATAAATACACATTTAGATGAATGGACTACATAGCAGACAGGCAAGAGAACAAAAATATAAGCAGAATGAGTATCCCAAATGTAGTCCAGAAGGATGAATAGCAAGACCTGCACTATATGGTTACATTGTTTAACCGGTAAAAGCATTTCTATGATTAAATACATGTTTTGCATGTATGTAACTTAAACCTGCATGTATAACCATGAACAGTTTATTATGATTAAATTAGATTTTTATTAGACGTCATTATAATCCACATGATTGAAAGATGGCATTCTATTATAAACCCTAATATAGAATTCACTGTTGTGTAACTTTTACAGTGTATTGTTTTATTTTAGTGTAATGGTTCCTTTAACTGCACCAGGAGATACATGGCTTTGTCTGCTCTAGATTAGCGAGTTATGCCATCAAGGAAATGTAAATCCTAATTGTCTCAGAGATGTGGATATGTATGCCCTGCTCCTGCTCTAATATTTCGGACTCCAACCTGTACACTGACCATCAAAAATATGCATTATGGAAAATATGGCCATGGAGAAGGGAATTGCTGCACTGGATAAGTCCACCCTCGGTAGAGGGACAAAATTTTGCCTCCCTGAATGTACCACCTGTCTAGTACATGCAGTGGCCTGGCCTGCCAGATTGAAAGAAGGTTGGAGTGGAAGGGGGTGCATGGGGAGACACACAAATTGGAGTGTGATACGTTAGGGGAGAAAAGATATGGGTAGAGAGGTATAAATTGTGGAAAAATTGATAGGTAGATCGGAGAAGAGGAATATGCGTTGAAGGCAAATCTGTTTTAATGTATTTGGAATGTGTATTGTGTAGGACTGTCTGTAGGTGGTTGGGTTTTGGTGGGATTTTTTTTTAAAGATATTTTAACCTATCTTAATAATGTTTTTAAGCAGCCCTGCTGTATAATTTGAAATTTCTTATGTTTCTTTTGCTAGTAATGGCTTTTTATTCACCTTTTAATTTACTGTAGTCTGTTTGTTTTTGTCATATGTGGATAACCGATTACAAGCCTCTTAAAAAGTTCTATACAAACACAAGTATTGTGCAGAAAGACCAGGATGATGGTGTTTTCCTAATTATGTAATTGTGAAATTAATCAGTTTGCATACTTCATATCTCTACATGAACTGGAAACAAGGTAGTTTTAGACATTGGCACTCCTATCTCTCAAACTGTTGATCAACTCTGGTACCACGTACAAGCATTATGGGATGTATAGCTATTTGGAGAGCTATTATTTGCCTGCCTTGATACTACTAAAGGGTCACTCCAGCGAGAGGCAGAAGGGGAGGGGGCTAAAGAACAGGGCGTCATTGACCAGGGCGCAACACAAGTTCTTCATGAAGCCAATGTCAAGACTGTGCAAACTGTCAGGTTATGCTCTCTGTCCATGAATGGTGATTGGATCAGCTCCCACTTTCTGCAGTTCTGCAGAAGCTGTCTGTGTGCCACCAGAGATGAAGCATTTTAGGAGCCCAGCAGAAATTACAGGTAAGAGGGCAAACCTCTAAATGGGCCAGGTGTTTTTTTTTGTTTTTTTTTAATGTGTCAAGCAAGTCATTCTATATTCACAAACTGGTTTCTTGTCTTTTAAATCTAAGGACTACTATCTACATTTAGTAGTCTTCTAGTCCAATCATAAATATGCATGGTAGAGTAAAAGCTCAATCATTGTCAAACTTGTTGATGGCTTCTTGAGCCTCTCTCCCCCCTCTCTCCCCCTCTCCCCCTCTCCCCCCTCTCTCCCCCCTCTCTTCCCCCTCTCTCCCGTTGGTGCACAATTAACTTAGTCTGCCTTCCAAATGTCGTTTGAAAAACGTGTCAGGTACCTTGCCCTAGTATTGTAGATTTTGAGGCATTTTTAGAAGAGGCAACCTAGAATGGCATTTTATTCCACTTAGGAAATGTAAGTATGTGTCTTTGTCTTGATAGCCAGAGGAGTTGCTTCTCAGGGTATTTATGAGCTCTCCATAGACATGCACTTGTGATATTTATTTATTATGCTGACTCATTCAGTAAACCTGCATTCCACTATTCTAAAATTGCATCAGGAATTTTTTGGAATCTTTAAGGGACTGTAGCCGAATGTTTGTTTAAAAAAAAAAAAAAAAAAGTCTCTTTAAAACAAAGTGCACATTCAATAGAAATTGAGGAAAAAATATATAATGAATTATATTTTGAAAATTAAATTGACACTTTATTTTTTATAAATTGAGCTTGGAAATTCATAGTTGCCAACATTTTAAAAAACATTTTGGGGACACTTTGCAGCACAGCTATCAATTACTACCATACCTTGAAAATGTACCACACCCACTGCTGCAAAACTCTGCCCACTAAGTCCAACCCACATAATTAAGCTCCGCCTATCAGTGCAGATTACAGGGTCTACTCCATAAAGAGAGAATTACAGGGAATTGAGTTGGCCTTGAGTTAACGCCAAACTAGCACAGTTGGAAACATTTTTCCCAATAAGCTGCATTCATTTGCCCTAAAGTTTGAGATTCCCATCTCAATCCCTTCAATTCTCTCTTTACTGATACAGTATACAGTAAGCACGCAAGCTCACTGATACACAGGCTCAAAAACAGACAAGTTCACTGACCCTAAACACAAACTCACTGACAGACAAAACTGACTCGCACACAAGCTTACTTAAGACAAACTAATTTTGTATAGACATGCAAAGCTCACTACAGACAAGCATACGGCAGTGAGGGGTGCTGTGTTTGTGAGGGGTGCTGTGCCATGATGGTAAAGTTGTGGTGAGTGGTTTCCTCTGGCTGCAGGCTGTCTAAACTCCTCCTGCGTTCAGAATGCTGTATCGGAGCATTGCCATGGTAACACGCGGCATCGCTCCTCCAGCCCTCCGTGTCACTAACACACACATTACAAACAAGCTCACTGACCCACACAAGCTCACTACAGATACGCTCACTGACACACACACCTGAGTATATCAAGCATACTTTGCAATGACTGGAGGCTGTTGCTGGGAGGTCAGCTATTTAACAGTCTGCTGCTTAATGGTGGGGGCGGAGCTTGGTGGCAATAGGTGGGGGCTTACATGCATGGGTGGAGCTAGTGTTGTGCGAGGTGGAACCTAAGCCTGTGTGCCGGGGAAGCTGCTGGGAATTCTTAAAGGATCACTATAGTGTCAGGAAAACAAATTGGTATAGGCCCCCCTCCTGTGGTGCTGAAAGGGTTAAAACCCCTTCAGTTAATCACCTTATTCCACTGCCGGGCTCCCTTACCTCTCCTCCCCCACTGACGTCAGAGGAGCGGAATGCGCATGCGTGGCAGTGCCGCGTGTGCATTCAAAGTGTAGATAGGAAAGCATTTCTCAATTTCTTGCAAGTTGCTGCCATGTGCCATCCCTGGTGGTCCAGTGGAGAGTGAACTCTAGTCTGAAATCTGAGCGTTGCCGCTGGCTAGAGCTCCTCGGGTACTCTCCTGCCTCCCTCCATGCTGCTGTGGGCCAGTGAGGGAGATCTTTGATCTCCCCACCGGCCCATGGGGGCTTAGAGCAGAGATCTCCCCTGCTGGTTTCAATCCATAGGCGTGCCGCGGGGATTAAAGTGTCCCCATGCGCACGCCTATGCCCCTCACATACAAATTCACAAGCAGTCCCACACATAGACCCCGAACACACAATGTGAAATCCTCACACACAATTCCACAAGCAACCACCATACACAACCCACATTCATAGGTATCCTACATGATACCACAAACTACCAATGAACATATACAATATAATGGCTCATATACGCACAAATACAATGATACAAAGCAACTGCAGTATGAATAACACAAGCAGAATATGGCAACTTACACACCTCAATAAATAAAAAATAAAAAATAGGACCGGCACACTACGGGACATCACAATTCTATTCCAGCCCAGTGCTGTTAAAAGTCTGCCCACTCCTGGACTAGAATATAAGGTATTATTATGGCTATCAATCACATCTTCTCCTTACTCAGCTAACTTTGCAATAGACCTGGCCAGATCAACATAGGGACTGTTTAAGTAGTATCTCTAGGTACATACTTTTAAATAAGCCTACATGTTTTTAGTCTTTTGGCTCTGGATGGTGGCTAGGGTGTTTTGTTTTTTTTTTCTTTAGCCTCAACATGTGAATAAGAGGGAACATACAGAGGTCACATCGAATGGGTGTAGGTTTGCTTGTCACATGCATGCCATCTTTAGGGCCTAAATCCCACCATCCCTCCTAGATACCAAGCTCTGTAGATGAGATACATTGTTCTTGCTCTAAACTACAGATTACATTTCCGTTGAAAAAAGAATTGGCAAATTACATATAAATTTCTCTGAACATTCATGTCCCTGGCCACACTCCTAAAATTAGTATCCCTTTTTGGTCCATTTAAAATGTTAGGGGGTATACCTATGTATAATTCACAACCACTCTCGTGACAATGGCAATATAAACTCCTTTTGCCCATCAACTTTTTTTAATCTCCAGGCCCACAAAGACCTCAGTTGTGCACTGGGCTAGTTTATCGATTTCTGTATGTGCTATTAAAAACCATTCTATGCCTGTACAATACTATCCAAACAATACATACAGTATTTAGATTTGACAAAGGTGTTTGTGTGTGACTTTTTTTGTTTTTTCTTTAGTATGTCTCACCACCATATAAATGTGACAAAACTGCTTCTCCTCCTGTATTTCTGGAGGAGAACAGGTTTGGTCTCTTTACTGCCAATAATAAAAAAAAAATATATATTGGTTACAATGGATAAGCTGTAGAATATCGACTGTATATACATAGAGGCTGGGTTCTCTAAGCTCTGAGGATTGTGGGAAAGCATGCAGTAGTGCTTGGAATAGTTTCTAAAGCTACTTAAAAAAATAAATTGCTGTTCCTTGAGTCAGGCTGATCTTCATGTACACAATATTCTTAGAGGTTTATAGAAATTAATTATATAAATGCAGTCCATCTGATGTAAATATGGATAAGGCACTTCACATTATTAAGAGGAATGTTAATGGGACTATAGCTTCAAGGCAAGACTTCAGTGAAAACAGTCTGATAAACCTGCTGTAGCCATACTCCTAGGTTAAACTGTGTTTGCTAGGTCATGCATGACATTTTCAGAGACCTACACCTTTTAAAAAAACAAAACAAAAAAAACGACTTCATTAAAGTATTAGTCCAATCATGGACAACTTCAGTGATCTGAAGTGGTCATGGTCCCCTGGAGTCTGTATCTGCAGCATTTCAGTATAAAATGCTGCACATACAGAGTTTAGTCTCTGTGCTGTCACAGGTTGTCACAAGTTCCAGGATTGCTAATGTTAGTTCTGTGCAAATTTCACTGTACATGATGTCATTCATTGGCTGCAAGCGATCAACAGATACTGGTGACTGCGTTGGCTATTACTACCTTGCAGAAGCCAGATGTGCGTCACCAAACTAGCCTTGGAGCCTAGTGGGGATCCAGGGAAGAGGGCATACCACTTCTAAACGGTGGTAGCAGTTATGATGCTTGACGTAACTTTTTTTAAAGTGCAAAGCAAAAGGTTGGTTTCCTTAGCCTGCCCGGCATTAGTGCATCATTACACACTTGTTCTGTGCTAAGCTAACTAGGACTATGCGGAGAGCACTTGAGACATTCTCCTCATGGTGTACCCCAACTAGTGTTGGGTTAGAAACAGTCGTTAATTTGTTGAACAAAAACTGTGAGTAGGCTTGCCATATTTCTTTTTTGGGTGTCACAAGTGACAAACACGTCAATGTCACACCCCCAGGACCTGCTCACCTGTCTCTAAATCTCCTGAATCACAAGGAGGAAAACAAAGAATAGATTTTCCTTCTTTATGAGCTTCAACATTTTAAAAGGGACACTCTGGGCACCATAACATTCGAATGAAGTCGTTCTGTTGCCAAGGGGTCCCTTGCAATGGCTTACATAAAGTGGGTAAACCATTCATGAACGTCTTGAATCCAGCACCGTTTAACTCTGCCATTGTCCTTGCTCTTGTTTTCTTGAAACCGGAATCAGATGACCATCAAACGATCAGTAGCTCCCTGTTCATATAAATGGCTTGAGAAACAATATGTAGGTTTCTCAGGCTGATTTTATGGATGGGGAACAAAAGATTAGCTTAGAGCAGGCTTCCCCCAAACTCCAGTCCTCCAGATGTTGCTGAACTACAACTCCCATGATTCTATGAATGAAATAGGCTGAAAATCATGGGAGTTGTAGTTCAGCAACATCTGGAGGGCCAGAGTTTGGGAAACCCTGGCTTAGAGCATCAGTGGTGCTTCTGTCAGAAGCTGTCCAATGTTTCTTGTTTCAAAAACATAGAATGTGGCAGCAGATATGAACCTTTCGGCCCATCTAGTCTGCCCAATTTTCCAAATACTCTCATTAGTCCCTGGCCTTATCTTATAGCTAGAATAGCCTTATGCCTACCCCATGCATGCTTAAACTCCTTTACTGTGTTAGCCTTCCAGATAAAGTGGTAGAGGTTATTCCATGCATCCACTACCCTCTAGTAAAGTAATACTTCCTGATATTATTTTTAAACCTTTGCCCCTCTAATTTAAGACAATGCCCTCTTGTTGTGGTAGTTTTTCTTCTTTTAAATATAGTCTTCTCCTTTACTGTGTTGATTCCCTTTATGTATTTAAATGTTTCTATCATATCCCCCCTGTCTCGTCTTTACTCCAAGCTATACATGTTAAGATCCTTTAACATTTCCTTGTAAGTTTTAGCCTGTAATCCATGAATTCGTTTTGTAGCCCTTCTTTAAACAATCTCCAAATTATCAATCTCCTTCTGAAGATACGGTCTCCAGTACTGTGTACACTACTCCAAGTGAGGTGTCACCAGTGTTCTGTACAGTGGCTTGAGCACTTCCCTCTTTCTACTGCTAATACCTCTCCATATACAACCAAGCATTCTGCTAGCATTCCCTGCTGCTCTACAGGTGGAAGGGCAGAGTTGAACAATGCTGGGGTTAAATTATGTAACCACTAAATGTAATCCAGTGTCTGCATGGCACCACAACCACTTCATATGACGCTGTTAAGGTTTCCAGGCTGTTCTGTTAAAAAGCTGATTGTGCAAATGTCATTGTGCAACAAAATTGAGACTTTTGTATTGTTTGGAGTGTACATGCTACATCCCATTTGCTGCTTTATATTTTGTCAATTGCATAATTTTATGTAATCACTACTGATTATACATGCAGCAGAATATAGTGGCACCTACGCAGTCGTCATTGATTACAAAAAACACCAATGGCAAGGACTGTGCAAAAGATGAGTTTCTAGAATAAATGGCATGGGCAGTGATTGTAATGTAGTGTGCCGTGTGATTTTATTTATTTTTGTTCTGTGCATGTGTGGAGTTAATTTACACACTTAAATTGTCTGTCCACTTTTTGCTACAAATAGAAGCTATTTCGATCAGTGTCCTGATATGAAAACTTTAAAGTGTTTATCTATGCCCCAACTTTTAATTTTTAATTTCCGCCCAAGCCACCCCCTGATGGAATTTTTTTATTTTTTTATTAAAGAAACACTATAGGGTCAGGAACACAAATGTGTATTCCTGACCCTATGGTGTTAAAACCACCATCTGGGCCCCCATACCTCCCTAAATATAATAAAGTCTTATTTGTATTCATGTCTGCAGCTGCTGCCTCTGCCCCTGACCTGCCTGCATGCTTGACATTATCAGAAGGGCTTCTGTGAGCCAGTCACAATGCTTTTCCATAGGATTGGCTGAGAATGTCAAGGAGGCAGATCAGGGGCAGAGCCAGCACAAGTCAAACACAGCCCTGGTCAATCACCATATCCTGAGAGATCCATTTGAATCCATGTATATCTGAGGAAAGTTAAGTGTCTGCATGCAGAGGGAAGAGACACTGAATGGCAGTGCTGCTCACTTGGCGGCAGCAGCACTGCCCAAGGAAGCACCTCTAGCAACCTTCTGAGGAGTGGCCAGTGACATTCTCCCTAGGCTGTAATGTAAACTCTGCATTTTCTTTGAAAATATAGTAATTACTGCAAAATGCCTGAAGGGACTGATTATACTCACCCGAACAAATACTATAAGCTGTAGTTGCTCTGGTGACTATATAGTGTCCCTTTAAATATTTAGGTCCTTTCCATGGGCCTGTGTAAATTCAGAACAAATTTGCCATTCTGATTACAAATTAAATCGTATTATGTAACATTTTATCCATCATTGCAACAGTTAGGTCTCTCTGTACTTGCATATGCAGATAACTTCATTTGATGGCATGTGATTTGTAATCAGCTGGAAGATCTTTATGCTTTAAAAAAAGGTCCTCTTCACTGCCTCATTTTTAAATGTTCAAATACTATATTATCTTTGTAGTGCTTTATGAACCATGTGTTATTGGGAGGGGGAAGCCATCTAGAAATTCTATAGAATTCCAAAAAGCTGCTCCACATTTTGTTGTATAACTTGTTTCCAGAAAATGTCATTATTTTCTCATAATTTTTGTATGGCAAGTATGTTCTGCTTCTCTACATCTTCTTCTGCAATTCTTGTCTGGTAGAAGTAGTCTCTTCTGTAAGAACACTACCTGTTTATGGTGCAGTGAGGCATACAATTTATTTCTATATTGGTACACTTTATTTTAATTTTTTTTATTATAATTTTGAGATTTTATAAGCAGTACATGTATGGTGGTAACAACAACCCAAAACAGAACACGCCTCCCCGCTCCAAATCGTTAAAGGATCAAAACAATTAGATTGTTTTTAAAGTTGGGGGAAAAAAATATCTGCTCATGAAATGCACCCTAACTTGGTCTTCATTTAGTTGTATTTATCTCCTTGCTGGATAATACCTGTCAGCATTGTGTACTTAAACCAAACAAAGTGACTGCATACACAATGATTATAATTTACCTTTTCAGTATATAATCAGATGGGTCCTTTTTTCAATTTGAAATCATAAATAGACCCTGTGTAATAAAGATATAAAATGTACCATAGTATAACTACCATAGTGAGGTAGTAAGCTAATATGGAACACTCACAATTTAGAGCCATTTTAAAGATTGGCTCTGAACTATAGATGCATTTCATCCATAAAAGAGAGAGCTGGAACACGAAAGTATCCTGAAGAGTCAGGAATTAAAAAGAAACCATAAAAGGTCAATATTGTTAAAACGGTGAAGAAATAAAAAGCACAATGTGTTTATTCGAGAATAAAGGTCCTCCTCAGGTGTGTTAGTTGTCCTGACACATCTTGTATCCATATATGGTCCGAACCAAATGTAAACTACTAAGATGGTAATGCTTCTGACATTCACACATTCTCCACAGCCATATCGAACATTGCCGTGCACCTGTCCTATGACTCAATTAGACTCCATAGCCAGTCGCAATATATTTTTAAATAGAACAGCGGGCTCCCTTCCTGTAAGACACGTCCGCCCAATAGAAGCCTTCATCCAGTTTCCCAGGTGGCAGTGCACATGTCTCTGCATCCCTTTTGTTGCAATCTTCAAAAATGGTGGCACGTGCCTTCACACTTTCTGTTCTTGTTCTAAGAATTTTTTTTTTTTAAAGGGTAATCTTGACACATGCAATTCTTAAAGGAATTGCAGTTTTAAAATCCTCCCCCAAAAAAAAACCCCCTTAAAATTACCATACCTTAAATCATACAGCATTCACTAGACCAATTTTGAAGTCACGTGATAAAAGAGAATGCTAGGAAACGTATGTCTCTTATCCAATTCCAGGAATATTCTACGTGGATCCTTTTGAGCCTTTACATACTTTAAAGTTGATTTCTAAAATGTTCTCACCCTGAAAGAAACTTGCTTGTACGTGTGGCCTTTGCTGGCAACCGAATGCTGTTTTCTGTAAAACATGCATCAAATCACAGGATTACGTGTGTGTGTGTATATATACTCCTAATGGGGAAAACCAAATGTCACTTTTTCCTAAGGATTTGTTTAATCCGTTATGCTTGGGTGAAAAGGCTCCATCTTGTGGAAATATGAGACATTGCAGAATACTCTCAAAGCATGGGCCTAATGCACAGTGTAATGTATGAGAACATGGCATTTTTATATCTTGGTAACCCTCTCACACTCATCATGAATAAGGGATGTATGGCATATTTATTGTATAAGCCATCAGATTCATGGAAAGGGGATCACTCGCCTCACTGCTGAACAAAAACCTGCCATAAGGATACGTGAGTTCGCGGAAAGCTCCCAATACTATATATGTATTCGAACTCCGAATCAGCTGGCATATAGAATGGGAAAATGGTGTAATGCTCATAAATTATTTTAAAAAACTGGCATGATCAAAAATTCCTATGTCGAAGTGAAAAAGGAAGACTGATAAAGACTAAAGGGTGATGGATACAACTATATCCTAACAGGAAAGAGGTGGGGCAAGAGGAAAAAGGGTTGAGAATGTCTTTGTACATAAAGTTTGAGGGAAAGGAGGAGAGAGTTAAAGACAAATCTTGGCTAGAGGGGGCGAGAGAGAGAGCGAAAAGCTTTTGATCTATTTGACAAGAGAAATACAGGAAGGGCTAACATCAACAGAAAGGAGGGAAAGAAAGAAGAGACTACAAGAAGAGAGATCCATCCTTGTGTACTCTGAAAACTTTTATTTTATTTTCTCCTCTCGTCTTCACTACTTGCTGATTCCATCCTAATTTTTTATTCTGACAACTAAGACAACTCAAGAAAATAAAACTGCCAAAAAGAAAATCTGAAAATAAAAACTGGAGAAACGCTTGTTTTTTTTTTTTTTTCTCCCCAGTCCATGAAAACAGGAGATCAAGGCAACCCCTTAGACACCATGAAGAGTGTGAATCAAGAGAGTGTACAAAAGGTGGAAATAGTATCTGAAGCACAGCAAGTGACTGTAGACCTACTAAACAGCGCTTCGGAAACCCAATTTGAAAGGATCAGAAACGATCAACATAAGTAAATTTTAGAAATTCCGAAAAATCTAAACTAGGGAATATGACTCGATAAAGTCCCAAAAGCAAATTGAGCAAATAAAAATAACAGTTGGAACAAACATGAAGCATTAGATGCGTTAAGTCATAATAACTTGAAAGTAAGGCATATTCTGGAAGAATTCACTACGGGAAAAACTAGAATTTGTAAACCATTTCTTTGCCAGCTTGAATGTAAAAAACAAGAAATATGGTCTTTGTCACATCCTGCTCTGCAGGATTTTTTTTTTTTTTTTACAATTCTTGTTTAGTTTCTTGGTTTTTCTGGTTTTCTATTCCATGTCTGGTTTTCTTTATGCTGGGTTCATTCCTTTTATTCCTTTCCTGGAATTCCCAGTCTCTTGGATTCCTTTAAATGTTTGTTTTTTATGTTGCCACACCCGTTCCTTTTCCATGAATCCTTTTAAGTTGGTTCCTGCAGGCAGTTGTTTCAAGTCCTCTGCCCTTTCTTGCAGGTAAGTTCTGTGGTGGGCTGCATACATCTTGGCCATTTATGTATGTCTAAATCGCCAATGTTTTACAAAAAGAGTACTTTTGAATTTTGAAATTGGTTATTTTGATCACTTCTCAGAATTGACTTCAATTTACGGGATGAGAAAATAGATACAAAAGCGTCAAGTTTTATGTCATGAAAAATAGATTTTACGCTAAAAATATCCACATAGCACAAGAGTAATAGGAAAGGGGGAAACATTAAGTAACCCAACGTTAAGGGTCATCTAAAGTAAGACACCTCTTGTGGTGATAAAATAATTAGAATAATTGTTTTATTCATTAATTTATTTACTATTAAGAGGTTGGGAGGCGTAAAGTTTCGTGAACGATATGAAAACTATGATGCTTCTGCGGTTAAAGCTGCTACCTGAAGAAGCTGACATAGAATCATATTACATTGGTGCCCCTATACAGAACAGGACACTAACGGTAGAAGTCTATAAAGACAAAGGAAAAGAAAAGTGTGCCTTCTAATGCGTGTTTTTTGTTTGTTTTTGTTTTTTGTTTTTTGTTTTTCTCAGAATTGACTTCAATTTATGGGAGTGAGAAAAGGAAATCGACACAAGCGTTTGTCATGAAAATTAGATTTTAAGACAAATTTCACTAATCACAAGAGTAACCTGAAGGGAGAAAAAATAAGTAACACAACTAAAGGGTCACTTAAAGTAAAAACCTCACCACACCTCAGAAATGACTCCAATTTATGGGAGTAAGAAAAAGAAAGACACAAGCGTTAATGAAGTCACAAAATAGCTTTTAAGTCAAAAATAACTTTCACAAAGCACAAGAGTAGCAAGAAAGGGGGAAAAAATAAGTACACAAAGTAAAGGGTCACGTAAAGTAAGACCCTTTTTATGATAAAACAAATGCAATGATTTTTTGTGCTTTATTTATTAAATTATATATTTACCGTTAAAAGGTTGGGAGGTGTAAATCTTCCTGAACAAAGAAAACGATGAGCCTTCTACGGTTAAAGTTGGTGGTCTCCTTTCCATCTCTTCCCTAAAAAAAAAAAAAAAACAAACAACGAAAATTAATCCCTCCAAGGGACCTCTTTACCTAGGGTACCATGATCCGATATTCGGAATTGAATTTTTTAATTCTCTTACCAGTGCTTATGGGAAAGCTCAGGAAAGGGCTGTTGGCACTTTTTAAGTATCCGTTAACAGATTATCTCTGTGATCAGTTTCATTACCTATGAATGTTTGTTTTTCTGTATTTTAAATTTCTCTTGATGTTGGACTAAGCGGAGGTATGGGCTGGACTCAAGACAATGGTTAAGTTTGCAACTCTGTGCAGGGATTAAATTCCCCACACCAAAGATCTAGTCTCCAATTACTTAAAAAAAAAAAAAAAAAAACTGAATATACATTTGTGCTATACAAGAGACTCACTGGAGGAGTCTAGTCAAGTTTAATTTTTTTTATTTTATTTTTTTAAACAACTCTAGAGACTTCCACTTCATCCTCATTGCCAGATAAATGCAACCTCACATTTTCTTCTATCTCCTCGCAGGAGATATTTATTAGTGATTTGTACGATAGACAATATCCCTTATACACTGGTTAACACATATTCACCAAATGACACGCCAATGACCTTTGTACTTAGGTTTTGGGAAAGACTAAGATAAAACAGGGAAATATTATATAGATGGGAGATTTCAATTGTGTAATGGACCTAAAAATCGATAATCAGACACTGTTGAGAAGACAGATGGATGGGAATGTGCACAGGCAAGCATTGAAATTTAGTCCCTTTGCCCAGGGGAACTAATTAGGACACCTGGTGTATATTCCATACAAACGAGCGGAACTAGACTTCGAGAATAAACTATATTCTTACAGGCCTCAATATCATCAAAAGAGTCAAGAAAACTGATAAATGTGAGATAACCTGGTCAGACCATAATATAGTCATTATGGAACTGAAGGATAACTTTATTAAAAATCGACCAGAATGAAAAGGAGTTCTTACTGGAATCTTCACAAAATAGGGAATCTATAAAAAAACAAAAAAAAAACACCATAACCCTCTACTTCCAAGAAAATACCTCTAATCTATCCCAAGCTACGGTTTGGGCAGCCTTCAAGTGTGATCCCAAGCCTTTTTTTTTAAATCAAATTAGCTTCCCCGAAACAGAGAAAAAAAACTCTATATTAACATCTCAGACCAGATTGACAAAAAAAAAAGTAAATGAAAGATCAATGAAACCTCTGAACAATTGGAAAAAATGAAATCTTTCCAGGATTAGAAGAGTAATAAAGCAGACAAGTTAACTAATTGAAAAATATGCAAAAAACAAAAGCTATATCTAAGGTAATGAAACTTACCTTTCCCCTGGTAAAAAAGCTAAGGTTTTTGAGAAATATTATTGTAGTTTATATATAACCTCAAATCCAAAGATCTTCCACAAAACATAGAGGATTATTTCAAAGGGAAAGAATTTAAAAAGTTAACTTCTTTACAAATCGAAAAACTCAATGAACCTTTCTCCAAGGAAGAAATAATAGAGATAATTAAACACACAGGTATTATGGCACAGACTCAAATCAGTAATACCCAAGTTAATCCATATAGATCAGGTAGGTTTTATATCTGAGCGATCATCATCAAGCCATATAAGAACACTGTGGGGATATTTATGGGATGATAATATTAAACAGTCGAGGATTGCCCACTATTTCAATTCTCTTATATCTTAGAGATCGTTATCATGTAAGTGAAATGTATTCTATACAATTAAAATCACAATTTGTTATAAAAATAGATTTAATTTATTGTAACAATTAATTAACAATATTAGGCAGCATGCATGATAATTATCAGTGAATATTTAGTATAACATAAGTATGCAGTACAATGGAATGGCTCTACACGTACCAATGGCTAACAGCATCATCTGTCACTTAAGATTTGAGGGTAATTCATGGACAACAGTAAAGCTTCACACAGCGAAAAGCCATAAAACCTTGGCTAACAGTTAAATCAACTGAGTAACCCTTTCAATGCTGGCTAGATCCTCCTAGGCATATAATATCCTATTCTCATGTAGTTTTCAATTAAAATAACATTCGAATCAGCTCATTAATCATTTCCTGGAACCATCAAATAAGAATAATCTACCAGATTTTTACAAAAGCCGAATTTTAATTTGCCTAAAAAGATATCTTATCTTATCTTATTTTAGAGCAAATCAATACACCTGGATAAAAACAGCGGTATGTTAACATGTGATACTATCACATTAATATATAATTTTTCTTAAATCCACCTGCAGAATGGAATGTTTATAACTATATATTCTTTGGTTAACTAAGATTTCTAAATATTGAAACCTGACCATGATTTATCCAGTCATATATCATGCTATTAGTAAATTTTAATTAATCTAAATTAAATAAAACCAGCATAATTACCAGTTATGTAGATATTCTCATCAGATGAGTAGGTAGTCCCAGAAACTTGATTGGTTGTATGGAGGTGCGTGAGTGATCGAGAAAAGTGGTGTTGGTTAGAAAGTCAGAATAAAATTCTAAGTGTCAAGGAGTTGTGTCCAAGAGAGTTTAAGAGTAGAGTGTTAGTCCCAGAGAGTGTTTCTTGAGTCTCTCTCTCTCTCTCTCTCTCTGCATGTCCGAATCTGATTGCCCAAACTCCAACAACTCATCTCTCTACCAACTAACCTCTCTCTTCCCTTTGTCCTAACTTTTAAAGGGCCAGACTCTCTGTACGTCATTAGTTGATAAGCCAATAGGAAACTGTAGATGGGTTCAATCGATGGATCGCAATTTAGGTATTTGATCCATAGAGGGCAGTCTTGCCTAACTAAACCTTCCTATCCAGGAAAGAGTTAACTTTTCCTGATGACGATTTTGACGTCATTTGGCTTATCTAAAATGACTACCATAACTTAGATTTGCTGTCAGTTCAAAGCGTTTGTCTCAGTCTTTGTGGCAACTAGTTTGATCGTAATTTGTATAATTGACCGTTCTAAACTCCATTTCACCCCTTGCTTACAATGGGACCTTCTAAAAGTTAGAAAGTCTTCTCTGTCAGTAGTGTCTGTGTTTATATAATGCATTCCTTAACTCAGGCTCAGTGGTTAGTGAAATCAAGGAAATTATGTGTCTTTGTTATCCTGAAGATAACAAAATGGAGTCCACTCTGTTCTGAGTGACTCTGGCAATATACACTTTTAATTTCTTTCTTAGCACAAAATGTCTGCCGATATAAATATTCTGAGAACACTGTATAACCTTTTTGAGACTGTTAAGCGAAAAAGGGTCCCAATGCTGGCCCTGTCTCTAGATACTGATGGAGCCTTTGACAATACCCTCAATGCCTTTTGGTTTTACAGGTTGGATCCATCAAGCCATTATGGCTCTTTACTCTAATCCTAAGAGGAAAGCAATAGGGCAGGGAATATGTTCTAATACATATACGCCAACGGGGAATACACCCCAACCAAGGGGGGACTCAGTGCTGGTATATTGAAAGAGGGGGAAAAAGATTAAAAATTACAGCTATTAATAGCTAGCTTGGTGTAGCTGGTACCACCGTACTGACTTCTGTTCCTAACCCATTAATTGGGACTAGGTTACATAGCGTTATTTCTACTTCTGATTTAAAAATCTTCTAATACATTTAAATAACCAGTACTAGACTAGGTTGCCCACTCTTCCCTCTTTTATACTTCATGACTATTGAAGTACTTGCCCTTGAGATAAGGAATAACAAAGGCTTCAAGGACAACGTGGAGATTAAAAAAAAAAAAAAAAGCAGCTCTACGCAGATGACTTAAGTTTTAGAGGATCCAATAAACTCTATGAATTAATGGAAGTGATAAAATGTTAGTTGATTTTCGAACTATAAACGTAAATACTTAAAAAAAAAACAAAAAAAAAACTGCTCTTTCGTTTTTAACACCAGATAAAAACAAGGATCATGGAAAATTTTGACTTCCTTTGGGTAAAGGAACTATCCACAAACTCGCAAAATTGGGTGACGATTAATCTGCTCCTCCTGATAAAAGAAATGAATACTAAATTACACACTTGGGGAGAAAAAGATATCGTGGTGGGGGCAACATTAATACTGTAAAAGCTTGTTATCCCTAAATTAACATACATACATCTTAAGCGTAATACTATGTAGTATTCCCTTAAGCTGGATCAATCTTTTACAGTCCTCTTTCTCCACATTTACATGGTCCAATAAAAGACCAAGAATTTTGCTCCAAAATGTTATAAAAAAAATTGGAGACAGAGGGCTGGGAATTCCATCTCTTATTGGACTGACTCTGGCTACCCTCGTACCCTCCAGGATTCATCCCGGGAGGAAAGTTGGTATAAACTTGAAGCCAAGAAAATTAATTCTTTCAGTTTTTACCCTCAATTTTTTGGGGGGCATCATATCATACAATTGGTGAAAGCCCATCTTTAAATCTTATATTGTAAAACTGGTTTTGAAATTAAAAGCAGGCTAGATTTAGGAGGCAAAATGTTCTCTTCTCTTAAAATAGAATTTTTAAATGACACTTTGATATTAATCTATGTCCATGGTTAGATAAAGGTATTAAAACTGTTAGGGATCTAACCGAATCAGAAAAAAATAGAACTCTCTCAGAACTAAAACAAACTTAAGGTTTTGTAAACAAAGATTTTTTTTCGATTATATAAAGGTTAGATAATTTTTAATGAAAAATCTAATTTTCCCGAAAACAGAAAAAAAATAACTTTGCACTTAATCATTAATTCTAAGAACATTAAAAACCTAATTTCAAAATCCAATAATTTTATTAAATAAAATAGAAAATCATTCCTACCCTTCTGCATTATTGAAATGGAATAGAGATCTGGGCATACAAATCTCCTATAAAGATTGGTGTAAATCAATCCAAACACTAAATACAAATCTTCATTGTTTAAATCTAAATGAGCTACACTATAAGATCTTAAATAGATGGCATCTTGTCCCTAAAAGGAGTACGAAAAAATTCCCTACTGATAATTGTTGGAGATGTGGAGAAAATGGGGCAGATTTTATTCATATCTGGCAGGATTGTTCGATTATTAAAGATTAATGGCAGAATGTTGGTGCAAAATAAATAAAAAAATTTAAATCCAAAATACCCCAACAACCAGATTTGATGCTTCTACATATAAAAATACCTAAAATTAAAAAAGAAAAAAACGTGATTATATTACTACATATGTTGACTGCAACAAAATTAATTATAGCAAAGAATTTGGAAAAACCCTTTTAAACCCGATTTGGTGTCTAAGACATCAAATACATTTTCAACTTCTTATGGAGAAATATATTCCAACACCTGGTAATAAAAACTCAGATATACTGGATTTTGAGATCACTTAATAAAAAGATTGAATTCTTTATAAAAATTACTATTGTTGAGTCAGGGCAAGTCTTGAAAATTGCAGGTTAGCCACCACGCCTCTCCTTTTCTCTCTTTGTGTTTAGTCCCTCAGTCAAGAGAGCATACGATTTCACTTGTCTTTTGTAAAATATCTGTGCAATGTATGTTATTTTTGCATACTAGGTAATTAATGGATATAAAGAAAACAACAAATTAATCAAATACAATAATGGTAGAACAGTATTGTTTAAGAACGAAATAAGGTTTTATTGTATTCGTATGCAAAAAAAGTCTTTCACTGTTTTTTGTATTTGTAACAAATTCTGGAAAAAAAATAAACTAAAAAAAGTTATCTGATTGAAAATGAAGACTTTTTTTTTTTTTTTATGCAGGCTATGTCAGTCAGAGCCAAAGGGTTTTTTATTAGGGCTGCGTAAATGGCATAGCATTTAGCAATGAGACTTCAAAGGCCTGCTCTAATCAGCCAATGTTGTTTTGGTTGTAGTGTCATTTTAAGGTTGTTGGGACAGCATGGACTGTTCTGAAATTCTGCTCACACAAGGAAGCCCAGGTATCTATAGATATCTGGGACTGTTTTTACTGATGCTGTATGCAGCAATTTGCGTTTAAATTTCCATAGACTGCATAGTAGTGTGAGGAGAGGTAAATCCTGCTAACACGAGAGATTCCCTTCAGCTGGGGACATTTTTAGTGGGCGTACAGCCCTTAAAATGTATTAACCTCTTAAGGACACAACTTCTGGAATAAAAGGGAATTGTGACGGAATATTTCCGTCATGTGTCCTTAAAATGTATTAAGAGCTGCCTTACCAGATGCCCAGCACCGATCATTGTAGCCTGCTAGGAAAGCATTCTTCATTCACTATTACAGGAATATGTTTTTGCAGCAACATACTACTATCTAGTATTTTAATTGGGAAACCGATCTGCTGCTGTCAGTATGGATATGACTTGATTTGGGTTATTGCTGTTTTAGGGTTAGTGTAGTTATGGTTATTGTTGGTTTAAGCATAGGGTAGGGGTTATGGTTGGTATTGCTTTAGAGGGAATTTGGTGTAGGGTTAATGTTGACTACCAAAAATATATTTAAATTCTCAACCTATAAGGCTTTAATAATTGCGACTGATATATGGGAATTATTATTGGAGTTATTTTTATGTATTTGCACTGGATGTGAAAAAAATACTATTGGTAAAAAATGTGAAAAACAAAATGCTTACACCCCCTGTTATCCCCCTAACTTTTAACATTGTCTTTACATTAATGTTGGGTATACATATAGCATGTTAAAAGAGCTCTTTCTTTAAAAAATTATGTATATGGGCACAAAATGTACTTTATTTTTTCAGAACTTTGAAAATTACCTCCATCCTAAAGGAGTTGAAAGCTCGGACCTTTGCAATTTGATATTTTATTTAAAAAGTCTTAATACATATTTAATGTAAAAAAATGACATGCTTCTTGTAATGCTTTTAATGTTTATGTTGCTGTTAACAAACCAGGAAAAGGCTCCACCGATCTCTTCATTTTTTTTTTTATTTTTTTTTTTCCAGCATTTCGATACATTATTGCATAGATCAACTCCAAATGAGTGTGGTGGGGTTTTTTTGTTTTTTTTAACACTCATCAGATGTAATGAGTGTAACAGATCACTGCAGGTGTAAGCCACTCTGGGGAAGCATGGACCAAAGACCTCAATACACCATAATCTATGCAATAAACATAAGTTATGTTGCCTAGAGGGTAAAAAAAATCAAACCTCTTACAGAGACTCCTAAATCTGTATGACTTTCATAGTGATATATGAATCTTAATATTTTAATGTAAAATCCAATAAACTAATGAAAATGTTGGTTTCTGTGCTACTGAACAGTTGACGTGTTCACAGATCAAAAACTGCTATCAACATTAATTTGGCCTTATCCACCCATCTGCTTCAGTTCTCTCTCAAAAGTAGGTTCAGCAGGGGGTAATGAAGTGGTGAAGAATTGAGACATTGATTTCATTCTGGAACTAAATGAATTGGGCTTATCTCTGCATGAAGACTTTGATGTTCAGCATTGTTTGCTCCCTAATTGTAATCCATTACTACTCTGTAAGAGTACAAAGTTAAGCTCCGTATTTTCACACTGTTTGCTGCAAGGCATATTCCTAACCCTTTTTATGACCTGTACAACTAGCGACTTCAAGGAACTTTCATTCTACAGATACAATTCTCAATGCTTCTAATCTATACAACTTTTGTTTGTATCTGATATAACGGATTCTGACAAGCCTTAAACTATTGCAAAAAGAAAAAATCTGTTATTTTGCTATTTTGTAAATACTGTTCAAATTGGAAATGTGTTTTTATTGCACGTTTAATTTAAAGGGACACTCTAAACACCTGAACAACTTGAGCCTTAGTGTATCAGTTTGGGTGTATAAATCTTGCCCCTGCAGTTTCACTGTGCATTGTCTGCCCTTTCGGAGTTAAATCACTTTTGTTTCTGCTTGTGCAAGCCTTTGCCACAGTCAGTCTGCACGAAAGAGAGGGAAAAAAACATATATTTTAATTTTCAATCCTAACTTGCAGCGCAGTGGTTCTGATGCTTTGAGTGTTAGCTAAAGTTAAGACTTGCTTCAATTGTTTTCAGCCAATTATTTGAAACCTCAATATCTGGAACAAAACCCCCAAATAACAGTGATAATGCAGACTGGCATTCACTCCATGTTTTAATGCTTTATAAAGAAAGTGCATTGCTTATTCAAAAAGTTCAAAAAAATACTTTATATATTTTTTATTATTATTATTATTATTTTTTTTTTTTAAAGTTCCAGAACAAAGATTATGATGACCAAACAGCAATTTTATTAGTCCCTCCTCAAGCAGATAGTAAAGGAATTAATATACCACAATCCACAATACTTTGTTTTAAAATGTTTTCTATTAACCCCTTAAGGACCAAACTTCTGGAATAAAAGGGAATCATGACATGTCACACATGTCATGTGTCCTTAAGGGGTTAGTACATTTTGCTCAATCAAAATATACCTTCAGGCTTATGCAGGTGTAATAAGATTTCATCTACACTACAGTATATTAAACACGTTTTTCGGGTCTCTGTGGTTTTTTATATTTATTTATATATATATTTCAATTTTTATTTATTTTTTATTTTTTATGCAGTTGCAAATGTCTGGTGATTTACATTCCATGTTTTAGATAGTTACACAATTGTTGGTGCCAAATGTGGGAATTGTCTTAGATTTAATATATATATATATATCTATCCCGTATAGCTGTAAGATTAATATTTGATTGTATGGTTTTCTTCAAGTTGTCTTGATGGCCTGGTGACATGCTGTCTTTTGTATAATTGCTGAGTAGGCTTTGCGTCCTTCCACTGCTGACTATTTTCATCTACTCTAGTAAAGATGTTACAGTGCCTGACAGTGAGACAATATGATGAAATGGAAGAGCTCTGTGTGTTCTCCCTCAATTATTTCTCCAACAATTAACACTGTGCTAACCTGACACTTTTTCTCGTTCTTGCTTTGTAAATCATTGCCTCTTATTCCATTAATTCCAGGCATTAATATTTTCTTTCACGCAAACAACCGCCATTCACCCGTCAAACAGTGTGAACATTATGTAGCTGTCAAAATGCCTAGGGATTACCCAGCATGCACTGCCTGTGAGAAAGTGACACCATAGAGGTCTGCATTTTGAGATGTTTATTTTGAGAGTAAGCTGACAGGCATGAAGTTCTGATCCCAGAGTGGCAATCTCATTTAATTAAAGGCCTCTTTTTATTAGAGATTTTCCCACTGTTTTTGTATCTGAACAATTGTTAGTCTGGCTGTCTGGATAAAAGATATTGTGTGTGGATGTAGTTGAGGATATCTAATCTGTGCAACTTGTCAAACCTGCTTGTAATACAGTGTTATGTTGCGCCTATGTGTCAATAAAATCTAATTTAGTATCCAATGCTTTAGAAATAATAATGTATGTTCAATTGTATTTCTGGTCATATGTGTATCATATGTTTGTATGGATTTACGTATCTGCACTTAGATGTTTGGGATGTGTAAAAAGTCTCCATTTCCCTTTTTGTTCTCGGTAAAACTGTTTAGCTATCTGTAGGAAATACAGATCTCTATATGGAGAAACAAAAGTTTAATACTCTTTGAACTTGGGGAATACATATTAAGAGCTGTGGTGTGCTTATGATTTTTTTTTTTTTTTGGTTTCCTCTATTTACTCACAATTGTTTTCCTCTATATTTGTTTATACTTGACCTCTAATTATCTAAATACAATATACATTCTAAATGTTCCTATTTTTGTTACCGTTTTTACAGGAACTAGCGATCCGTATGTGAAATTCAAACTTCACAAGAAAACCTTGTATAAAAGCAAAGTTATTTACAAGAATTTGAATCCAGTGTGGGATGAAACCTTTGTGTTGCCTATCCAAAGTCTTGATCAAAAGCTGCATGTAAAGGTGGTTATAATTTTTTTTTAATTTTTTTTTAACACTCAATGTAAAGGAAGAATTTGAGAAAATGTTTTAAATCTTTTGTGGAGGTCATTTGCTATAATGTAGATTTGGTTTTATGATCACTAGCAAACTTTTTAAAGTTGCATCCTAAATCATCTACAAGCACTCAAAATGTGTCTAAAAGCAATCCTAGCTATCTGTGTGTAGTTACCTTGTATGGCTTCTGGGTGGTGGGGAAAGTTTTTGGCTTATTTAGTGGGCCATACAGTGTCATTAGCAGGGAACAGACACGTGAGGGGTTACTGATGTCACCCTTTCTGATGGCAAAATGATAAATTAATTCATGGTGAAGATCACCTCCATTTATCTAGATAGTGCTTTAAACATACAAAGAAAAGTAGACACAATTATAAGTGCCAATCACCTGGCTTTCAAGCTAATCTCTGCTCAGAGAAGAAAGCACAAGAGAGCACAACAAATAATCATGTCCAACCACCAGAAAGCTTAAATCCAGCTGCTGCCCAAGTTGATAGTAGGCTACAGGCATCTCTATTGGTGGAGCTATGCTAGGCTAGCAAGTTCAGAGTATTGCTGTATTTCAGTCAGTGTTATCAAAATTTACTTTGGCTTCTAATTGAAACTACCTTACGCTATAACGTATGTAACTCATGCAAGGAGCAGAATTAAGGGAGCATTCCTTTTTTTTTTTTTTTTTGACCCCACTATAGCTGCTAGACTAGATTAAATGTATTTATTGTATTTTTTTTTTAAATTAAAGCTCAACTTTATAAATGTAAAATCTGTCAATGTAAAAAATCACATAATCAGGTTAACCAAACGGTGGGAAAAAGTCATGTGTTTTTGTTTATTTTTCAGGTATATGATAGAGATTTGACAACTGATGATTTTATGGGATCTGCCTACATAGATATGAAAGACCTTGAACTGAACAAGTACGTTCTTCATCTGTGTCGTATTACTGATTCTTGTCCTTTCCAAAGTCACACATTGTTTCTTTTAAACGTCTTTGTCACAGCAATGTCATATTCTATGGGTTAACTTAATCTAGAAATGTTTTTCCATAGCTGTGTCTTTGACATGACTAAACATTGTGTGGGTATCATGATTACCATGCACATCATGTTCACAAGCTACATTTTGTCAAATTAATGTTATTTTTTCCACTGAAGCATGGGGATCTTTGATGTTTCAGTTTAAATGGTGTGTGAACTCCTTTAATTCCTACTGACTTTGCTGCATTCCGTGCTCTTTGAAATAAACATATTTTATTGTTTGTTCTTCTTTTGGTAGGGCTGAAGAAAAAATATTGAAGCTTGAAGACCCCAATTCCTTGGAACAAGATATGGGAGTTATTGTGGCAGATGTTCGTTTGGCAATCCGAATGAGAGACCCTAAAATGAATGTAAGTTTTGTCAATTTTGTATTTTAGATCTTTTCTGAAACAAATACTTTGAACTTAAGGCAGGCTGAGCGTTATGGGAATATGTTCCACTAATTGTTCCAGTTCTAAAGATGATCATCACTGAGCAAGGGTGAAGAACGTTTTGGTTTAACATTGTATTGTTCACCCCAAACTGTTTCAAACTTTGTAAACCTGTCAGCCCTTGATACTATGGTCAATGGTGGCCGTAATAGTCTCTACATGACAAACCAAGATCTATCTTAAGAGTTTTTGACCAGAAGTAGTCCACAAGGTATCATCTTTTGCAAACAGCACAAAGCAATTCTATATAAATGAAATGATGCGGTCATTGTCCCTGTTGCCAGCATTACTTGCTCTGGTAAAATAATTGTGTTCCAGTGAAGTGTTGTCTTATATTCCTTAGTTGCCAGAATTCTCCTTTCTAGAGTGTTATGCACCCATCCCAATGTTATCCATGACTATGAGGATTTCACTTGGTAAAACTGATCACAAAATACTTTGCTTCCCCTGCATAGTAACAGTTTCAACCACTATGCAAAAATATTATTTAGGATTATAAATAAAAGCAAAACTACCTTTTGTGAGCATACCTTGATAAGGTACACAATTGTTGCTTGGCACCAATACTCCAGATGTAAATGCTGGAACAAAAATGTTGGCATTAGTCTCCCATTAGCAAATACCTGTGATATATGCAAATGTTTCTCTCACACTAAAGCCAACCAGGACAAATAAAATGCGTGTGTGTGTGTGTGTGTGTGTGTGTGTGTGTAAAAAAAAAAAAAAAAATAACATTTGTATCTTGTAATACATTTTTTAGTGGACTAACAGAATTTTTTAATGACAAGCTTTTGGGAGAACCTCCCTTTCTCAAGTCTAAAGCATTTCTGAGCAAGACGACACATAGGATTTAAAGATGAGTTGTGGTACAGAGGTTAAAGCATCAGGAGTGCAGATAAGACACAGGTTTAATGTGAAAATAGACACCCTTCTTGCGTAAATATCTTGCGTGAAGATCAGAGTAAGGGGGTAGAGAGAGGGGGAAAAAAACAAGCAAACTGTGCAGAAGATGGTTCTCTAAATGTACTCTCCCAATGTATGAGACTGGCTACAAACCAAAGACTATTACCAAACAAATCAACTCTGCTTTAAAAACCCCACTCACTCGCCTGCTACAGTATAGAGAGAACTTGTGGTCGCCTACAACCCAGCTCTTGAGGAAATACGGAAACTCATTAAAGACCTTTAGCCAATGTTAGCAGAAGATGAGCCTCTAAAAAATTTTTTTCTCTGAAACTCCCATTTTGGCCTTCAGACAACCACCAAACCACCAACAAAAATTAATCAACCGGAAGCTGCCCACTGATGGGAAGAATAAAGAAAACTAAACCAGTCAATGCAAAAAAACTTACAGCATTAACATCCAGCAATGTGGTATACATGATTCAATGCACCAAATACCAGCTAGGATGCTACTTCGGGGACACCATCCAGCAATTAAATAGCAGAATGAATATGCACAGACACTCCATTAAACACCACAAAGAAAGATCGTACTGCACTCCTGTGGGACACTTTACCCAGCCTGGCCACTCAAAGAAGGATCTAAAAATCTAAGTACTGAAAGGGGGTTTTCAAAATACACAAGAGAGAACATTTTGAAGCCAGAATGATCCAATTGTTTAACAGCTAGAATAGAGGGCTAAATATTTATTTGGGTTTCCTGTCCCACTACCAACGCTTTACATGAACACTCCCCCACATTATCTTACTGTTCTGTCATATGTATCAACACTTTATAACACATTCCAATATGTTTATTATATAAATATACAAAGTATTATGTGTAGACCTATGCTTTCCCATACTCTTATGCATGTATGCTTATATATGTACCAACAGCAGATGACTACAATGCAAAAAGAGAAAAAAAATATAGGGCAATATTGCCAGTGCTATTTTTAAATGCCCTGAGTTTTTCATTCCGAGCAGCTGCACTTTTTGGAGAGATCACTCTGTGATCTTCACACAAAATATTTACGACCCTCTGCAAGAATGGTGTCTATTTTCACATCAAACCTGTGTCTTATCTGCACTCATGACGCTCTAACCTCTGTACCACAACTTCCCTTTGAATTCTATGTGTCGTCCTGTTCAGAAATGCTTTAGACTTGAGAAAGGGAGGGTCTCCTGAAAGATTAGTCATTAAAAATATTGTTAGTCCAATAAAAAAGGTATTACAAGATACAAATTGTATCTTTTTTTTTATTTTATTTTTTTTTTACACATCTACATCACTGGACTAGGATGGCTACAAACGGTCTGTCTGTCTCTATGGGAAGAGGAAGGCTGGTCAATGATTTATCTGTCTCCTCATGGGAGATGGAGGGAGATGCTGTGTGGCAAAACTGAGACTAAGCCAGACTGAAGAGTTGGCTCTCTGGATCAGAGAGAATATATATATTTATTCGCTCTGATTCGGAGCGCTAACTATTCAATCTGGCTTAGTCTCAGTCTTGCCACACCGCATCTCCCTCCATCACCCATGAGGAGGCAGATAAATCATTAACCAGCCTTCCCATACCTCAAATATAATGTTCTGAAACTTTCATTAGATCGCCCTATGTGTCTGAAATGTAAGCAAAATTGTAAACTTCTCTCTCATGGAACTCAAACCATCCCATGCTTTGTGTGTTCTAACAGCTATTCTTGCATCTCCCTGCTTGGGCAATAGTTCTTTCCAATTTGTACTTAAATACCATTACTCTTTGAAATCTTTAATAGTACAGGATATTATGTAGCCCTAGCCACACCTTCTTGCACAGCCTTCCTAAACACTTACTGTAAAGTGGCGTCTAATGTTTATACTTCCTTTATTACAAATTCTGTTTAATCTAGAATGTCTTGTATCATGCACTGTTAATTGCTTGCTAGACATTGCAGGAACCTACGGTGTGTGTGATTACAGTTCAATTTGCAGAGCAGGAGATAAAAACTTTTAGAACCATTTTGTTTTCATGCAGACTGTCAGTCTCAAAATGGTGAGGTGTGGCTAGGGCTGCGGAAACAGACAAAAGTGATTTAACAACTAAATGGTAGAAATTGAGCTATAAAACTTCAGCGGCATGGTCTATACACCAAAAGTGCTTCATTAAGTTAAAGTTGTTTTGGTGACTATAGTGTCCTTTTTAAATGTGAGACAGGAGTTTAAAACACAGGACAGTTGGCATCAATGATATTAAATTTTGCTTGGAAATCAGTTTGTCAACTTAAATGAATATCATATTGGTGGGTCAATTATAACGTGATTTGCATGATCTGCCTAATCTCCAATAACCAGATTAAAATGATACAGAGTTTTGTACTCCAATATATCAGTAGCGCATATTTACTGCCAATATGCTTTTAATTTAACTTTCATCTGCTGTTTCTGTTTTTAAATTTAGATTTCTCTAACTATAGAAATATTCCATATGATTCTCTAATTGCAAATTATTTTAATTTGTGTCTTTATAATTTAATTTAATTTTGTTTCCTCTCCTACGTGATCTTCCAGCAGAGATGGTCTTCCCGAAGGAAGCTTGGTGCTTCTAAGGTAAATTAACTTGTTCTGGTACATTGTAGATTAGTTTTTGTACAAACTGTAACTCTCATTTAATGAATGAGACCCACAGGCAGGGCTGGTGCAAGGATTTTTATCACCCTCAAATTCATCTTCACCAGTGTGTCTATTAACCACACTTTTGCCCCTCTGTCCCATCCTTTAACCCCTTTTCTGCTTCTTTTACCCTTTGTGCATATTGTTTTGTCATTCATGTTTACTTTTGCATTTTTAACCCTCCTTTTGTGATTGCCTACACCCAAACAGTCCAAGATTTAGGGATTACCCAGCTGTGTCCAAGGTGTTTTTAGAAGAAAAGAAGAAAAAAGAAAAAAAACTTTAGACACAGCAGGGTAATCTATAAATCCTGGACAGGTAGGGGGGTGAGGACTGAGTTGGGAACCCCTGTCTCACACCCTTTTGAGTCTCCCCTTCTAAATGTTAGCCCCGACCCCAATGTTTTTTTTATTCCTTTTGGCTCATGAAAACAAAAAGGCTTTATTTTCAATCCAATGTTAACTTGCTTGTTCTTAATTTAATCTCCTGCTCTGTAAATTGAACATTAATCACACACTTCTGCAGGGTCTAGCAAGCTATTAACAGAGCAGGAGATATGACATTTTAAGTTAAACAGAATTTGCTATAAAGAAAGTGTAAACATTAGCTCTCACTTTATAGGAAGTTTTTTGGAAGGCTGTGCAAGTCACATGCAGGAAGGTGTGACTGGGCTGCTTAAAGTGATTTTTACGCTTAAATGGCAAAGAATTGTGCAGTGAGACTGCAGGGGCATTATATATCTATCTATCCATCTATCTCTCAAAACTGATTCATTCCATTAAAGTTGAGATACATATGTATGTGTCTAATTTTGATGTCATTGCATCTTCTTGTAGAGGTTTCTTATCATGTTATAAAATTATATTTGAATGTTTTTGCGTGTGTAGCTAGATATTGCCCAGGTGGGTAAATCCCCTTTATTATGCTTGATTATTAAGAGGGCCATAATTAAGCTGTTCTGTATTGTACAGCTTCTCATTGGTAATATGCAAGGATAATCTGTGAGAAAAATTAAAACAATCCTGAAAAGTGGTGGTGTGCAAGTGGCCACACATTTTTTGCAACTGTAACCAAAATAGGTTTTACTAAACCTTTTTGGAGCATGGAGTGTCCTTTTAAAAGACATCTGCTCTCTCCTTTATTTAGTTCCTTCAAGTCCTAAGAGCAACGAAAGTGACCTTTCAGTTGTGAGCTTTATGTAATTGAGGGCAGTATACTTGATAACTTGCCAGTGTTTCTGCAATGTGCTTTCTGGAGTCAAGTCTGTCACATCTTATCACAACTTGTCTTGCATTTTAAGAGCTGTTAATAATTGAGTTACAACTGTCTATTGTGCCAGCAGGCCATTTGGTTCCCAAGGCTTGTTAATGACCCACTAATAATAATGAAGAAAAAATATATAAATTAGGGACCCACTAATTTAAAAATAAATATCTATATCCTTCCTTGTGCCCCGCACTCACTGTTTCCGGTCTTGTAAATGCCTTGGTGCTACCTCCAGCCACTCTATATAATCCAAATAGAGTGCAATTAAAAAAATAAATAAATAATAAAAAAATAATATATATATATATATATATATATATATATATATATATATATATATATATATATATATATATGATTAGGGATAGATTTAAAACATTGCCAAGGAGTAACAGATTAAGAAGCAAACCTGGATCTTTCTTATATGGTGGTAAAAAAAAAAAAAAACATTAATTACCATGTAGAAAAGTACTATTATTGGCAAATCCTTGGTGAACTTTTAGTTCACCTCACTATACTTTCATTGTGTAAGTTAAACTTTATTATGTTTTGATAATTAATATGCTAGATCACCTATAGAAGAATTGTGAAATGTATTTGTAATGTATATTAATTCCAGTGAATGCCATTAATGCAACTCTTTTGTGAAGTAGCAAGCAAAGAGTTTGTTCAGTGAGGAATGGAAACGGATTTACATGAGATGCCTTGCCTGTGCCTTCTTGGGGTGTCTGTGATTTCAGAGTTCAGTTTAATCAGCATATACAAAACTAACAGAATACGAGAATAGTGGTAACACCATAACTATATGTGGCCCTTCCCGACTTATTTGGAGCACTTGGTGTTTTGGAATCAACACTACATATTGTTCATTTTGGTGTTCCAATTAGTTTGATTTAGTGTATGAAATCTGTTTTGGTTTGTACTTAAAGGCTGCATTACTCCAAAATGACCAGTAGAGGGGAGCAAAACCCAATTTGTACCAATTTGGAATTGCAACCCTTCCCCGCAGAGCAGAGTTTACAGTGTATGAACGCAAGGCCATTTAACTCTGTAAGGAATTTCCCATAATGCTTTACAAAACCTGACAAACAGTTGTATGCTCTAGTTTATTGATTCAGCTACTGCACTAAAACAGCAGTACATCAATAACCATCTTTAGTTAGGAAACCCTGGTCTGTAGAAGAGTACTGGCAGTTAAAAAAACAGCATTAAGGAGTGAGCGGAGAAATGTGCGCGTGGGGAATACTGGTTTCACGGGAGAGATGAGAGGCAGTGGAAATACAGCTACAGAAATGAGTAGCTTGGAGTTATGTACAGACCTCTCATGGATCAGTGGCAGCAGGAAAAAAAGCTGAACAGAATGCCATTTGTGAGAACAGACTTGACTGCGAACACTGGAAAAAAAAAAAATCATTTAAAAAAATAAAATCTCAATTTTTCTCAAGATGAGTGTTCTCGCCCTTTTGTAAGGTGCTGATCAACAGATTTAGTTACTATGTAACTATTCTTCTATATCTCAGTTTTAAAATATCCATACATGGAACTGCAATATTGCTTTTGGTGGAAAAAAAATTAATCAAAATGTATGATTCAAAGTTCGAAATCCAGCCTCATAAGATTTAAAAATAAATCTTTAAATAAATTTAATCAGATTCCGTGTAAAGGCCAGCATCATATGCGTATGTTCTATCAAGAACATCTTTACGTTTGGAATCGGTTTTAGATGTATTTTTTTTTGTATGGCATTGCTAGCAAGGTGCAGCTTCCTTTTACAAATAAATCTAAGCTTGTTTTGGGGAACATCTACACAGAGTAGCTTAACAAGCAGTATATATGTGGATTCTCTAAATTGCACAAAAATATGGAGAAATATACTCCTGTGTTTTTAAAAGGGCCTAGTAGTTGGCTGAAAAAGGTTGCATATACTAACAAGGGTGATGACACCTCATCCTTTATGCTTAATTTGCCAGATTTTCTAGTTCGTTAACATGCATCTTTTTACATTTAGGTAGATCATGAGTAATTGTGAGTTTTGTTTCTCTAGCACACAAAAAAACCTAAATAAAACTGCAACTTTGCTGTTTTTATTCCAGAATAAGGATTTGGAATTTTCTTATGCAACTGGATGTGTAAGGGCTGACCAACCTTATGTGGTATACATGTGCTCTCTGATGTGAATGGATTAGTGTACTCCACAGTGGTTACTTTGTAAACATGTAGCAAGGAGATACATTTCACATACTGCCAGGCTTCACTTTCAAACCATGGCCATAAAAAGGACAACATCAGCGTAATCTGTAAAACAAAGTATCAAAACCTGTGAACATTAGCTAAAAGTACTGCAGGGTTAGTTGCTTAACTTTTATATACCATTCAAATCATGGGAGTTTTAATTGTTGTTGGAATGTACTTTTGCCGATCTATGTCAATTGACCGATGGTTCATTTGACCTACACTTTTGGAAATGTGTGCCCTATGCTACAATAAGCAACAGGTCAAATGTCAGAATTGGGGTTAATCCTGTAATGCAGACTACTTCTATTTTTTTATTTTTATGATTTACAGCCGAGTATGCTGTATTTAAGCAGGTAGATTTTCAGATGCCTTCAATAACTTTAAATATGCCAGTGTGGGGTTTTTTTTCATGCAAAGATAACCTACTTTAACCAGAGCTGAACTTACATCTAAGGCACCGGCAGTATCCCAATTCTAAGGATCCATTCTACAACCCTAAAAAAAATGTGCTTGCCTTAGTGCGAGTAAAGAAGGGTAAAAAGCAGGCAAATTGCAAAAGGAGTATCTAGGATTGGGGTATAGGGTTAACTGGTTGTTAGGTCTAAGAGTGTGTTGAGTTTTAGTGAGTGGTTAGGTTTTTGCATAGTGGTTAGCATTACTCCTTAAATGCGCCTGTTTAACATGGCTTTTTTAAGTTCTTAAAAAAAAAAAAAAGGCTTGCGTGTATCCAGCAAGTTATCCATTTTCTAGAATGCCTATTTTGAAGGTAGTTTTCATAATCTAGCTTTTTATTTAATTTCTTTTTAATTTAAAAAATTGTTTGCACTGAAGTTTATATTCCCAATCTTTTTTTACTTTTTATTGCCATTTTTCTATTTAAATGTCCGTAATGGTGGTTTTTTGTCCACATTTTAATATAACACTCCAGTATTTGTATGTAGGAGAGGAGGAAAATGGAGAAACACATAAAACATCACTTCAAACATGACTGCGTTAAATGCTGAAATGTTCAAAGTACAACAGAGAAAGATAAAGCTTTTGATGAGAAGTGGATGTTTCCCAGGGACATTACAAGCAATAATCCAGATGTTATGGTGTAATGCAATGAGTGTCCACGGATAGATGCAAAGCCCAGCCAACTACAGCCTGCTGTAGGCCCACCCCTACACTCCCATGCTGTTCAGCCATATGGAAGTAATCTCCAGTCCCTGTTTAATAGCCAGCTTTGGATTCCATTTTCACAAGGCTCGTACAGCTAAGTGGAGCTGCTTTATGGATAACTTAGATAGAAGCACTTCCAAAATAAACATTCAGCTGGAAATTAGGACATACAGAGCCACAAAATTATTTTAGGGCATATTTCATGGAAGAGCTGCCATTTCTCTCAAGCAGCTGCCAGACTGTAGGATGTGCCTTTGATCCCTGATCGACAATACTCCCTGATCATAAGAACTGTGCATAAAATGTATAATTTATATAAATATATATTTAAAAAAATTACCCTATTATGTGAGCTATATAACAGAGCTATATTTAAAGAAAAAATGGATACAATTTAAATTGTATTGCGCTCCCAGTTCTTTTACAAGTTAAAATATTTTTTATTTTCATCCAGTACAACCCCGCAATGTGCATCTTTATATATGTATATATGAATGTTTCTCGGCTACATCTTTTAAACCCTAGATGCTAAATTTCAAGATTTAAAAAACAAAAAAAGTTTTTATGCTTGATTTATCTATTTTTAACAATCCTATTTGTCTTGTTTATGCACTTGTGAATTTATGAGCTGCAATCCAAGGGAGAGTTTAAAGGTTTAACTAGGCTCTATTTTCACCTTCCTCTAGAAGTGCATATGTTCCTGTCTGCATCTGTATATATACATATAGCTTTCCCCCGGTTTCATTCAATTATTTTCTTTCTGCCTGTCATTTTGTTAACTGTAATTTTATGTATATTTGTGTGTGTGCGTTTATAACTGTTCTGTGGGTAATCAGGTCGCTAAAACCGTCTCACAGAATATGTGACATCTATTCTAATGTTTCAAATCCCATGAAAGTAAAACCGGAACTTTATTATCTTTATATAATCTGAGATCTCTGAGAAGGACCTCTGTGACCGGGAGAATTGGAATTGTGTATCACTTTAGCGTGGTAGAGCATGGTCCTAAGGTACAGGTTTTAGGCCATCAGACACTTCTGTTGTAGGAGATGGAATTTTATTACGACCGCTTTGAGCGTCCTACAGGTTCACTAGATATTGATTTTTTTACAGGGCTTGAGCAACCACTGTGAGGGTAAGAAAAGGGAAGCTTAGGAGTTCCGTTTTAAAGACTGGAGAATCACAATTAGTTTTAAATGCACAGAGTGGACAAAATCTTAATAAATTGCCTTACAAGTAGTCACCCACTCAGTTGGATTTCTTTTATATGCCGAGTGATCTAGTAGTACCAACAGAGATGGCTCAGAACCAAAATTCCTGGCATCTCTCTTCTCCATTAGATACAGTAGCCTGAGGGAATCCTTTCAGGTGGCGGTGGTGCTATTGCACATTACCTTTCATGCTTTGGTTATGTTATTATGGGTTTTTGTTTTCCCATAGGCAACTTCTATGCAGAGCTTGCAGCTGTCAGAATCCCTGGGGAAAACCCAACTGTGGAATGGGACTGTCAGCATCGCATTACTGGAAGGGATAAACCTCACAGAAGCTGGCACGTGTGATAGTTTTGTAAGGTTCAAGCTTGGCGATCAGAAGTACATAAGCAAGGTAGGTCTCTGAAATTCTACCAAGCTATTGTGAGATGTACAATTAATTTATACTTCTTCATTGTTCTTGGATATTTGAACCGATGTGCAGATAACCTCTTTGACTTTGAACATTGTGATCTTTTAATTAGTTGGAGTATTTATTTAACCATGACAGGAAGTCATGCTAATACAGCTACCCGTTAATCTGAAGACTCATGCAAATTTTTTATTTTTTTTTCTCATTGATGGTTACAGGCAGGCCTGGAAAACATTACTAAATATTACTAGCCTGCAAGCAGAGTGAAAGCACTAGTTCACTCAATGTTATGGACCCTTAACCCCTTAAGGACACATGGCATGTGTGACATGTCATGATTCCCTTTTATTCCAGAAGTTTGGTCCTTAAGGGGTTAAAATCATCAATTAAGAAGCCACTAAAATGTTAGACCTGTTTATAAGACGCTCCACGTGGTATATATTTTACATAACAGTCACTATATAAAGCGACCTATGTTTTGCATGTCTTGAACAATCCATTAATGCCATTAATATTTTATTCCATTAGTTGATCAGTGTTCAACATATATTGTGTAGTTTGCTTTGTCTATTGCATGTTCTGATTTGTCTGCCCATTTTGTTTGATTTAACCTATTCTGTTAACTACCTTGTTTAAATGTTACCACTGCATGTTTTTTAGACACTGTCTAAGAGCTCAAATCCTCAGTGGAGGGAGCGCTTTGATTTTCACTACTTCTCTGACAAGATGGGGATATTGGATATTGAAGTGTGGGGGAAAGATAACCGCAAGCATGAGGAACTGTTGGGATTGTAAGTATTCCCATTGCATGTTTTATGTGTTGGGATATATTTAAATGGAATTTCTGTTTACCGTGTAAGTCCGACATTGTTGTGTGCAGGTAGCATGTAATATTTGAAACATGGTTGTGAGCTGTATCAGCATCTGTGACCTTGGGCATGTGTCCTCTTTTCAGAAACATGGATTTTCTAACTGGTGCGTGAATTCACATACAGAGTACAGTTTCTAGATTTAGAGTCCGTAAGACCTATTTAGGAGCCAGCCTGAATTTCACGGAAGAATCACTTTCCAGTACCTATATAGCTGTTAACAGAGTGACTCTTACAGAGACATGCATCACTTCTCAATTTTTTTTTTAATTTTTTTTTTTTTCAAACCAGCAAGCAAACACATTTAAACAAATATGCAAACCAACATTATTTTGTAAAGTATAATATAAATGTTTATAAACCTACTAAAAACTCGATCAGATTGCATTAATGGGCACGGCTCAGCTGGGAGAGTTGCTTCACACACTTTTTAATATGTTAAACCAATGAAGGCAAACCATATATTGCCCAAATATACTCTAACAATGCACACATCAAATGAGCCATTGCACTTAATTGTTTAAAAGTAAAAATAAAAGGTACCAAGCAGAAGAAGCACCATATAAAGCCTATCTGTACTGTGCTAGCACTAACTGCATGCCATCAAACACAAATACTATAGCAAAATGCAAAACTGCATACAAAATGAAATCAAATCCAATCTTTATAGTCAACCATTATACTGAGGCCAATTTAGCCACACAAAACAAAAAATACTTCCAAGAAGCAAAACCAAAAAGAAAACATACAGTGCAAGAGCTGAGCTGTCAGGTAACCCTATCCCCACTGTTTCAACAAAACCCATGCTCTCTCAAGTGAACATTGAAAATGAGAAAATCTAAATACAAGTTAACTGCTACATTTGCCATTTTGATTCCTAATTTTTTGAATCCATTACTCTCTTCTAGATGTAAAGTGGATATTGCAGGGTTGCCCATCTACCAGGACAATCGTTTGGAAGTGCCGCTAGAGAAGAACCAGGGCTCTATACATGTCATCATAACTCTAACACCCTGCTCCGGAGTTACCATTTCTGATCTGTGTGTTTGCCCATTGGCAGACCCAAGTGAAAAGGAGCAGATTAAAAAGCGTTATGCAAGTACCATGCTTATTTTATTAAATTTCTCTTGGTGGCAAGTCTCTCTCTGTTTTCACTGGTCCACGTATGAAAAGTATGAGATTTGGAACAATATTCTAAAGGCTATGTTTTAATGAAGTTAAAGCTTGGCTACTGATGGGATATCTAGTGAAAAGCAATCAATATTATGACTTGTGAAGTTGGGTCCCAATCTGTTGACCATACAAGATGTGGGATATAGTCTGCCAACATGTCTCTTCCCTAACCCATGCTATTAATAGCATCACTACCGGCCATGTGCTAAAAAACACTATATTCTATCCTTATCCCTATTTCCCTTTCTCCTACATGCACATGTGCCTTCTTCATGATAACACGGCTTCCTGTTTGTTTCTTAAAACACCAGTCTCATCTGGTTGTTGATCATCTAGAGTTGGTCTTTACAGCAGTAAGTCATCTGCTATGCCAAGAGAAGTGTAACACAACATTTATGATGGGTCAGGTGGAGTGACTGCTGAAGATATGTATCACGTTAAAGCCCACTAGTTATATCAAGCAAAAGTTATAATCCGATAACAGAGTAGATATAGTTGTTAATGTAGTAGGTATTTTGTGCTTTAATTATAGGCATTCAGATATACGATTTAACTTGTTACTTGTCCACAATGTAACTTATATGTAATGGAAAAACAGAAGTGAATAGGAGATAAGAGCCAGCTGCTCCACTGAGACTTTTTTTTTTTTTTTTTCTTATGCACAGACTAAATTGTTGTCTTTCCATTGCTGTATATCTGTTAAAGGCAATTTTTAGTTCCTCTGCTGAGATGCTATCTTCTACATTTACAACAATTTGTCTAAGATTTGGTTTTTATAGCTTGTTTGAGGGCCTTTCACCCATTGCCTCTGTTATTATTTTGTATGACAATTACTTGTTCTGAAATATTATTCTACAAATATGAAGCGCTGATTAATATTTTGGTGCTAAATAAATGTTAATGCTCCTAAATGAGCTAACTTATTCTCCAGATTTATCTATTGTACGGTTGTGCAATCTTCCATTAAAATGCTACATTCTCATAATTTGATCACTTTTTACCTTTTGCTCGTTCCTCTTTATTTTTCATCTTTTTTTGTCCGAAAAATGAGGTTTATACCATACAAGTATATTTGGGTGTCCATTATATGACTTACACCTGCCTATTTTATTTTGTTTTTCTCTGACAGTGTTTGAAAAACTCATTCCAGAATCGAAGAGATATTGGTTTTCTGCAAGTGAAAGTATTGAGAGCAGAAGATCTCTTAGCAGCAGACTTTGCAGGTATCAGTATTTTCCTTGACTGCACACATTATCAGACACATATCTGTTATTTAAGATATCTGGTCCCACTGAGAAACTAATCAGATCTATCTATATGTTAGGCATTCACTAAAACAGACCACACTGGCAGCTTTTCATGATGGTGCAGGTTAATGATGGTGTTTTTATGAGATAATTAGGCCATAAATGACATTCGATTGAGAACTGATCATGTGTTTGACTGTGTGACCAGAGAAAGGGTTAATTGCTTTGTTAGTTATTTTGTCTATCTGAGCAGGGTACAGTTGCTGGGCTAATTGAAAATGTTATAAGGACATTTAGGAGAAAGCTGTAAGCTCATCCCAGTTCATTTATTGAATATGAAATGTACAATCTCCCTGTCCCTCTCTGTCACTAAAGCATCAGCAGGTTTCATTTGAACCATAGTGCAGAAATTTTGATGCTGGAGATAATTGTTTTGTCAATGTGAAATGACTTTTCTGCCTCATTAACTGGTTTTTATACATGTGCATGTTATTTGCACAGATTGCGTTTGTTCACTGACCAAAAACAGTGTTCAGAACACAAAATTACAGGGTGAGATTATGGTGTTTTTTTTTTTCTCACTCTGCTTTGCATTTTAAGTAGTTTCTGTGCTGTTGTTAAAGTCTCTTTTAGGCTAGAGAGAGGAATGCAATATATATTGAGTTTTTATTTTATTTTGTTTGTGTGTATGAAAGAGTTACCGTTGCAAAATATACACTTGAAATTTAACTTAGAACTAAAATATTGAAAGTGATGAAAAATCTGTTTAAATGTTATTTCATTTAAATCTTGGTCACCTCAACCCATCTTTAATTGGATACGCCTAACCTTAATCACAGATTCTACACTGTGTCTATATATAGTTACATAGCTGAAAAGATACTTGCGTCCATAAAGTTCAGCCTTCCTCACATATGTTTTTGCTGTTGATCCAAAAGAAGGCAAAATACTCAGTCTGAAGCGCTTCCAATTTTGCAACAAACTAGGAAAAAATTCCTTCTTGACCCCAAAATAGCAGTCAGATGTCTCCTTGGATCAAGCGGCTATTACCCCACTAATGAGAAATTATATCCCTGTATGTTATGTTTTTGCACGTATTTATCCAATTGCAGTTTAAACATCTATATAGACTCTGACAAAACCACTTCTTCAGGCAAAAAAATCCATATCCTTATTGCTCTTACTGTAAAACAAAACCTTTTCTTTGCCTTAGATGAAATCTCCTTTCTTCCAGCCTTAATGTGTGACCTTGTGTCCTATGTATAGCCCTGTTTATGAATAGATTTCCAGATAATGGTTTGTACTGGCCCCGAATATATTTGTATAATATTATCATATCCCCTCTCAGGTGCTGTTTTTCCAAACTAAAGAGATTTACATTTAACCTTTCTCCATAACTAAAATGCTCCATTCCTTTTATCAATTTTGTAGCTCATCTCTGCACTTTTTCTAGTGCCATGATATCTTTCTTTAGAACAGGTGCCCAAAATTGCACAGCATATTCAAGGTGTGGTCTTACCAGCGATTTATAAAGAGGCAAAATTATGTTTTCATATCGAGAATTTATGCCCCTATACATGACAAAACCTTACTGGCCTTAGCAATGGCAGATTGACATTGCATATTGCTGCTTAATTTGTTGTCTATAACAATTCCCAAATCCTTCTCGTGTGTGGTTTTCCCTAGTTCACTACCATTTAGGGTGTACATTGCTTGTGCATTCTTAACCCCGAAGTGCATAACTTTGCATTTCTCTACGTTAAATTTAATCTGCCATTTTAGTGCCTAGTCCCCCAATCTATCCAAATTCCTTTGCAGCAAGGCAATATCTTGCTCACATTTTATTACTTTACAAAGTTTTGTGTCATCTGTAAACACTGATAAATGGCTTTCAGTGCCCATTTCAAGATCATTTATATATGTTAAATAGAAGCGGTCCCAAAACAGAACACTGAGGGACACCACTTACCACTTTTGTACAGCTTGAAAATTTACCATTAATGACAACTCGTTGTACTCTATCCTTAAGCCAATGTTCTACCCAAGAACAAGAATATTCATCTAGACCAATTTCTTTTTGTTTGACTAACCTATTGTGAGGAACCGTATCAAATGCCTTGGCAAAATACAAGTAGATCACATCCACTTCAACACCCTGATCTATACTTCTACTTACTTCTTCGTAGAATGCAATATATAGAAAGTTTCCCTATCTTGCTCAGCTCTGGTAAAAGGTGGAAATTATGTGGGTCATGTGAAGTTGAGTTTTTGAGGAAAGTAACCATCATAATTGTTTGGGTCTTGACTTTGTACATCAGGTAAAGTGAATTCATAGGAACCATGACTTGCCGTTTTTAGAAGGATTAACATGGAACTTGTTTAATAACCACACACACATTTGAGACAAGTGCTGTAACAATAACTTGGTACATTAGATCACACAAAAGGAGTTAGTCTACTGCAATTTAATACATTTCCCACCAAATATCTCTAATAATAGTATGTGTGTGTGTGTGTGTGTTTACAGGAGTCATTTAGTTTGTTTTTCCACCACCCATAAATAACAAGAAGAAAGCAATCCATTAAGGTTGAAGAAGGAATAGAAAACAAAGTTAGGAATGCTAGTGTTTAAAGAGTTTGTGAGGTAACTACAGTATAGGTTTGGAAACATTAGTAAGTAAATGCATGGAAAAATTCTGAAGGTGTTCTCCCACCCACCAAAAAATGTGGAAAAAAAAAAAAGTGGAATTGCAATGAAATTTGTAGAATATATACAGACAAGTTTACTACTATTGTACAAAGAATTGTTGCACCTATTTTCCAATACATGGTGATACGAAGTATAGCTATAGTTCCGATCTGTAGTATAAATATAGTCTTCCTCTAACAGAGGGTGGGTACCACGTCCTATCCATTTGGTGTACACTGGTTTCACCATCAGAATGAATGTATTTGGTTGCACACCAGTTCTCCCCACAGTGTTTTTTGTTTTTGTGTTTTCCATTTATTCTATCCTAGTCACTGTTTGGAGTATAAGAAATCAAAGGTGTTGAATGGTTCTGACGAGAATTTATTTTTTTTTTTATTTTTTTAATGAAGGCATTTAATGCTTGGGGCTAAATAAGAGCCTGTGACATCACACACTGCCTTTTTTTTTTTTTTTAAACTAGCATTTCTCTGTTTTTGTGTTGTAGTCACTGTGGCTTTGCCCTGTTATTGCCTATTCCTTGTCAAGTTATGCATATAAACCATTGTTAAGCTTTTAGAGTGTAAAAGCAAGCTGAGCATCATGGAAAATGTAGTCCAGAAATAATTTATGGTGTCAAGGTTAGCCATCACTGGTCTAGAAACAAAGTGTAGCAGATACAGGAGTTCTGGTCTCAGGCTTTGGGCACTGACCTGTACCGCCCAGAGTTTGTCCCTCTTCTTCCAGCACGGTCAGACTAGTAGTGCCAAGGATCTTCTAAAGAGAGGGCTTCCACAGAAGTCAAGCAATCAATTTAATTTGAATTGACCAATTTAGAAAATCCCAACCATTTTAAACCAGATGATAAGCAAAGGAAAGGTGGGGATGAATCTGGTCAGCCCAATCTTCTGTGCCAACGCTCAACTATCATGGATGCCATGGACCAGTACCTCCCCCCACCCACTCCCCACATGGATACCCCTGTCCCTCCATCTCAGTTTTGTTATATTCTTTAGTGTACACAAATGAAATATTTTATTGGTACATGTATCACGTTGTGTATCCAAACTCACAGGCTTATCTGGTTCTGTCAAGTTCACAGTGTAGGAGTGTATCAAACTTACTCTTGTAGTGTCACGATCATTTTAAACAGGCATGTCAGCTATACAATGTCTTGTTAACTGGAGGAATTTAATTGCACAGAATATAATACCAGTCTCGCACAAGAAAATCTAGCTAATTCATCATATGACTGACAAAGGAATATATACGATATGATATATCTATGTAGCATTAGTTGGGAAAAAATTAGGGACACATTTATCAAGACTAAACTGGAGCAATTCCAGGGTAAAGTGCTTCATTTGGGTGACTCTGTGGATGTTCTTTTGCTTTCCACTTTGATTTGCTTGTCATTTAGCATTTTATCCCATAATTGCTTCACATCTTGGCTTGTTAAGTATAACCCTATTAATTTTCCTCCTGTAACAAGCACATCAGGTGTTTTTTCCAGATGCTGTAAATATTTTAAGCTTTAGCCAAAATGTAAAATAAGAGGGAGAAAAAAGATTAATCTTAATACATTTTATTTATTTAAAAAAATAATAATTATGTTGCTGTTTGGAAGCAGTGTATATATAAGCAGGCAGAGGTAGTCAGTGACCCAAGAAAGGGAGGCATAGACAGTAAAACTGTACTAGTGCATCAGAATTCAGCCTTTTTAAAGCAAATTACAGTAAAAGATTTTTAACCTGGAATCAAGACTCCAATGATCAGTTTCCATAACTTTTCATCATTAACTGCGGTTGAACAATTTGGAAACAGCCACTAGTGCAACATATGTAGAAATAAAAAAATCAATGTAGCCGTGCTGCACCAGAGCCATAAACCTAAAAAGCAGTTATTCTGTCAAGATAATGTTTTTTTGCTGATAAAGTCTGTTTCGAGATGGCTGGTAAAGTTTATGGATTACCAATGTGAGTTTCACTGCGGAAATAACACTGTTAATACAGGGCAGTTAAAAAAATAAATAAAAAATAAAACCTACTCCGTCCTATTATAATTTCACAGGTTTAACTGCTTCAGTGCCATAGGGTAGTTACACACTTTAGGAAGCAGATGTTACACTTGACCAGTTATAATTTAACTGATGTTCCTTTGTAGTGTTTATGTAGGTGGTACTTTGTTGGATTTGGAAACTGGCAATGTTTGGGAGCAAAGGGGTACATTTAGGAGTACATCTAAATTTTTTTTTTTTTTTTTTTAAATTTTTTTTTTAATAGCCAAACTGAAACCATGGCTGACTTTTTAAAATTGTTTTCATTTGAATTACACCATTTTGGCCTAAAAAATTTAAAACTTCACATTGAATACCCAATAATTAAGTTAATAGCCATGTGCATTTTATGTATTTATTATGACGCAACAAGCTTTTTTTTTTAATTGTATTTATTTTAATTATAAATACATAAAAAGGTAAGGAGCAAGCACAAATTGATTTTAGTTGCCCTGGCTCCTGGCCTTTGCTTAGACCTTGTCTAGTACAGGGGCAAAAGCTTCTATTTTCTGTCTTACAAAAGCAGATTGAATATACACTCCAATATATCCCTCAAAAAAGTCTTGCAGGTCAATGTACATCAATCTAGGGAATATATTCACCCCAGGAGACTGAATAATATGTCAAATGACGAATGCCTTGAGTACCTACACACAGTGCCACCAGTTTCATTTAGTGACATCCAGTGTACATGCATCTCATAAAGTTATTTTAAGTGTACTTCCCAGATGTCTCATAATTTATTTTCTTTGGGAAATGAGACAGACAAAATCATGTAAATCCCAGGCTCTGAGTATTAGGTGATCTTAAATACCAGTCACAAAAAAGGCACAGGACATGTCAAGTTAATTTTGCAGTGTCTTCTTGCACCTACACACACTTGCTCTATCTAAATTTCAAAATTTACATTTATCCAGACAAAATTGAGAAACTCTCTTCAGGCGGACCTGTATTGCACCAACATGTTTTCAGAATAAATTTAGACTTTAAATTTAGGTACTCCACTAAATGGATTTGTGGATTATATAAAACACACATTGGCCGTCTGTTAAGAATAACATTTTAATATTCAATTCAGTAACCAATAAACTGAAGAAGCAAGTTATCTAGTCTCCTGTCCTCGCACTGCTGCCAATATTTAAAACGCTTTTTATGATATAGATAGATAGATATGTATATATGTGTATATGTGTGTGTGTGTGTGTGTTTTATTGGATACTAAATTTTCAATCCCTTTCATAGTGATCACCTGTATTAATGACTTTTCTATAATACTGTAATAACTATGTAGGTTTTATTTAAAGCAGCAAAGGGCATAACAACCAGTTTCAAAGACCGGCACACTGATAATAAATAAAAGAACTCTACTTTATGTATGTTCTGTTGCTGCACAATCATTTATGTATGCAGGTTTTTTTTTTTTTTATACTATTCTATATTTGAGATGTCTGTGTATCGGTCTATAAATATTGCACTTTAAACAATTTTGCTGTTGAAAATGTAGCACACTATTGCAAACTCTTATGGCTCTGCACTCATATAGGGCATGATAAGCATATATCATGGAGTTAAAATTGTTAAACAAAAAAGCGCAAATAATACTAAGATTAATGGTAAAACTATAATAAAGTATTAGCTGCTAAACACATAAAAGATTATTCCTAAAATCTTAAAACAAATAGTGCATTGACCATGTAAGCGCTTAGATCAGTCCCATAGACCATTTTGCTAATCAATATTGCTAATATATCTAGAATTGTCTATGGGACCGATCTTCTAAGCGCTTACACTTTCAATGCATTATATATTATATTATGGAGTGCCTCGTTAAGGCATATGACAAGTGTGTATCACTTCTCCGCTTGGTTTCGATAGTACTTCCTAAATGAACATTGACTTTTGATGCCATTATATATGTCAGGGCTTGACAAATTTGCTTGGAATCTAGGAGCCAGCAAAAAAGTTAGGAGCCAGATTTTTCATTGTCAAAAATACAATTCTTAAAGCGACACTATAGTCACCAGAACCACTACAGCTTAATGTAGTTGTTCTTGTATCTATAATCTGTTCCTGCACACTTTTTTTCAATGTAAACCCTGACTTTTCAGAGAAAAGTCAGTATTTACATTGCTGCCTTGTAACACTTCTACTGACAGTCACTCAGACTGCCTCTGTAGTGCATTCTGGGTCAATGCTGCACAGCGCGCAGCACTTACGTATAGCATCTCCACACCCCGCATCAATGCATCTCTGAGGAGATGCTTATTGGCGCAGCATGACGTTTTTCCACATATGCGCAATAGCCTCCCAATGCTTTCCTATGGGAAAGCAGTGGATTGGCGGAGATAATCAAGATTGATGACCGGGCCAGCTGTGGCAAGATCAGTACAGAGTGAGGGGGGAAAAAGGAGAGTAAAAAAACATTTCCCATGTGATTGGAGGGGGACCAGTCATCTAAACGCACACTCACTCATGCACTCAGTCACTGCAATAATCACACACATTTATGTGACTACACAGCCTCCCTACCTGGGTTCAGCTTTCCATGTGGTCCAGTGGGGCTTCAGTCCTCTCCCTGCAATGCTCCATAGCGCTCTGTTTAGTGATGCCTGGACTGGAATTACATCATATTCCAGCTCCCGGCATCACTGGAGGGCGCGCGATGGAGCAGAGGGAGGTTGTTACAGCTCCCTCACACGCCTGCCCGTCTGCCTCAAATCTCCAGGAGCCTCCTGTCTGTGCACACGCCAATGCTCACTCACAAGGCCGCCCGCGCTTTTCCTAAGCCGACCGACCACCCATACGCATGCCCATGCGCTTTATGAGCCTATCGGCTGTCTGCCTCCACTAATAGCTGGCCGGCAAATCCCAGACGCCAGGACAAAAATCCTAGTTGCCACTGGAGTATGTATGTATGTATGTATGTATGTATCACATCAGTAGGACATAGTCTTCATTTAGAAGGACAAAGGTTTCAAAATAATTTCAGGAAGTATTACTTTACAGAGAGGGTAGTGGCCGCAATAGCCTTCCAGCTGAAGTGGTAGAGGTGAATAGTGAGGGAGTGTAATCATGCGTGAGATAGCATAAGGCTGTCCTAGGTATGAGATGGGCCAGGGACTAATGAAAGTATTTAGAAAATTGGGAAGACTAGATGGGCCGAATGGTTCTTATCTGCCGTCACATTCTGTTTCTCTTGTGGCATTGTAAAGGTGATTTACTCTTATGAATGCAACACTATTACAAATTTGCTCAACCAGTGCATAACTTTTTTTTTAATGCATGTTGATAGCTGTGTTTTTTTTTAAAAGAACACCCATATATGCACTTTAGTATTCAAGACACATGGTCATTCAGTGCTGACAATGAACTCTTAACTTGTAAGGAAATTCACATGGTAAATGTATCACAGCCATTTCAATAAATGTGTCAACCCATTACAGTTTAGCTACCTGTACTGCAAACCCATGTGTACATAAACACTTGTATTCATATAACGTGCACAAACCAGACACATCCGTTTAGTCCTTGGTGTGCCAACGGTTTGTTATCTTGATCTTTGTATAAACCATATTTAAGTTCCCAAACCCAGGTTAGGCACCAAATATTTCTATACACAAACTGTACATCTTCCTGATGAGTAAAAAAATTTTTTTTGAATCTTTTCCTCAGGAAAAAGTGATCCTTTTTGTGTCTTGGAAGTGGGAAATGATCGGCTACAGACTCACACAGTTTACAAAAACCTCAATCCAGAGTGGAACAAAGTTTTCACCTTGTAAGAAACTGTTTTAAGTATAACCATGCATAATAAACTTTAGAAGGGTGTATAACTGCCCCTGATATGTGTTCGTTTTATTGGATTGATGGTTTTGTTTCATCATTTTCTCAAATTAAAAAAAAAAAAAAAAAAAAATTTCAATCAACTAAACACTATATTTATTTTGTGTTCTTGGTTGATAAAGTGCATGCCACTAATAAACAGCTGCCATGCAGTAGTTTCTTAATTATTTTTTTTTCCTTTCTTTTATTCTGTGACATGCTGCTGCCAGTATCATAGGCAATCATTGTCCATATTCCTCCTCTGGAAATTAATAGAATGAACCTAACAAGTTCTGAAATATGTAGATTGCTTATTGTGCTACTTAACAATATTCACAATTGTGTATTGAGTAGACTAGTGCACAGTAAGAAAATATTGGTACCCTTGGTAAATGAGAATTTTTTTTTGTCTATTTAACCTTTTTAATTTTTTTAATTTTTTATTTTTTTTAAATACACAAAACACTATTCTTTTTCAGTCCTATAAAAGATGTTCATGATGTTCTAGAGGTAACTGTGTTTGATGAAGATGGAGATAAGGCACCAGATTTTCTTGGGAAAGTTGCAATTCCTTTGTTGTCGGTAAGTTTTCCAAAATGCTTTGCATGCTAGAGGACCTCCCACAAATTTCATTAAAGATGAAAATTATTTTAGATTTTTTCAAGGAATCCATTATGATAATCAGCATTTATTTCCCATCCCATCAGAAACTAGTCATCAAGGAACAGCAGTGGTCCAGAATGAAAGTCTTGCTATGTTCAAATGGAAATCTAGATTAAGCCTAGGCTGCTGGTGGCAGTTGTATGGTTTGTAGAAGCACTTTCCTAGAATGACTGCCTTCACCGCCATCAATTTAATGATCCATAAGTTGACCTAGGTGGCAGCCTAGGGCCTCAGGGGCAGATAGGGGACCCAAAACGAGAAATTTACTAGGCCCTATTCACCATCCCAATGTGAGGAATGAAGTAGGGAGCCAAGCCGATAACCTGCCTAGGGTCCTATGGATATTAATTCATCTCTGATATGAAGTATAAAATATTGTTAGAGCAGTGAGAATGGTGTATTTGTGTCTGTAATACATCTGCATGTCTTTATTGCTCTGCATTGCTATGTAGAGTAAAAACTGTCTGAGCACTTCTATTTATATGTATTTGCAAATTTAATGTCTTAAAGAATTATCACTTGGAATCTAGAACTTGAATGTATGAATATAGAATTGTATGTATAACTGGATAATTCCTTTAATTTTCAACTTGTCACAAGCACTTCTTTTGTTGTTTGCACTAAACTCTATCCCTGAATTGATCTCCTATTGAAGTTTAGTACAGAGTCCTTGTGAAGAGTAGTGAATGTAGAGCATTTTATCTCCCAAAGTGGCAAAGTTGGCCTGGTAGCCGAATAATTTAGAACACTGGCTTGTTTGCACACAGAGCTAAAAGTAAAAAAACATTTTAGCTTAGAGCCACAAGTCATGTAGTCTGCATAATGTTCCATTCTGGCCCAGTCAGTTGTAGCATATACATTAAATGTATCTTGCACCAATCTCAATATTGAAGTTGGATGTATTCAAAGTGCTGATGTTTAGAGACACCGAGCCTTCTCACTGTACTTTGCGTAGTTTTTGATCTGCTAATGTGTCCCTGGATCCTCGTATCCCTGATGTTATTGGAAGAGCAAGGTCTGAGCAGATGCTCCTGTATAGCATCAGTCTGTGCCAAATGTTCTTTGGGATCGCCTAGCAGACTGCACACTCATTTTAGTAACCGACCAACTTTGTGTTTTTTTTTTTTTTTTTTTTAAACATACTTGTGGATGGCTCTTTTGCTACACCTATATTAAAGGGATACATGGACATTTGCGATGGCGAACATTTGGCTAGATTTTTCAGTGTTCTTTATCATTACCAGCTATAAAGCTCATTCATTAATGTGCCATGAGGCCATTATGTGTCTTGCAAAGCAGCTTTGTTCTCTCCATTTCAAAGAGACATTTGGGCATAACAGAGTACATCCATAAACCCCTTAAGTGCCACGAGATCCAAAAGCACTTTAGTTTTACCAGAGTTTAATACTTTTTTCTTTTTACTTTTTTTTTTTTATAATTCAGATTTCAAACTTTTTTATATTTATGATATAATTTTTTCATTTTTTTTCATCTTTTTTTTGTTTTTTGTTTTTTCTTCCAAGGTGAAAAATGGGCAGCAAGTGTCATATTTATTAAAGAACAAAGATTTGGGGAATGTAACGAAAGGTCTGATTTATCTTGAAATTGATGTCATCTATAACTCGGTGAGTTGGAGCTGTGTGTTATTTTTTTATTTTTTTTAACTTTTCCTAGCTAAAATAATCATGATTGTATTTGATTACAGGTCAAAGCAAGTGTAAGAACTTTCTTCCCCAAGGAGAGACGCTTTATAGAAGATAACCCAAAGTTTTCTAAAAAGGTTTGTTTGTCTTTTGTAGACATTGACAACTGGTCCCAAAATCTGCAGTTTCAGTATTGGCATTCAGTTCAACTGACTGAACCAAGACTTATTTGTAATGTGTTGTTTGTTTTTTCTTCTTTGGGTTGTAGCAGAATAGGTTTTAATATTGATCACCAGGATACCGATACCAATACCAATGTGTTATCTCTTTGCTTAAGTAAATACAACATTGACACTGCCACTAGGGTTGCTATTACAGCCAAAATTTTAATTATTCTAAACTGAATGTGTTTAAATGTGGGAGATATTAGGAAGGAACTTCCAATCTGACACACTGAAACAAACATTAAAGAACTCCTGCTCTGTAGTAATCAGTAAATCCCAAACTGAACAGATGAAACATTCAACATGCTTAAAGGAACACTGTAGTATTAGGAATACAAATGTGTATTCCTAACACAGTACTGCTCCAATCACCACTTGGGTGAGTAGGCAACATTTCCAGGGTTAAAAAGGAAGTTTAATTACCTTTCTCCCTTGCAGCACCAGTCTTCTAGAGGATGCTCCACCTCATTGGTTGAGATAATCATTATAGATGCTCTTAGCCAATCAGTACTGGGAGGATAGTGCAAATGTGTGGCAAAACTCTGCACTCACAGTGACCATCTGATAGAAATAGTGGAGTTTTACTCAATATTTTGTGGAAGCATCACTAGTGGCTGTGAGTATGACATCCAATAGAGGCAGGTTAACCCTGCAATGAAAACTTTGCCATTCCTGCAAAACGGCAATGTGTTCAACTGCAGGGTTTTAATTGGTTGGATTATAACATGCAGACCACTTTGAGTGGTTTCCTATAGAGTCCCTTTAATATAAATTTGTAAAAAAAGTAAATGAAGTAGGACATTATGATGTATAAAGATTATCATTTATGATTATAGATTTTATTTACTTTCTTAGAGGCATGGTATGATCAGAATGACTTGCTTGTACTGGGAGAAAACGTCCACCTCCAATCCAGAACCAGCACTTGATTTAGTCTACCACAATACAAAAAAGAAAGATGCTCGATTCTCATTTTCATACAGAGCACCGCAATTATGTAATGACCTCCCGCACACTCTCAAATCTTTCCCCAGCCTAAAGTTCTTTAAGAGATCCCTCTCTACATACCTCAAAACAGAATGCATCTGTCATGGTTGATTATATATTTCTTGCCAGTTCTATGTTAAATTTTGTAAATATGTAGAGTATAAATATTTATATATTTTATATTTTTAATATTTAATTGTACCCCATTATAATGATGCAATGTTTGTGGACCCAGGACATACTTGAAAACTAGCAAAATCTCAATGTATCCTTCCTGGTAAAATATTTTATAAATTAATGGTAAAATAGTTGCTGAAGCAGGTTACGTAATTTTTGAAACCATATCACAGACCTAAATGCAGGGGTTTGGCATGGCAGTAAACTTGCACAGATTAATGAAGTATTATATTATTTGTCTTACTGAGTTTGTTTGCTCATTAGATTCTATCAAGGAATGTTTATCGTGTAAAGAAAATCTCCTTGGCCATATGGAACACACTGCGATTTATTAAGAGTTGCTTTCAGTGGGAATCTACAAAAAGAAGTATAATAGCATTTGTGGTAAGTTTGTTTTTGTAGCAATGAGTAATTTACATCTTCAAGTGGCCTTTTTTTAATGGTTTTGTTTGCATTTAAAATTTTCATTAAAATGTGTGTATTTGTTCTATGTTTAGAACAAGGTCCAAAAATAAATTTTTTGAAGATACCCTGTTTCTCTAGCTATGTTTGTAAATGAGATTTGGCCTTATTAAGATATGAAGATGACCTATTTTTCTGATCGCAATAAACCCGCCTGTCATTCGCACTCGCAGCTCGCCTTTTTACAGCTGCACAGATAATGCAGAAATTACAGTTTCACACTATTAAGTACAACTTCATCGAAACCTTAGATGTCACTGGTGGGCAGAGAGTGCTGGTCTGTTCCTCCTACATATAAATATTACACTAACATGCCTTTCCCTTATGCAGTAGTTACCTGTGGTCCAGTATTGAGCACATAGTCTGCTATTGCATGCCTGGTATTAATTTATAAACCGAGAAACCAGAAATATGATCAGCTACAAAGAAGCATCAATTTCTCTTTGCGTTGTTTTTGCTACTTTTTTTCAACTTATCTCCCCTTTTCTGCCATTTAGAAGTAATTGTTAGTTTCCTTGGGATAGGGAATAATTGAAAATAATGGTAAATAGAACACTTTACTTATAACACTTTGTCATTAAGATATGTATTCTTTTTGCAAAATAATGACACGACTTGTCACACAACTTCAATTGTAGATAGGTAGGCAAAAAATTCTTACCGTTTAACTGTAATAATTTTTACACAGCTATTGAGAGGTTAAAGTCATTAAACTTAATATCGCTGGTCACCAAATGCTTTAAAGGGAAGCTACAGTGCCAGCCCCCCACGGTGCAGAAGGGAGTAAAACCCCCTTCTGTTCCTTACCAGAGTCCAGCGACATACAAGCGCCATTGTACAATGCTTTGCTATGGTTTTAGGTGATGCTAGATGTCCTCATGCATAGTGACTGAGCTGAAGTGGTCTGGGTGCCTCTACTGTCCTTTTAAGACTTGTATACATTCTCTTTACTCTATTGTATGTTGTTGTAGATAATTCCAATATTGTGGTTATTTTCTTTTGGTTTTGTTATAGTGGGCAATATGTTTGAAGAAATGTATTATGTATTTAAATAGTTGCAGCCTTTTTTACTTTGGTGCTTTTAACTTTGTCAGCTGTTCCAGGGCTGATCATTTATTAGATTATCGGTCTGGTCTTTCTATGCTCTTTATTCAGTTTTCTGCTTTAACATGGCAAGCCATAGATGGCTTTTATTGTCATACGACATGAGCCTGTAGTGATAGCCAGTAATTATACCCACCACACAGGTGATAGTTACAAGTACAGCTCAGTAATAATTTTAGCTGCCCGATCTGATGCTCCTTAAGGGAAGACCAGTGCTGTATCTTGGAAAGGCGCCTGTAGTGTATGTCTGGTATACCGTGAGTGTTTCCTTTCATTCACATTTTGCTATGATACTACTCACTGTTGGGATGATTCTCCCATTGCCACTAATACCACATATCTCCTTCTAATAATGGGCTATTCCTGCCATGACCACCGAAATAGGCTATTTTATTTTCTATCCTTTCATGGCAGATTAACAAACTGTATTTACAGTAGACATGTGCAATTCGTTACGTTCCGAATGTACATTTATACAAATTTCATGCCCTTCGGATGCTTACGAATGTCTGAAGTGACGAAGTTCGGTAGTTCGGAAGTGCTGAAGTGCCGAAGTGATACGGATTTCTGAAAAGTAGTAAAACAAGAGAGGAAGGGAAAATTACATGAATGATAACCGGAATCTTGACCAATAAGCTAATTTCTTTTGTGCAATGACGTCCTATCCTGTATGCGTCACATTGCGGCTGCCAGCGGACCCTGAAGGACGTGCGAGGGAGCTGTGCTGCAAGAGCACAGTAAGTAATTTTCTCCCTCGCCGCCTGGCATGAGAGGTTTGTCCCATGCAGTCTCGCGCAGTCTCTACAGCGCATGACTGCATCGGACAAACATCCTTAGCCAATTATTACATAGGATATATAAAGTAGACCTGTGCAATTTGTTTTGTTCCTACAAATTTTATGCCATTCGGATGCTTACCAATGTCTGAAGTGGCAAAGTTCTGAAGTGACTACGTTCTGCAGAAGTGCCAAACTGAATGCCATTGGTCCGAATTGCCAAAGCAGAAAATTTATTTTTTATATTATATATTTTTTTTACTTACCCGAATTTCCAAACTGAACCAAATTTATTGCCCATGCACATCCCTAATTTACAGCACTGATCTGATATCTGCACAAAGTTGTAAATGAAGAACATGTAACCTTGAATGTGGTTTGTGTTACAAATTTGCATTCATTGAAGATAGGTGCACATATGGGAAACAAGACGGGCAAACTTGGATGCATTGAAGGAGGGGAGTTTTATACACTAAAACCATGGTTGGTATTTTTGGATCCATATTTCTCTGTTTCACAGAGGATCTGGTTAACCAGTTTTAAAGGATCACTATAGGGTCAGGAACATAAACATGTATTCCTGACCCTATTGTGTTAAAACCACTATCTAGCCCCATAGGATTGGCTGAGATTCACAAAGAGGTAGATCAGGGGCAGATTCAAATACAGCCCTGGCCAATCAGCATCTCCTCATAGAGATGAATTGAATCAATGAATCTCTATGAGGAAAGTTCAGTGTCTGCATGCAGAGGGAGGAGACACTGAATGTTTGTATGCATTTTAGGCAGCCAT